TATGAAATTTGAGCCACGATTTGAAAACTAAATGTTGCAACTGCGCGAGAATGGGATTTTACTGCGCAAATGTTCTGGTGGTACTGCGCGGTTGCGCAGCTTAGAGGGAACCTTGACGCGCACATCACCATCGTATGGTGCTGAGCCGTTATGCTAAGCGTAGGGAATACGCTCGCCACCGCACCTCTTATTACTCTGCGTGTGTTCGCAGGTTCGAATCCAATGCAGGGATGGTTATGTGCGAGAGGATTGCTGGACTCCTCACCGCCGTAGGGTAGTTAACTTAACCGCTGGTCGGTTACGGCTTCCTCCACCAGCAAGTCCACGCTTCTGAAAACAAATACCTAACTAATCCCATACCAGACCTGGACTGGTAACCAGACGAGAGGTCGTGGTTCGCCTCTCCCCCGGGATAAATATGTAAATCAGATCTTACCCTATTATCGCCACCCTCTGGCTACGATAATAAATAACAGTCGGATATTTCGAAACACTTGATTTAACCTTGATTTGTCGCTGACTGGCATAAACTAAAATGAATAAACGTAGCAGGCTAATAATAATTAGTGACATCCGCGCGCCGAAAAAGGTGGCCAAGCGTGACAGCGGATTTTTTTATGATCAATTTGTGCGCCTTTTTTAAATACTTTCACGCCACCGGGTGACAGAAAATATAAATATTATTTATCACGTGCGACGTCGCAATGAAAAAACAACTTAAATCCAGCGGGTCGACCCCCCTTTTGGAATGTGTAAAAAATTGACAACACGGATATGTAATGGTTTTCTCTGTTGAATAAAATATTCAATCCGCATGATCGATATACTTATTTAAAATGGTTGCTTTATTCATTTAATTGCGACAAATTAAATCTGCGATTGCGTCGATAAAATAAGTAAGTAATCAAAGCACCAGTACTCCGAAATAACACGGTAATCCGCAACAATAAAAATGTCGATTACATTTTGTTTTGGTTTGTATTCTTGCCAATTTCACCAATATGAGCTGTCCCTGCAACTCTTACTCCGCTCTATCGCAATGCCACCACTCGATTAATTTCAAGATATCGCCGTTACAGATATTCCTAAGTCTGCGATCCCACGGAGTAAAATTTATATCAAGTCTGTAGTTTTAGAACACTACTGGTGTGCCGCACGCACAAGGAATTTATGAGATTTTCAATGTCTAAGAAAGTGTTTTAAATCTGTCGCGGTCCACCCCAAAACAAAACTCATGGCGTTTCCCGTTTTATTTTTAGTATTTTATAATGTCACTTTTACAATGAAGAAATTTTTAGTTACGGATTCGATTTAGTTACGTTGACGTAGTAACAATCGAGATTTAAACAAAATGCAATCGCAAACGCCTTAGCGACAACGATTGGAATTTTACGCGTCTTATGTAAACGTTTAAGCAGAAAATACATTAAAGCATAGGTTTATTGCTTGTTTAGTTTTACTTTGCCAGGTATTGCAAACTGAGCGGAAAAACGAGAATCTATGATGACCAACCACTATTTGGCTTTAAACATACGACAGTGAATGGCGAAGTTGTGCTCCTAAGCGTTTTATGCCTAAACAATCTGAGCAATGACGCTATGAGACCAGCACTCTTATAGAGCCATCTTAATATATAACAACTTGTCCATCACAAAAGCATTTTTTCAAAGCAAAAAGAGGAGGGGCGCGAAGTTTGAAAAAAAATTTAAAGGGGGGCGCGGCTCAAAAAGTTTAAGAACCACTGTCCTGGCGAATCCTGACATGTTCAGGTTCGATTTCTAAGGATAGGATAGGATTTACATATTTTTCCCGGGGGAGAGGAAAGCCAATAAGACGGCTTAATCATATGGCGAACCACGGCCTCTCGTCCGGTTACAAGTCCATGTGGGGTATGGGATTAGTTAGCCAGGTATTTGTTTTCGGAAGCATGGACTTGATGGTGGAGGAAGCCGTAACCGACCAGCGGTTACGTGAACCACCCTACGGCGGCGAGGAGTCCAGCAATCCTCTCGCACATGATCATCCCCGCATGGGATTCGAACCTGCGATCCCACAAAGGGTAATCAGAGATGCGGTGGCGAGCGTATTCCTAACGCTTAGCACGATGCGCCACACCGCCGAGCCAAGAACATACTGTGTCACACATAGCAATGTTTCGTAGCTTGGAACGCTTTTTAGAACAACAATTCTCTTGCAAAGTCTGTTTTGCGGCCTCTGGCCAGAACACCTAGCTGTTACAGTCTAACTTGACTATTACAAATTTCACTACGCCTTCCCTTTTTGGCTACACCCCTGCTAGTGTTAGCTGTGGTGCACGTTACAAATTCTCTGCGGCTGTGTAACGTCCAAAACAAGAATGGGTTCGCGAACCTCGTGAATCTCAGAACCGCTTATCATTAAACATCAATCTATTAGCTGTATGAACTTGAAAAAATCTCAACCGCCAGTCTTTTGGTTTTGCTGTTTTATATTCTTAATTAAATGACAAATTAAAGTAAATATATCTATATAAAAATGATTAAACTTCATGTCGGCTATGGGTTTCAAGCAGCAAGAAATGCGTTATGTGGCTCGGTATTTTGCTTCCACACACTTTCCTACACTACCTGAAGGGTTTTTAGCTACATAAAATAAAATACATACAAGCATACCGATTATTGATAAGAATTCACAACAACATGGATCTGAGGCAGTGGAGCGAATTGTCATTGAGTTAGATTTTCAATCTTCCTGGAGTCGAGTCGAAGTTTTGAATTCTCAAGTCGGAATAATGATGACAAGACAATTAAATTCAAAATTTTCTACGAACATTTAAAGAGATATTTTACATGTCACGTTAAATACTCTTAAAGTAAAAGTAGTTCAAAATTTTCTCATGAAATTTTAAAAGCCTACAGAAATATATCTGATACAGACTCAATGCATTGAAAAAGAATTCAGTAATTTAGGACAGCACAATATCAAGAATGAATAATAAAACAAATTAAGCGGGGTAACATAAAAACAGAACCCATAAATTTCATGATAACTTACGGTAAATGAAAATATTTTATATAACAATCAACATCTGTTTAAGTGTATAATTGCACACAAAAATGTCGGCGCTCCGGAAGTATGTGCACCAAGATGGCGCACAACCTGAACCCTAAACTGGTACACATACTATGTTCAGGTTGTGTGCCATCTTGGTACACATACTTCAGGAGCACCAAAATGTCAGTAACCTAGGACAATTTGCACAAAAGTTATGTTTTCTCTAGAAGAGTGGTTCTTCTTTTTAATTAAGACACCTTTTTTTCAGAATTTGTCAAGTCTCATGCCCACCACAAAAATAACTAGATAACAATAAGCTACAAATAACAGATAGTAACGCGAAAATATGTTTTATTCAAAAAACATGTTGAAAATACATGGATGGAATCACAATCTCTAAAAAATAAATAAATATTCCACTGCTCTAGAATATGTTCAGTCAATTCCTACATACTTATACCTGGAAAAAATTCGGTAAATTTAGGAACAACATTATCTAAAAAACTGCATAGATGTGGCTTGAAAATTACAGTAATAAAACTATACGCTCAAGAGTTCATGATAGTACACAGCCAATGCCATTTAAAAATCAAGTGCCAAAAAAATTAACAAGTACGCATCAATTGTAATAATGTCAGTGCTAAACTGCTAATAATGAAAAAGAGATGCATATTGCGGAGCAAGCAGTACTACTACGGACTGGCACAAATTACACAGCTAATGCAACGAGGAAATGATTGAATTGAGAAAAAGAAATCAATGTTAATGAATAAAAAGTCCTATTATAGATTGAAGGCGGTATGGCGCATCGTACTAAGTGTTAGAAATATGGTTGCCACTGTACCTTTTGACTACCCTGCATAGGTTCGATTCCTGTGGAATATTTATGAATGCAAGAATTGCTGGTCTCCTCGTTGCCTCAAGAGGGTTTTACTTACCTGCAGGTAAGTTACGACTTCCTTCACAATCAAGTCCATGCATCTTAAACAAATAACTGGCCAACTGACCCCATCCTGGACAATATGGACTAATAACCAAAGACATTGTGGTTCCCCATATGATTTAGCCATTAATAAGTACACATCAAATATAGATTAAAAACTGCATAAGTGTAATAATGTCAGTGCTGAACTGCTAATAAAAGAGTGCCCTATATTATAGATCAGGGGTATGCAACCTGCGGGCCAAATGCGACCCACAAGAAAAAATGTTGCAGCCCGCGTAGAAGTGCCAATTTTGGATGGTGTGCTGCCCACGCAATTAATCTTTAATTTGGTATGTGCCAATATTACGAGTAAATAAATATGAGAACTTCCAATCCCTTTGCATTGCAAAGGTTATACCGGTGTCAAATTTAATATCTATACCTATGCTATGACGCCACAATATCCTAACAGCTATCTTGTGCAAAGCGAACAACGCTTGTCATAAAATCACTAACCAAAGTTATTGGGTCTGCAACAACTAGAAAGCCTATGTTAAATGAAGAAACGGCCCGCGATTTCAATCAATTATTTGTAGCTGGCCCTCCTGTATTTAAGGTTGCACACTCCTGTAAGAGAAACAGTTCTACTATAGACTGACGCAGATTATACAGCTAAGGAAATTTAAAAAATAGTACGCATTAATCATAAACTAAAGAATGCATAATAAAAGTCAATGATTAAATATAGAAAAAGGGGGATTGTTTTAACCAATCAAATTAAACTTTATTTTTTATGCCCGAAGGTCGAATCATGACTGAATGACAATCAAAGTCAGCTAACATCAAATGCTAGATGTATCGTACAGAAAAGTAATTTTCAAACAACGAATTAAATAATAAAGATATGAATGATATTATTAAGAATGAAATAGAAAGGCTAGATATGCTGATTCAAATTAATTTATAAATAATTTTAAGAAAGAATTCTAATATGTGATTGAACGTATTCATAAGAAAAATTTTGTTGACATGTTATGTTTGACTACTGGCTTATCGCACCTCCCTTAGTTTTGAAATCAAATTTAATATTACATCACTCTGTGTGTAATTTTCAGCAGGGTAAAAAATAAACTACTGATTACTAAATTTATTCCCACATAATGATAAGGAACAGAACTATCTGATTCCCTGCCATTACCATGAAGCTACATAGAGCTCTGAGAATGTCAGTAGTATGGTAGTGGCCATAACAAAAAACATGGAGCCGGGGCCATTGTGATTTCTAACCAGATTGAATACAGAGTAGAAATGTTTTTATACACATAGGGTGTTGCGATATCATGATCATATACCAATCAAATCCAGCTATCACCAAATGCTAACTGAAAAAGAATTGTCAAATAAAGATTAATTTATAAAGATATGAATGATAATAAGAATAAAATTAAGAACGATATGCTGATTCATATTAATTCTTTGTTTTTGGAAAGAAACTTACGCTGGTTGATTGAACAAATACTCATATATTGTTAGTATTTTATGTTCAGCTCTTTTGTACTTTTCATAACTCGATGTTAGACTTGTTCATAGCAGTAGATATCCTAAAAAGTTTGTCACTGTTTCATGGCCTTAGCAATGTAAAAATTTTTTTATAAAAATAACTAAATTATTCAAAACATGTATTTAAAATAAATTATAACCTTTCAGCGAAACCAAAATGTTCGGGTGTTCTTTCCATAGATTTAAAGCCATGTTTTACAACTACTAGATCAAAATTAAATATTGCTAATTACAATAGATTGCATAGAGGTTATGAAATATCAAAATATTCAGTCATCAAAACTATGATTTATATTTACGATGCCTGTAGCTGCTGTACCTTCTAAATATCTTCTGTCACAAAGCAAATTAGTCAGCCATGGAAAATGTGAGCATCTAGCACGTGTGTACTGAATCATGAAAATCAGCACAAGAATGATGAGAGCAAACAGATCTAAACAAACCCACATTGCTATGTATTCACCATTTGACAATCTCCATATTGGATCAGATATGTTGCTAAGCCTTTCACATTCATTTGTTGTTACGTACGTTGTACCCTGACACCAAGTGTATGAAAACAACCAAGGAGTATTCACAACGTACTGTATAACTGAGATGTTGTTCTGAACAAAGTTTGAGATACTTTCTGGAGTGTGTTCAAGATATCCTAAGTTTACAATGTCAATGTTATTTTCTTTCAGAAAATCAATAGATTGAAAGACTGAAACAAGTCGAAAACCTGGTGCTTGCTCGTGGATGTTTTCACGATTACTATTCGGGAGCCATAAAACTTGTTCTTGGGGGAATCCAGAATTAAGAAGAACATTCATTACGACTTCTGTATAATTGAAACGATATGGGTTTCCAGTATATGGACGATACAGATCAAAAATTATACTATTTTGTCCGATCATTCGGGCTATTTGATCTAAACTTGGTATTTTCTGTTGCCGAATTTCTGTCTTTTCTTCTTCTGACAGATAGCGTTCTGTGTTGAACGGGTCCTGCTGAAGAAACCAACTTCCAGCGTCAAGTTCCTGAAGTTCATTCCAAGTAAAAAGCGATGGCGCTTGATCCGGCTTATTCGCAAAAACTTTCTCAATGTTTGTTGTCCTTTTTAGTGAATCCCAATCGTGCATTAAAAATGGAACACCATCCATAGATATCGAGATGTCTGTTTCAACAGCATAATTTGAGCAAGATGCCGCTCCTTTTTCATAAGCTAAAATTGTGTTTTCAGGTGCGGTTGTTACTTTCCCAAGTCTATGTCCAATGAGCAATGGTTTCGGAATAGAGCCCAGTTCTGGTCCGATACAGGGTGACGTGATGAGTAATGGAATGAAGAATACAAGTAAAAATAAAACCAAAACACCAATGTTCGATGCCAACCATATAACCCGATTTTCAAATCTCATTATTTCATAAAACATGATCCAGGACGATGCGGTCACCACAAACAATAAAGCAATGTGCAGAAACGGCCCGGTCATCTTCAAAGCAATAACAGCTGCATAATACTCTTCATTCCATAGTTGTTGAACAAGAATAATTCCGGCAAGAATCAACAGAAACGAGACTACAACACAAATCTTATGGCATAAATGTAGATGTTTCTGTTTCCCTCTTGCAATCATTACAATCCCAGAACAAGCCAATATGACGAGATAGAAGACGGCCAGTGAAAAAACAACCAAAATTAAAATCCCAAATCCAAACCAGATGCCAGAATTGTCATAAATAAACCACTCAAAGTCATTGTAATCGTTGTTGAAAACGCTCCAGCAAAACAACCACATTGTTGCAAGCATTAAAATTAGAAGCAAAACCAACCACCAAACCTTTTCTACAATTTTCGTTTCTTCATTATCATTATCTGGTATCTTCCATTTGCATCCATAAATTCCACTGTTTATAATACGACAGTAATATTCGATACTATTAGACATGTCCGCTTATAAATGATCAAAATATCAGATATTATCATATCGCTGCCAGTTCACACATCAATCGATTTCTGTAATCTTGGGCCCTCAATTCTACTTTGACTATCTGACTATAATAAAAAATATTATTATTTATAAACACACAAAATGCAGAAATGGAGAGAATATTAGGTTTCAACATTACTCCTGGTAGCTGGGGTAGACTGGAATCATACTGTCATACAGTGTACAATGACCTGACGAAATGCGCATTACAACTTTAACATAAACGAAAGTAATCTCAGAATCTGGGTAAATGGTACACAGACGTGGAGGGTTTCCTGAAGTACGCGCCCTCAAGTACTTCTACTCTAGTGGGCGTAGCATAACAATTTTATTAATATAATATTCCTAACCCTGTAACCCCCACCTGAGTACGTCACCCAAGAATTACATCGCTGTGACATCACAGAGCTTGCTAAAAGTATAGCTATAACTACAATCGTCTGAAATGGCATACGTGCCAACTATAATGAACTCACTAACGTCAGCGATCTTTCTCTTACAGTCTTATCTGTATCGTCTACGAGAAAACGAGAGAAATAGCTTCTCGATTTCAGAAGATTGTCTGCGCGACCATCCGTACCGGTAAACTTTGCAGGGCCGTATTACGGGTCTAGTATAGTTTGGTACCACAGGTACTTCCAGTGGGCGTAGCGTAACGAATTTTGCATATGTTATTCCTAACCCCCACCTGACTATGCCATCCAAAAATTACGTCACTACGACGTCATCATCACGTCATAGGGCTTGTCAAAGTATAATTACGATCGCCCGAAATGGCATCTGCGCCGCTGATAACGAACTCGCTAACGCCGACGATCTCTCTCCTATCGGGATCGTAGTGACGAAAAAAACGAGAGAAATAGCTTGCTTGATTTCGGATGATCGTAAGCGCGTTTTGGACTACTTTCCGCATACTTAGGTGGGCATTATAATGCCACTGTGACGTCGAAATTACGTAATTTTTCGGTGACGTAGTCAGGTAGGGGTTAGGATTGACATATGCAAAAATAGTTGAGCAAGGCCAACTAGAAGTATGGTACCGGTACCTACTGCCTAACGGGTCTAGTATTGTTTAGTACCGGTACCACAAGTACTTCCAGTGGATGTAGCATAACGATTTTTGCATATGTTATTCCTAACCCTCACTGCCTCACCTGACTATGCCATCCAAAAATTACATCACTACGACGTCACCATCACGTCATAGGGATTGCCAAAGTATAATTACGATCGCCCGAAATTGCATCTGCGCCGCCGATAAGAACCTGCTAAAGCCGGCGATCTCTCTCCTATCGTGATCGTTGCGACGAGAAAACGAGAGAAATAGCTTGCTCGATTTCGGGTTATCGTCTGCGCGTTTTGTACGACCATCCGCATACTTCGGTATTACGCCACTGTGACGTTGGAATGACGTAATTTTTCGGCGACGTAGTCAGGTGGGGGTTAGGATTGACCTATGCAAAAATTGTTGAGCCAGGCCAACTAAAAGTGGATGTGGTACTAAACTATACCAGACACCTGCCTAACTTCGGACAAAAATTTTAAACGATCATATCTTGGCGTCGTATATTGCCGATTTCAATTATTGTAGCACTGTTATATATACTTCTATTATCTTTTTTTTAATGTTGCATAAAACGGAAATTTTGTCGAAAAATGACTGTCCGGTAACCTATTCAACTGCGCAGAGCGTCGCTCCTAGCCTCCTACACAAGCTATCATTGTCAAAATGCCATCATTCGATAGTGTATAATTAATTTATCAGAGTGATCGCAAGATGTCGTACGTGATTTGAATAAAATCTAAAATTATGAATTATTTGTTTGTCGATTGATATTGCTTATTGCAATTTTATTGCAATATTGTTTTATTTTATAAATTGCAATAATGATAAAATAAAAAAAATATAAATTACGTAAAAATATTGAGATTTCACGCTGCGTCAAAAGTTACGTCATGAATACGGATGAATTTTATTCACTCGAGATGAAAAATTAGTTCAATTTCTAGCAAAAATCCTGGGACCTATCTCAATGTTAACAAGATTAAGTTGAAGATTAAACTTTACAATTGGGTTCGCCGCGTGTTTGATATAAATTTATCACTAATAAAGTTAACAGCATATCATCAAAGCTATCCGTCGAGAATATAAACATTTCGATAAGTTACAATACAAGCCCTTTAAAATATTTCATTGTAGATTAAAACGGTTTGCATGATATATATTGACGTATGTATTTCCTGATTAAAATGTATGTATGTATATATGTTTATTTGTCTCGTAAAAAGCAACAAAAGCGTAGATAGATTATCATTACTGACGACGGGATGTATGCACAAGAACAAATTGGCCTAAAACACAAACGTGCAGCATGCACCCCCTTTGAAAAGTTTTAAATAGAAATAAATCGAATACATATAATATGGTCCCTTATACAGACAGTTGTGCAAGGAGAGTGTGGTAACAGGGATAAGGGTGGAGTATACAAAACTGTTTGTACGAGGGAATTTGTAGACAAGACAACATCCATAAAATAAAACATAACACAATACGAAAGAAACTGTATGTATAAACAATGAGCATATATACAATGAGTGGAAACTTGCAAAGATTTGCTCATTTTGGTATTGTTCCCTGCATTTTTTACGTCGTCCGGCTAAATGGTTCGTTGCATATTAAGAAAACGCATTGCTCGCTGCCAAAATCCCTTGCTTCAGCCGAGTCGGGTGCGAAATTGGCCGTATTGAGGTCTTTAATTCTTCAATACATATTTGGTTTTGGGTTTCGAAGTATGGTACGCTGGAAGCATACAACTATGCGCATATGCTTATTGGGAATGCATATCTATTAGACAGAAAACGTAGCTACAGTACAGAATATGAACCAGTCGCCCAGTGGGGTGCGGTTATTTATGTACGGTATTTATTAGGATAATGAGGATAAGGATAAGGATTTACATATTTATCCCGGGGGAAAGGAAAGACGATAAGATGACTTATCCATATGGCGAACCACGGCCTCTCGTCCGTTACCATTCCAAGTCGGGTATGGGATTAGTTATATTCTTTGTTTTCGGATGCATGGACTTGGTGGTGGAGGAAGCCGTAACCGACCAGCGGTTACGTGAATCACCCAATGGCGGCGAGGAGTCCATCAATCCTCTTGCACATAACCATCCCTGCATGGGATTCGAACCTGCGGACCCATGCAGAGTAATTAGAGGTGCGGTGGCGAGCGTATTCCTAACGCTTAGCCCGTTGAGCCACACCGCCGCGCATGGGATTTACATATTTATCCAATGGGACAGGGAAGGCCGAGAAGAATGCCTAAACATATGGCAAACCACGGCCTCTCTCAATCATAGCTCTGTGCTCCATATGAATCACATGGCTCTGCGAGCTATTCGTTTACTTATTAAAAATACTGATTTTAACTATTTCTCTGGGATATCTTGCCATTGAAAACAAAAGCCTGAAATTGGAAGAATAGCAGAGAATGAAATGTGTGTATTATGTAATGGAGAACCTGAGTTTGTTTCACATATTTTCATGTATTGTAAATTTACAAATAATATTTATGAAGATTTAGTTTTAGATATATTAAAATTGATTAGAATACATTTTGTTATCAATATGATTCTTGCATATTATTTAATTTCAACGATCCTTTATATAGATACTGTTGATTTGGATGCAATTATACTTTTGTAATCAATAGTGAGATATAAAATTTTGACCATGAGAAATTCTATTATATTCGAAAATTAAACACCCCATTTTGCCTTTCTCAAAAAGCAGATAAAAATGGCCATAATATGTAGAAAAATATAGAGAATTATAGAATAAACAACCCATTTGAGAGGGAATTGAAAAATTTATGTAAAGCGTTATTTCAAAAAGAAAATTATATGTTTATGATATGTATTTTATATTTACTAATTTCATTTTTATTGTTTTATATCAATGCATTTATTAAAATAACCTAATTATGGTATGGATTACTACTGGAATTGAACAAAATAAATACTGAATCATGGATGCAAAATGGAATATGAACTTATTTATATTATATATAAGTTTTTATATTAACCGTAATTAAAATCACTCATTGAGTGAACGAATGAGCATACTGTAATGCTTATTGGAAATACATACCATCTATTAGGCAGAAAACTTAACTACAGAACAGAATATGAACCAGCCAAGTGGTGACCTGGAATATTGTATTTATTGATATAGATAGAGATAGTTTATTTTGAAAAGTCCACAATCTGACAATACAAATAAATAAAAAATGGAGAGTTCTGGAGAGCGAGCAAAACCTTTAAAAAAGTTTAAAACACGATGAGTATCATGTGCCCGCCGTGTTATAGCAAGTAGTAATGTGTAATGAATTTAATTCACAGTGGTAAATGAATTGCTATCTTTTTATTTGTTATGAGCACACTTGCTGGAACTCCATAATCTATTATTTGTTAGTAACACCTTTTATAAAAATATCAAATTGTTTATCATACTTGCATCCATATTTCGCCCTAAATTCTATGACACTTTCTCTGTATCCAAATAAATATGTACATGACCACATTATTTATTTTTTAGTAATACTTCATTTAAAAGTATCTTAATGTTTATTATACTTGCTATTCTGGTATTTAATCAGTTTTTTGCCTTGAATTTTATTCTATGATACTTGCTCTGTATCTGAATATCTATATGTATGTGAGCACTTTATTTATTTTTTAGTACCGGTAATACTTATTTAAAAATAACCTATTGTTTATCATTGCTATTTCAGTATATTATCAATATTTCGCCTTAAAATTCATTCTATGATACGTGCTCTGTAGCCGAATATAGATAGGTACATGAGCACTTTATTTCATATATATATCTGCTGGAGAAGGTTCAAATCCTGATCATGTATTATTGTTTGTCACTATCCTCCAAATCACTTGCCAGTCATAATCAAGTATTATAATTTGATGTGTTCAAATTATAGTGTATAAAGAAATATACTCATGATTTCATTACTATTATCAAATGTTTATAATTAAAGTGCTATAATAATAGAATTTTCCTCATCTCTGCTCATAAAAAACCCATGTCCTATCACATTCATTTTTAGTAGACAAATTTTCCAAATAATAGGTATCCTTGCTAACCCATTTTTATGCAATACATGTCAACTTATCAGCTGAATAAATGATGATCTTAGGACAAAACATGATTATTTAGTACTTTCCAAATCAAAAATTCTTGTGAATAATGTATATAGTGAATACGGTATATGAGAGCTATTGAAGAATTTAACACCGAACATGTTAAATGACCCCAAATGTTGTAACGTTGTCTCCCAGTCAAACACCCGAGCATCTGTTTTTTTTTATTATAATTTATATATGTTCATGGTTTGACGAACGAAATAAACTCTCTCTCTCTATTAGTTTAAAATACTGTCTTCTGGACTTGGCTAATTTTATACATATCAAAACTTGTAAATATTTGCATATCAAAACTTGTCATTTATTTCGTTCCATCCATGTATTTTCAACTGTTTTTCCAATAAAACGTACTTATGCCTTACTGTTATTTGTAGCTTATTATTGTTAGCTAACTATTTTGAGGTGGGGCGCAAGACTTCACAAATTCTAAAAGGGGGGTGCGGCTTGAAAAGTTTGGGAATGTTTGTATGTAGTAGACCCTACGGTGTCTACCAACTGGGTTTACATACTTCAATTTGAATTACAGTGGTAAAACAGAAAAAAGCTGAATGTCGGTCTTATTCCATCTGTAAATTTACCAAAATCTCCACAAAGAATGAACAATGTGCCAGACTATGTGTATTATCGATGAAATGAAAAGTGACATATAAAAAATACAGAAGCTGTAGAAAATATTTTGCATTCCAAAAAAATTAGTTCACATATTAAATATTTTACATTACAAAAAAAATGGTGCTCCAGAAGTATGTGTACCAATATGAAGGTAACTAATTTTGTTCGCCTATTTTATATCAAGTTGTGTAAATGGACTAAATTCTATCGGTAGGGGATATTCACTTGTGTAACACAGACAATTCCCGAACTTTTAATAGAACAAAAATAAGGAGAATCGTAACCTAACCTGGTACACATACTACAAGAGTACCGAAAAAACAGCCCACATAGTAAAAGCAGTTATGGAAATACTTTACATTACAGAAAAATTAATTCACATAGTAAATAGCAGACGCAAGATGTATTTTGCATTGCAGAAAAAATAGCTCACTTAGTTAATAGCAGTCCTGAAATATTTCTCACTATTGATAACAAAAGTATAATTGCATCCAAATCAACAGTATCAGACTATATAAAGGATCGTTAAAATAAAATGATATGCAAGAATCATATTGATAACAAAATGTATTCTAATCAATTTTAATATATCTAAAACAAATTCTTCATAAATATTTTTTGTAATTTACAATACATGAAAATATGTGAAACAAACTCAGGTTCTTCATTACATAATACACACATTTCATTCCCTGATTTTCTTCCAATTTCTGGCTTTTGTTTTCAAAGGCAAGATATCCCAGAGTAATTCATAGTTAAAATCAGTATTTTTAATAAGTAAACGAATAGCTCGCAGAGCCATGTGATTCATATGGAGGACGGAGCTATGATTGTGAGAGGCCGTGGTATATTTAGGCATTCTTCTCGGCTTTCCGATCCCATGTGTAAATCCCATGTTATATCAATGAATAAATACATAAATAACCGCACCCCTCTCGGCGACTGGTTCATATTCTGTTCTGTAGACGTTTTCTGCCTAATAGATATGCATTCCCAATAAGCATATGCTCATAGTTGTATGCTTTCAGCGTACCATACTTCGAAACCCAAAACCAAATATGTATTGAAGAATTACAGACCTCAATACGGCCAATTTCGCATCCGACTCGGCTGAAGAATGCGTTTTCTTAATATGCAACGAACCATTTAGCTGGACGACGTAAAAATGCAGGGAACAATACCAAAATGAGCAAATCTTTGCAAGTTTCCACTCATTGTATATATGCTCATTGGTATAAATAATACTAAAATTTAGCATTTGGACATAAATACAACACCCTACGTGACTAACGTGTTATTACATTATACTGTTGTGGCGTAACGAAAATAACGAACGTAAGATGTAAAGATAGGACGACGGATAATGCATTTTCGGTTTCCGGTCTCTGTGAGCGCAAATCCCGACTCCTGTTGCTATATCGATAGCTAAGTAGAACGTTAATGATTGATGTTAAATTAATCACTGCCGTTTGTCACCGACAGCGGTGGCCATAGAAAGCGCTTGCACTTTATTTGAAAAACAAATTCTGTGGCCCAATAACTTCCTCATGCTAGGAAAAAACTACAAGAAAAAAAAAACTTGTCATCTAAATGAAGCTCACGTAGAGACAAACATACATTCTCTTAAACGTGGGAACCTGTTGTTATTGCGTACGATAGAAGAGAGAACCCGTTCTTAAAATTTTGAATTCGAAACTTTTGAATTTATCTCTAATGTAAAATATATTCATCCAAAAGAAAATCTATGAAATGGCCCTTTGTCTACAGTACCGGCAATTAAATCTCGGCCGATATTGTGTATCGTATTTTCACTTTTCCTTCGAGCGAGCATTTGTTTCCCCAGATAAAGCTAAGGCCTAAGGCCGAACTTATTTTGCCTCCCTCGTTTCGCCTCACACCGCACAAGAGCGTTCGTCTCTCCCCGGTAATGTAAAATACTTTTGTCCAAGAGAGACAAAGCAGAGTCAACTGAATGGTCTCGGTCATGTAGTAAAATGAATTGAATTGACTCCCCGGATATCCAACTATCAGCACATGCATAGTTGAATATAAACCAATGAATACTGAATCTCAGATGATTCTTTTAATTACCTGTAATGGTTAGGTAGCTTAAAAGGTTTTGACAGAAATTAATAAAGAACTGGTTGAAACAGTAGGAGTATTTGACATGTTTACAATATAAATCAGGAGAAAGTAGTAATCACCGTTTAAAATAAGTGGTACATAATATAAATAAATAAAAAAGTCCGATTGAACGGAGACATCACACGGATTAATTTAGATATAATCTCATTTGATGATGGTACAAAGTGCCGCCGGGTGAGTTTGCGGTTGAAAAAATATTCAGTGAAACTAGGCGTTGGTCAAAAATATCATTATTTTGTTGTTGCTGTAAATGTGCACCATATTATGTTAGGCAGTAACGTACTTTTAGTGTTGTTTATGGGATTTATCTGCTCCACAGCAGAAGGTAAGTGTTGCATCTTATGTTTCAGACAATTATTAATAAATAAATAAATTATAACAATATTTTGTTTAGATAAACATATTAAAAAATAAAGAAAGAACAGCAAGTAAATTTTGCGATACATAAATCTTAAATTTTGCCGATGATTTTCAGTTGTCGCCATTGGCGTAGCAATTGGGGTTGGGGGCCATGGACTAATTCCCGCCCAATATTATATCATTATAATGAATGTATTTTTATTAATTTGCAGAAAAACAGCACATCTGTCGCGAAGAAGGCGGAGTCGTTTATAACCGAAGATGCTTTTGGATCTTTTATGACCCGGATGTGGTAATCACAAGTGCACAGGCAGAACAAAAGTGCATCGAATCTAATGCTTTACCTGCCAATATATACGGTATACAGCATTTTAACCAAATTAAAAATTATGGACGTGAAAAGAGACCCGGGGCAACCTATGCAGTGTTTCTAGGAATGACGTACAATCCAAGTGTGAGAAATTTTGATTCTTCGTTTGGAAATACCGATTTGGAACTCTGTAAATAGCATTTTCTTTATCGTACATAAATAGATATTGATACTTTTATATGATTGTCCAACCGACAAGGCCCTTAGAATGATTGTAACATTTTAATTCGTTTTGAAGAGATGAAAATGGATTCAACATAATATGATGTATGGTGTTATGTAAACTTGAAAAAAACAGAAGCTTTGTCAAAAGGATATGAAAACAATAGAGAGAAGTTTATTTCCATAGTATAATAAATGTTAATTTCATTACAGAATAATGTATTAAAAAATAGGGATGGGACGATTTCAAATTTGCCGGATTCTGTGTGGGTGGGATGTAAAACCTACACTGAAGTAGCAATTCTAATTGGTGCTTCTCCCGACGACTATGATAATGGCCTAGGAACAACAACTAGACCAACGGATACTTTTCGAGGTGTTCTATGCGAAATTGGTGAGTAAAGGTAATTCGTTGACATTGGTGTTACACATATTTACCTAAAAAATTAATCCCCTTCCGTTGTTAATGAAACCTTCATCGCATTTTGATTTTATTCGTGAAGGATTTTGGGCGCTCCTGAAGTGTATGTACCAATTTGGTGGTAACTAATTTTGTTCGCCTACTTTACATCAAGTTGTGTAAAGAGACTGAAACCTACTACGGGCATGGGGTATATTCACTTGGCTAACACAGACAGTCTCCGAACTCGTAATAGAACTAAAAAAAAGAAAAATCGGAATAAAATTATGGCCCAACCCTACCTAACCTGGTACACACCCTACGGGAGTACCGGGCTATCGCATATTTTATTTTCCCAATGATTTTTAATTTTATGTAGTCATCAGGCATAAAATTACAACACTCCTGCGTTATCGTGAATATGAAAATAATAAATTGTTAGAAATTTTCTAAATTCAATTCAATATTTTCGTGAAAAATCCAACCCAACACAATTCAACGTATCTCTATTTGACAAAATAGACCAAATGGACAATAGATTGTTGACTGAATTGATGATGTTTTTCCGATAAAAATTACAATTATTAGATCAATCAGTTTGAATATTTAGTAGTTAAAGTGTCGCTTGAAGAACAATTACAACCTCTAATATTCTAGGAATTTTGTCTGGCTTACCTAGAAACTTCTTCGTTGACTATATAATGTGTCACTCCCGAAGTATGTGCACCAGTATGACGCACTACCTGAACCCTAACCTGGTACGCGTACTATGTTAATGTTGTGCGCCATCTTGGTGCACATACTTCGGGAGTACCTAAAATGTTGGTGTCTAAATATTCGATCTTTGCATTCAAATGCATTATCGCGTGTGCATGTCCATGTTTGTTAATTCCGTGTGTGACCCAAATTACAAAGGTTTTACATGCATATGCTATTGTATGGTGCAATACGATCCTCAAGTAATATAACATTATTTCTTTCTGTCGTTTTCACCACAGACACAATTATTCAATCTAGCCCAGTGGTTCCCAAACTTTTTCAAAAAAATTGTCCGACGGACCCCTTGCAATTTTGTTTTTGTTTCGTGGCCCTGTGCACTAGTTGACTAAAATAAAACATTATCGGAGAAAGACAGAAAGATATCACATAAAACAAGGTCACAACAAAAATAAATGCTACACACGGTGTAGTGCAAAACATATTTTCACCTGCGTTTATCACGATAAAATCACATACGATTATCTCAATTTCAATTTTAGAAGACATTTTGAAATTGATAATACAGAGTTGAAAACGTAAAAATATATGCCTACCGTTACCGTGTGTCAAAGACTAAATTTGACATCTAAAAACCAAAACGTAGTGCCTTTCTGACTGCGCTATACTTAACGCTATCTACCTTTCAAAACAAAAGCGTACAACAACATTTAGAAACGGAGTGGCATACTTTATCAACTACCTACTGTAATTCTCTTCTATTAACAACAAGCATGCAAAAAGGCAGCGTCGTCTACACCTCCAAGTGCAGTTTTAAGTATTTAGCGGGATTTCCAAACAATGGCCGCTATGGCTAAACGGCGCTCCAGAAGCATATGTACCAAGATGTCGCACGACCTGAACCCTAACCGGTACACAATACCATGTTCAGGTTGTGCGCCATCTTGGTGCACATAGATTACCTCTGGAGCTCCGGTCAAACCACGGCGACTGACTTTTTAGCTGCCCCAAACCGGTACCACGGCAGCAAAATAAAAAATCATGTCGGGTAAAATTTTAATGCCGTAACCAAGGCATGTCGGATGTATTGGCAGGGCTGCCCCTGTTGGTGACAAACAATGAGTAGGTTGGTACTTTTTTTTATAGATACAGTTTTAATGGATTTGAGGTTTGGTTCCAGATTTAAGTAGATATAATTCTGTATATTAAACAAAAATACGGCACATGACTTTGTTAATATGCCGATAATACTGATTACTAAATTATAGCGCCATTAAACCATGGCATGGGACGCCGCGGTTTGTTCGTGGCAGGAGCTGCCATAGCTTTGTGACGTCACAATCGGGAAAACCTAATCGAAACAGAAAATGAAGAATCAGTGTCCTCAGCAGAGATTGTATGCAAAGCATCATAATGCGATAAATGTGTCTTTCCAAATTTAAGCAGTTAATTTTTGCATCATCAAACTTTGAGCCATCCAACAGATTTCTTTCGCGGACCCTCGGAAAGTACTTCACGGACCCCAAAAGGTCCGCGGACCCTAGTTTGGGAACCACTGATCTAGCCAATCGCATTTAGAACTGATTCTCTTTCGTTTACAGAACTCATTTGCTCTCCTCTACAAATAAACATGGAAACCCAAACGCTTGCATGTTCCGACTCGCAAAATTGCATGTAAGTACGAGAATGGTAGTACGTGTCAGTGAAAATCGACAAATACCTTAATTTAGTAAACAATGCCTACTTTTAATATAAAGTTGACGTAAGAATTAGTAAACAAGTCAATCAGTTTAATTCTCAAATATCCATCGATGTCAATATAAAACAGTGGTTCCCAAAGATGATCGACCGGGGGCCAAAATTATAAACAGAAGAGTATTCGCGGACAGGGAAAAGTCCCGTAAGGCCGAGACTCGTACGTAATCCTAATACTATATTGGTACATATAATTGAGATACCCGTATAATTGAATTTTCCCAGATATACACGTGTTTAAACTGTAATAATAACGTAACAATTAGTGGTATATAGTCCGCAAACAGGAAGTACTGAAGGAGTACCAAAAGTTCGGCGGGCCATATTAAATTCTTACGCGGTTTGGGAACCACTGTTTAAATCCCTGTTCTCACAATTAAAATATGGAGGAATCATGGCTTCGTTTATAATCTGCTTGGTTGTGTAAGATTGAAAAATATTTGATCATAAATTTACTTTTATATTACTTTTTCCAGTATATCTTGCAAACCTGGTTTTGTTCTTGAAGATGGAAGCACCAGCATTACATTGACATGCCAAGATAATCTTGAATGGAATGGAGAAGTGCCAACATGCCGAGGTATGTAATTTGGGTTTTAATATTTGGAAACAGGCTGTAGAAGTTTCAATAAAATAACTTATTTGTGTTGAGATTTCTTTGCCGTAATGTGTTACCAGAAATTCACAGCAATAATATTAGAAACAATATCTCACTTTTTATTTAAAAAATCAGAAAGTATTTGGCAACTGTCCAACAGATTCATTTTTTTTACAAATTTTTACTCACGATAGAGAGGGTATTGCTATGTTTTTTTTTCAGCTGTCGAGTGCACAGTACTCAGTTTTGATGGGCAATCAGGACTTATGCAATGCACTGGGAATAAATATCAGAATGAATGCAAGTGAGTGGAGTCTCCCGCAAACTATCTTCGATATTCAAATTAACCAGCTGATTTAGATTAATTTGTAACAATAATCTTTCTTCAGCTTCGTCTGTGATTCTCACAAACAACTCAAAGGACCAAGAAAAAGAATCTGCAATGAAGACGGGACATGGTCAGAAATACAACCAACCTGTGAAGGTGAGAATGTAGATTGTTGATTGAAAAAGTTGAAACATTCCTATTTTTTTTTTATATTTGTTTATTTTGTACCAATGAACAATTGAAATCCACCACGTAGTTATTGGGTAAAATCAGACTGATTTTCGTGAACGTATTTTGATAAATTCGTTTGGCAAATTTTTCTCATTGGTGAAATTATGAACTACTAAACATTTCTGCGGTTTGCGATATCATCGTGCCCGTTTAAAGTAGTAACACAAACATTTTGGTGCGTTCACATCATATTGCGTTCACAATTCATTTGTATTTTAGACGTTATTTGCGAACCAATAGATTTCTCGACCGAACAAGGAACATTTGATTGCACGGATGGATATAATTACGCGAGTTACTGCAGGTGTGTTGATTAATATTTTATTCCAATGATATTACTAAGTTGTCTCATACTCAGGTTTGATTGATGATTTGGTAACGCGTATTAGTTATGACCGGTTGACAAACAAGCCGTTACCGCTTAATATAAGTTTATTTATCCTCGTATGTGACCTCGTACAAACATAAAAGCCGTTATTAATTTGCAATGAAGAAAATTGTAATCGCGTCTTACAATTTATGTTATAAGTTCAAATCTCTGCCCGAGGCAAATCAGACCAGACGCGTAACTAAGCGCCATCTACCGCCTCTCTGAAAATAAACAAATATATTTATTCAGGAATGTAAAGTAGGCAGAATTATAGACAGACAAAAATGTTTTTAGACCAAATTGCATTACCTCGAAAATAGTTAAGAGCAGGAGTAGGTTTTCAGACGAGGGGCCAAAAAGTTTGCTCACCTAGATTAGAGGGCCCTGTAAAAGTGACGTAAAAATATACGTTTAATGAACAATATTTACAGTGTTACAAAAGCAAAATTTAATATTAATAAGCCATCTGCCAAAAGTAAATTTAATCGCAATCTCAACAAATTCCTCAGCTATTTTTTGCTAAAACACCAAAAATTGGTTGCATCAGGCGGGCCGAATTGAAGTACTAAGCGGGCCGGATTCGGCCCCGCGGGCCGTAGTTTGTCTATGTCAGGTTCGGAGTCTGTAGAAGACGATTGCCTTGTCATTTTTTTTTGTAGTGCGACCTTTGCACAAAGACGTGATGTTAGTGCTCATCTCCTACTTTGCGAATACACTACTGCTCATACAAATTCTTTGATAAAATGAATATTTTTATATATGGAAATAACTCTTATTTAACATCAGTAAAATTACAAAATTCACTTTTTTTAATAGTTTCTACTGCAAATCTGGATTGCAAAGATGGGGAGCAAAAAAAGTAGTTTGTCTTTGGACAGGAGAATGGTCGGAAGAACCACCTACTTGCAAAAGTAAATTTCTTCAATTATTGATATTTAAATTCTCAAATAATTGTAAGTCAGGTCAATTTGAAATTAATTCTTGGTTTAAATTGAACTGGGCCCGTTGAAAAATGGTGTTTGAACAGAATTGAACTCATCAGTATTTTGAATATTCACGAATGTTCTAACGCCTGTCCGAAGCAGACAACAGGTTTGTGAGCGACCAGAACTGTGAATCGAAAACACTAGATGGATTAACTGGACTTTTTGTAAAAAAGGACCTCCAGAAGTATGTGCACCAAGATAGCGCACAACCTGAACATAGTATGTGTACCAGGTTAGGGTTCGAGTTGTGCGAAATCTTGGTGCACATATTTTGAGAGCGCCAAAAAAAGATATAATCCGAATCATATGGCAGTTGCGTCGAGACATTGTTTTGTCAATTAAATAATGTTTTATCACCATAGCATAGCACCATAATCCAATTCCAACATACAAATTGAAGATTTGATGTTGATAAATTTTTTTCAGAATACGATCCCAAATGTCCTGCTGCTCACAAACACACTTCATGTCCTGACAGCAACTGTGACGTCAATGCTGATTGCGATGACGACAAGAAGATTTGTTGTCCTACAAAATGTGGAACGTCAGTTTGTTGGGATTTACCTAAACGAACAATTTCTAGAGGTGAGATTATTTTTTAGATGGGATCTAGCATGAGAGATCTCCGTTTAATCATCTTAACTCCACGATCTTGCCTGAGAGAGGATCTTCATACGATCCCATTTTCTCGTACGATTTATATCGGTGTGCAAACTGCGGCCCGCAAGAAAAATTTGCGTGGCCCGCGGAGAATTAAACAATTTTGAATGGTGTGTCCACAAACCGAGTATGCGTGCAATTCTAATACTTCTGCGCCACAAAGTCTATACCAGAACTTGTGTGCCACTGTCATATTGGCAAAACTAGCTAGCAAAATTATGTTGCAAAATATATAATATATATTACAAAAACGTGTTTTTCACTGAATTGAATTGAAGTCGGTGTGGCGATCAATTTAAATAGAAGTTTCTTCAGAAGTTTATGCGTTTAACTCACTATTTCTATAGGAACCCTAATAATGCCGTAAGGTGACTAGCAAAAATAAACAATTTTTGTGCATGTAACTACTAGAAAGTTTATGTTGAATAAAGGTGTGGCACGCGGCTTCACTCAGTTACTTGAATTTGGCCGGTCAGTGAAAAATGTTGCACACTCCTGATCTAGACTATTGGTGAAATATTTTTATTCAACTAAGCGAGGTCTCAGATTGAAACAAATTATCTCATTAATTTTATAATTTGCCTGCATTAAGTCGTGATTATATGAACAAACTAAAATAATAAACTTGGTGAAATAGATTACAATTTTCAGTTCCATTATCTTTGCACCCCTGTACATTTGAACCTACAGACATTTGTACCCGCGGATTTTTGCATCTATACGCATACCACGTGCAAATATACGCGTGTGCAATTGTACATGCGTGGAAATGTATGCGGATGCAAATGTCCGTGGGTGCATATGTACATGGATCAAAATGTCCATGCAAATGTCTGTGGGTGTAAAAGTATGCAGGTGCAAGTTTCCTGGGTGCAAATGTTCTGTCAATCAATTTTTAAATGTAAAGTTGTTTAACATTTTATTACAGAAGCGCTTCTATGGATAGTACTTGGTGGATTAGGCAGAAAGCAATTCCCTACAAACTGCTTGAGAAACGCATGTGAGACTGCACGATGTCCAGCAAATCTCAACGCACAGTGTAGAACATCATGCAATAGTTGCCGAGCTCACTTTTACGATTTTAATCAAGAGGTTACCGGAAATTGTAAGTATATACTTGATATTTGTAATTAGCTTATAACCTAATTTTCACCGTCGTAAAAAATATAGAACCGTATAAAACATATAGAACAACATTATAATCCGCAAATGTGGCGTCTTGCCTTGAACTAAAAAGCATATACTATATAACCTAGCAACATATATATACTATCTCTCTGTAACCCTAACTCTGACATGGACAAACTATGGCTCGCGGGACAAATCGCGCCCGTCGGGTAATTTAATCTGGCCCGTCCGATGCTTTCACAACCAAACTAAAACAACATTTTGATGTTTTAGCTAAGAAATTTCCCAGGGAGAAGTCCAAAACTTTGCCCACCCCTTCTAGATGTACCTATTCATATCTTCTATCCATTGTATATAGCTAATTGACTGAGGGAAACTTAAATTTTTATTCAAATATAACCGCTAAAAATGCTGATTATGCAATATGCAATATAGTAGAGACCAGCATTTGAATGATACTACATTATTTCATTTTGATTTATTTAATTCAGGTCAATGTCCAGGTGGTTATGTCGTGCCAAACTGTAATCAACAACAATGTGCAAACTACAGATGCATCACACACGGCCAGCAGATATCTCACTACTATGCTAGTCAATACTACAACCCCAATATACTATGTCGTATGAGCAGTTGTGGTGGATGCTTTCCCCGATTCTACGATAGACGTGGACGAAGAATCAATTGCAGACAAATATTGCAACTTGTATCAAATCCAGGAATTCCTGGTAGGGATTATTTGATTATTTTTTAGGGGACAACACATTGCACCCACGTACATTTGCACCCACGTACATTTGCACCCACGGAAATTTGTATCCATACCCATAACAATATTCCACCCGCATATAGATTGCATCGCGGACATCTGTACCCATGTACATTTCCACCCAGGAACCTTTTCACCCACAAACATTTGCACCCGCGGATATTTGCACCTGCGTACATTTGCACCCACTCACATCTGCATCCATTTACATTTGCACTCACAGACATTTACACTCCTGTACATTTGCGCTCATGTACATTTCCACTTACGGACATCTGTAATTTGCTCAAAACAAAGTCATATAGGCACTTGCTCAAGAGTGAGATTTATTATTGAGTGTACATGTGCATGGGTAGAAATGTCCATGGGTGCAAATATCCACGGGTGCAAATGTACATGTGTGAAAATGTCCGTCAGTGCAAATGTATGAGGGTGCAAATGTATGTGGGTGCTAATGTACGCGGGTGCAAATGTACATGGGTGCTAATGTACGTGGTACAAATGTTCATGGGTGCAATCGGTATATGGGTTCTAAAATCTGCGGGTGCAAAAAGAGTGAAACCGATTTTATACAATATTTTTTTCAACGAAAACGGGTTTTGTCAAATTGATTAATGGTTGATCGATCGGTTTTTGTATTTTAACATCTATTTTGGACGAACAGTGTGAAACAGTCAAATTATCTTTTATCAAACCATCTGAAATACATGAATTAATGAAATTTCAGATGAGGTCCTATCTCTTTCATTACTTATAATATCACGAGAGCGTTGTACTACACAACTTTAGTAAAATAGCATATGTGGAAGTTTATAATTTTACTAATTATAATTTCGCTGTGTCTGAAAAAACATTTCAATATAATTTTTGGGGCTCCCGAAGTATGCGAACCAAGATGGCGGACATCGGAATGTAATATGTGTACTAGGTTAGGGTTAGACCATAATTTTAGGTATAAATACTACGGGAGGCTCTTGGCTAGTCTTCGAACTGATAATAGGACTAAAATAAGGAAAATTGAAAGAAAATTATCGCCTAACCCTAACCTGTTACCCATGTTACGTTCCGATGTCCGCCATCTTGGTTCGCATACTCCGGGAGCACCTAATTTATTTACTTTATCATACTTTCAGTGGCGAATCTACCAATTAGCGGATGAGTACTGCAGACTATAGACGACGGATCTCAACACAACAACAATGTATTAATCTTGAACAAAGCTTACCCGATTTAAGCCTGTTATCCGTGTTTACAAAATTATAGAAGAGGACTTGAAGCATCATCCAAACTTTACTTAAATATATGCTTAAGGACATTTACAATCATGAGAATTTGGCATCCGTGAACAATGAATTAAACTTTTGTGGCCGTGGCATTGTGGCATACTAGAAATAATTTTTGGGACCTCCTGAAGTATGTGCACCAAGATGGCGCACAACCTGAACATAGTATGTGTACCAGGTCAGAGTTCAGGTTATGCGACATCTTGGTGCACATACTCCAGGAGCACCGATTTTTGTTGTTTTACCTCCAGCCACATCTAGTTACCACATCCCCAATAAGGCCCAATGTCATAAACTGTTTGTCCATGCCATTTCCCCTTATGGAATAGATTTTAAATGACACAAAGATCTTTTATAGGCATATTTGAATTGTTTATTTTAATACATTTTGTCATTATTTTGCATTTTTCATCACTTTCTCTTAATTTGTTTAGTTAACGATAATTGTGTATATCAATTTGTCATTGATTGGTATTTTTTCATAACTTTCGAACAACTCTCATTTTGTTTATTTTACGATAATTGTTTATATCAGTGTGTTGACGACAACCAATAAGAATAAATGTATATCCAGTGTAACTTGAGTCTAAATTAAGTCATAAGATTGGCGCGGGTGGATTATGATTTATCCATGGTCAAAACTGGATGCCTGGCATCCGGCAAGCATAATCATAACGTTAGGAATATGATAGAATCGTTTGCTCTGGGTATCGATCTGAGAGGAGGGATACCGTTAGGCGTTAGGGCTTGTGATTTGGTCGCGGGGCATTTACAGAGATCGTCCCACAGGCTGGCATGAACTATTAAGTGATTGAAAGGTAATATGTAGGATACGTAGTCAGATGGAGCTCTAGTATGTCACATCCATCGAAATTTGAGACACTTGAACTACACTAGTTCCAATCAATGTAGCAAAATACCGAACTGCGTTGCAACAGATAGCTTTGAAACTTGCACTATTATTGCAGTAGCATAATACAGCACTTTACTCACGACTTAGCGGTAACAGAAATCAAATAACCGAGAAAGTTTTGGACGCGGAACATATCACCCGGAGCTGAAACTGCCATAACACGGATACCGAACGTCCATTAACGCGAGATTAGAGCACACAGCTTTTCGACAGCCTCAGTTTATAATCCTGCAAGCCCGAAACGCACAATGCGCCCCGACTCCAAGCACGGCTTTCACCATTGGAAGTGCATGGAGTCCTGTATGTGTCAAACAACAAGAGTAACCACTAAAGCTCATCAACCTCAACAATCCTCTTGGCGTGACGTTTTACCCTACTATAATTCAAAAAAAAAAATTGAGGCTTACCTTAGGGCAGTGGTTCCCAAACTTTTTTTTCGCGACCCCAATTTTTATAAAATCAAAGCTTTCATATACTCGCGACTCCACAATTAGAAACGTTCAGCAACTTCAAAAATTAATATAGTAGTTTAATTACGACTGTAAGTGGACGTTGGCGGAGAACATTGACACAAAAATCTGTGAAGAAGTCCGGCAAATCGCCGGAAAAACAGGGAAGCCACAGAAGATTTGATAACACATGCCATCGTATGAAAAACAAGGCGGAACAGTCTCTTAGATCAGAGTTATAACCGTTCTTGGGCGAAACATAGACAGACTTGATAAAATGTGGTAGATTGTAAGAAAGCGTACGATATTTCGGAAATAGTAAGATTGCTTCTAAATTAAAATATTATTTAGTATATATATTCCAACAGGGTCTTTATTATTTTTAGTTTAATATTAACATATTACAGATTGCTCGATTATTAATTCGAACGTAAAACAGAGAATGGAAGTAAAATAGGAAAAAACGTGTATAGAATCACATCTTTTTGGTGACTTTTATTATGTTAGAACTTGTTGTGGTTTCGTGTTTGACTCCTCGGAACGCTTCGAAATTATGTATGAAACTTCTAAATACGCAATGCTGCAATACGAAAATGTTCACTTTCACGCGGAGGCGATGTGGACTTTGCGACTTAACGAAGCGCTTTCGCAGCAGATCGACAATGAAAGTGTAATTACTCGGCTAAGACACCGCCTCGCAACCAATACCTTACTTCTCAAACACCTGATTAAGTGCCAATCGCCAAAAAAAGCAACTTTGTTTGCATATTTGATAACCAATCGACTACACTGGTACAAAATAACAAACCGAAATAATTTCTCGCTGCCTGGCAAAAATCCGATTCGTTTACCAGCGGGTCAACTACTCATTCGGATGCAACATGGTCGAAAAATCTATAAAATGGAAAATATTATTGGCGTTTGTACCACGGCATTTCAATTACATGCCGACCAGTTAAAAAAGTATCGCATGAAAGTTTTACCGAGCAATTTTGGCACCGTTTGCATATTAACCCGATATTTAGACAGAGAATATGCGCATGAATTCTTGATGACAATATAGCTGGCTTTCCTATGGCCTCCAGGATAATGTCACAATTACAGACAGCACAGTGTGCGTAGCACTCACCCTTCAAGCTTCGTTTAACTTTGAATTCTTTCCCGTTCTCATCACAAAAAACGTTCTTAAATTTGCTCATTTTTAAATTTAGGCTAGAATAACCACCACCACGACAATTGTTTTTTACATTCTGAACATGAGTAAATTTAATGTGCAATAACAATATTTCTACTCCTAATGTGGGACATTTTATTTTTGATATTTCAAAAAACTTAATTTTATAGATCCCATTTGGGTAAATTCCACGATTTCAATTTTTCGAACTTGAATGCGCATTTATGGGATTTTTTACATTCCAATAATAATTGAACGGCTCCAGAAGTGTGTGTACTAATATGGAGGTAACCAGTAGTGGGATTCAGCCGGTTCGCACCGGTTCTATAGAACCGTCTCATGTGATTTAATGAGAGCAGCGAACCGGTTAGCATTACTGGTTTATTTGCTAAAAAGTATATGACTTTTGTGATGGAACCGGCTGACAAAAAATTTGAATCCCACCATTGGAGGTAACTAATTTCGTTCGCCTACTTTACATCAAGTGGTGTAAAGAGACTGAAACCTATGTACAGGAGGGGGGCAGGGGGTATATTTACTTGGCTAACACAGACAGTCTTCGAACTCGTAATAAAACTAAAATAAGGAAAATTGGAATGAAATGATGGCCTAACCCTAACCTGGTACACACACTCCGAGAGTACTAATTGAATGCTTCCTAATATAATATACTAATAAAATTCTGGTCATTTCGATTTTTCGTTCCAATGAACTCTGGCAAATTTCGTTGTATTGAATCTCAATATTTTACTAACTTCTATGTGAACACTGCTGTGAATCGTGGGCTAGGATCACGATCGCTTCAGAGCTGACATGGGCCAACTACGGCCCGCGGGCCAAATCAAGCCCGTTGATTCAATCTGGCCCGCCTGATGCTGCCACAACCAAACGAAAACCATATTTTGATGTTTTAGCTGAGGATTAACGAAGGTTGAGATTGCGATTAGATTTGGTTTTAGCACGGGGCTCATTGTTTTCCACTTTTTGCATTCGTAACACTGTAAATATTGTTCCTAGAATGTATATTTAACATCGCACTCACATGGCTCGTCAGTCTAGATAGGCAAAATTTTGGCCTCTGGTTCAAAAAACTTGCCCGCCTCTGCTTTAGAGTAAACCTCGCCTAATGGTAAATTCGGATCTAGTCCATAGATAATATAAAAAAGGTAAAAATAATAGTCCTTTAAGAGACACTTTCTTTTATTTTTAAACTTCGGGGTTGTTATTTCTACAAATTACGACAGAAACGTTTATTAGCGTTGCGATCCATTGGGCTTATGCCCCGAGAGGTCAGTTAAACATAATTCGGTACTACTGAAGTATGCGCACCAAGATGTCGCACAACCTGAACCCTAACCTTGTACACAACCTGAGTTCAGGTAACCAGTCCCATAATTCAATGGTTATACGCGTCCACCAGCTACGTGAAAACACGTCTCGGCCTTACTCTTTGTTCCACTCTTTTATCTTTATGCTTTCGTTTTTATTCCAGAAAATATCAATTACATGTATGTGTCTGTGTTTGTTTGCCTCGCAATGATAAGATATACATGGTGGCGATATTGAAAATGGCGACGGCACGCTGAAATCGAAGCAAATTTGAAATTGTACGATTTAATAGGGCCTCGTGCAATGCAAGTTTTTATATAGAATTTGGAATCTGAAAGGAAAGAAATCAATAATATGGCAAAGTTGCTGATATCTGTGCATTTTATGCCGAATTAAAAATGCAAGCCGTTAGTTGTTAGCAGTTATTATAAAAACTAGACTTTCTGCGTTGAATTTTGCAATCCATAATAATTCAAACACTGATGCTGTAGCTTAGATAATACTTAACAATGAGCCAGTAATAACAGTACAGATCAGACTAAATATGAATCTTAACAATATTTACAGTCATTGAAAATGTCGAAAGATTTCAAATATTACTGTCGTGTTATAAATAGTGGAATATACGGATGCAAGTGGAAGATATCGGATGATAATAATGAAGAAACGAATATTGTAGAAAAGGTTTGGTGGTCGGTTTTGCTTCTAATTTTAATGCTTGCAACAATGTGGTTGTTTTGCTGGAGCGTTTTCAACAACGATTACAATGACTTTGAGTGGTTTATTTATGACAATTCTGGCATCTGGTTTGGATTTGGGACTTTGATTTTGGTTGTTTTTTCACTGGCCATGTTCTATCTCGTTATATTGGCTTGTTCTGGAATTGTTATAATTGCAAGAGGGAAACAGAAACATCTACATTTATGCCATAAGATTTCTGTTGCAGTCGTGTTTCTGTTGGTCCTTGCTGGTTTTATTATTGTCCAACTATTGTGGAAGGAAGAGTATTATGCAGCTGTTATTGCTTTAAAGATGACCGGGCCGTTTCTACACATTGCTCTATTGTTTGTTGTGACCGCATCGTATCGAAACATCTACATTTATGCCATAAGATTTCTGTTGCAGTCGTGTTTCTGTTGGTCCTTGCTGGTTTTATTATTGTCCAACTATTGTGGAAGGAAGAGTATTATGCAGCTGTTATTGCTTTAAAGATGACCGGGCCGTTTCTACACATTGCTCTATTGTTTGTTGTGACCGCATCGTCCTGGCTAATGTTTTATGAAATCATGAGATTTGAGAATCAATTTATATGGTTGGCATCGAACATTGGTGTTTTGATTTTATTTTTACTTGTATTCTTCATTCCGTTACTCATTACATCACCCTGTATCGGACCAGAACTGGGCTCTATTCCAAAACCACTTTTGATTGGACATAGACTCGGGAAAGTTACGATCGCACCCAAAAACACAGTTTTAGCTTACGAAAAAGGTGCGGCATTTTGCTCAAATTATGCAATTGAAACAGATATCTCAATATCTATGGATGGTGTTCCATTTTTAATGCACGATTCGGATTCATTGAAAAGGACAACAAATGTCGCAGAAATTTTTGCCAGTAGGTCAGACCAAGCGCCATCTCGCTTTACTTGGACTGAACTTCAGCAAATGGACGCTGGAAGTTGGTTTCTCCAGCATGACCCGTTCAACACAGTACGCTTTCTGTCAGAAGAAGAAAAGACAGCAATTCGGCAGCAGAAAATACCAAGTTTAGATCAAATAGCCCGAATGATCGGGCAGAATAGTATTATTTTCGATCTATATACTCCAAATAGCGGAAACCCATATCGAGGAAATCACACAGAAGTCGTAATGAATGTTCTTCTTAACTCCGGATTACCACAAGCACAAGTTTTATGGCTCCCAAGCAGCAATCGTGAAAATATTCGGCAACAAGCACCAGGTTTCCGACTTGTTTCAGTCTTTCAATCTATTAATTTTTTGAATCAAAATAACATTGACATTGTAAACTTAGGATATCTTGAACACACTGCAGACAGTATCTCAAACTTTGTTCAGAACAACATCTCAGTCATACAGTACGTCGTGAATACTCCTTGGTTGTTTTCATACACTTGGTGTCAGGGTACGACATACGTAGCAACAAATGAATGTGAAAGGCTTAGCAACATATCTAATCCAATATGGAGGTTGTCAAATGGTGAATACATAGCAATGTGGGTTTGTTTAGACCTGTTTGCTCTCATTATTCTTGTGCTGATTTTTGTGATTCAGTACACTCGTGCCCAATGCATGCATTTTTCCTGGCTGAGCAACCTTGTCTATAACAAGGTACACTCCAACAATATTGAAGGCGTCGACAATGTCGATATGAACGATATTGGTGATGAATAGAGTCACTAGATGCACATACATACTGGGTGATCGAAGAACCATGCCACTTCTCACGCACGTAACTCAAATAGCTTACAGATTTATGTGGTCTCCGCGTACCCCAGTTTGAGAACCACTGTTCTGGAAAGACTCCTTTTGTGTGAAGCGTCCTGCATTACTAAAACTTTTGGGCACAACCATACAAAAAAACAGTTCAAGTGTTAAATAAATTTTCATTATTTTTGTAAGAGTTATTATAAAATATCTAGATTATATTTTTTGGTATGTAAAATTTTATTTATCATTTTGAGTCGTGTTTTTGAGATTGTAAATTCTAAGTACCTAAAGTTATTACCTATATTATCAAAATGGTAGATGTATCAAATACCGATACATATACCAAATATGGTGACCTTACATTTGAACCCACGTACATTTGAACCCATGTGTATATCCGCGGGTTCAATCTATATGCGGGTGCTAAAACCCATGGGTTAGGGTTAGTATGGGCTCAACTATCCGAAAAACAAAAAAAAATCCATAGGTGCAATAGCATACAGGTGCAATTGTCATGGGTTCAAATGTACGTGGGTTCAAATGTAATGGAACCACCAAATATACACCATTCCTAACAAAGACTTAGATTCAATTTTGTTTATATTCCTAGATGTGGTGAATTTTACATTTTCAGACAATACATAATTTCTGTGCTGACCAGGTTATTTGATATTTTCATGAGAGGGCCATTATGCGATCAAATCAAGGAACTCAAATACTACAACGCTTGATGCCATAATAAAGGGGCCATGAGTGATGGCGTGCACATCACACAGGGTGTAATAAATTAAGCAAGCAAACTGAAAAACTCCTTCTAAATTATAGTGAACTCTTAATCTTACGCTGACTGTTTGTGCTGAGCCATGTTCTGAGTAAAAGAAATGCGTATAAATACGTCGTATACAAAAATTCTAACGTAATAATGATCGAGGAAGTCAGGCGAAATCTCCACAGTGCAATTCTCAAATATGTGACCACGGTGACGGTGGTGCATCTACAAAAGATGCGCCCATTACAAAGTATAAAAATGCTTCCATTGATCGTTGATTAACAAATTTTGATAACTGTTGTTGAATTAAGATACCTGCGCGTTAGTACTTAAGTTTCAATGATTTTCAATTTAAAATAATTTGTTGCAGGACACGAGCCACGGCTGCCATATCCTAGATACGCCACTTCACGGGGTCGCGCAACGGTACCGGTATGACTCGCTGGGAGCCGAGTCTTTTAGCTTCAAAAGATCGGCGAGCAAGCGTGATGAAATAAAATGTTTCCATACGCCATTAAAAATGTTCCCATGACTACAATTCAAATATCAAAATTTTAGGTAACATATCGATTCTCCCCTGCGAAATTAAAAAAAGCGTCTAGCGGTTTTTCCCACCCTTGAGTACCGGAAATTTAAAATCATTCATATTAATTCTGATGCTGTTGCGAGGTAGTCAACTTGCAAGGACGCAAACGGGAAGCATATGGAGTTGTAATCAGTATTTTATTTTATCCACCATATATACATGAAATATCGTACACCAATGAATACAGAATGTATTCGTAGTGAAAAGGAGCCGCTAGAAACCAGAACTGGTTATCGAACAGCGACACCCGAGAAAAAAATCTAACAGTAATTAATAATAGCATAAAAAAGTCGAAAAATTAGCGAAAGAAATACTGGAAGTTGGGATATATGTTTTGGTTATTTATTGTTAGAGGATTTAATGAGGCATCCAATTTAAATCTAAGAAATAAATTTCTTCTCTGGCGACCACATTTCTGATGTTCAAATTTAGTTGGTAATGGCGTTATTCATTTATTTTGCCTCTAAGAGGTTTAAATGACTAATGTATAATCAATCTTTCGATAACCTCTGGCCCCGGACAAATTCCATTTAACTAGTGTACTGTACAGGACCTACTATTGAAAAGTTTGCGATGCTCATTGGACACGTTAGTGGACATAACGATGGTTTTGCATTTTATGCTGGCACTCTTGTTGTTGTTGTTCTTGTTGTTCTTTGACACATAATTTGATAGATATTAAAAAACCTCTTTTCTCATTGATTACTGGACCAACTGATTTGAAATTTTCAGTGGTTGTAGATGGAATTTTTCTCTAGAAGGCTGTTAATTTTATTTATTCCCAAATTTCTTATTAAATTTGATATTTCGTCCAAAATTTCGCTGTATCATTTTTAACCCTGGAAACACGGATCTTAGTCCGCGTGATGACTGGCTCTACGTTTCGATTCTGCAAAATTCTTGCTACTGAAAATTCGGAAATTTTTGAGAGTACCCGTACCGGTAGCGTCAAAGGACTGAATCGCTATAGTCTACGTGTCCATATATTTGAGCATTGCTCTCTTGTTTTAAAAATATTTTGCAAATTGACCATTATAAATTGGTTTTCATTTCAAACCTATCATTTTGAATCAAAACAATTAAAATTATATTCAACTTACGCAATACACAACTAAAATCTGACCAATATTTCTACCATGCCCGAAAATGTGAAGTATGTTCGTTTGAAAAAAGCATATCATAGTTCGATCTTGCTGATTAGCCAATGGACCCTTCCCCGATCTTTGACCTTTATTGTTTTGATTTTGGTCGCTCAGACAAACTTTGCAAATATTCAGACTTGTGTAGGGCGATAAACTGGTTCGTTGCTCGTTTTAAAGGCCTTCGAATGGCATTTCACTGGTGATGGCGGTATTTTCGTGCTTCTAAAGTTATACCATATTGTCAAGTGATCTATTATTAACGTTATTCCGCCTTCACATTGCTGTTACCGTACCTAACTTAGTTCCAATTCTCGCAGCCCTGTGAAAGAAAACAAAAAGCGAAAAAAAGGACAAAGATCTGCCTAAAACGCCAGCAACCTGTGCGGAACGCGTCCAAAGTTGTCTGAGCGACTTTTCAGCGAAGAATGTTTGTTTACATCTGCTCGCTTGTGATTGGTTGAGAATACGGATGTTTTGATGTCGGGAAAGGTCCTGCGGAAGTTAAATGGAAGTTAATGTCCGGTTAAATGTGCACGTGGTATTTGTTTTGATTCGCTTGAGTAGTTCGAATTGTAAACAAACATAAAAGTGGGCGTGGTTGAGGCGTGTCACAGGAGCGACGAAGGAGTTTTTTCAACGTTTTAATATGATATTGGAAGAATGTCACAATTTGAACTTTGCATGTGGTTTACGTCTATCAATGGCTGATGGTATACAACTGCTATTGGTACGGGTATCCGGTAGGTGAACTTGAGGGTTTATTTTGCTAAAATAGAAGTTTCACCTGTGAACAACCTTCACAGCACTGACAGCAGTACCGGTACCTCATCATTCAGTCATTCCAGTGGTATTTATTATGGTATTTTATTTGGTAGATTTTATTATGTTCAAACAAATCCTGCTCAACAAAGTGAAAACACCCTGTGAAATAACCTTATCAAGCAATGAAACTAGGATGCACGAAATGTTTTCTTGTAATGTGCAAGTAAAATTAGTTTTGCGCCTAGCTTTGTGACTCCCTTTCAATTGCTCTCTGGTCCTCTTGAGAGGCCATGGCCCACGGTTGAGAATTGCTGTTTCACAGCAAGGAATACAGTATTATCGTTCATGAGATTTGAAACTATGAACTCCCAGATCGTAATTAGCTATGCAAGAAAAGCATGTTCTTGACACTTCATTCATTCTTGGCTCGGCGGTGTGGTGCATCGTGCTAAGCGTTAGAAATACGCTCGCCTCTGCATCTCTGATTATCCTGCGTTGATTCGCAGGTTCGAATCCTATGCGGGGATGATCATGTGCGGGAGGATTGCTGAACTCCTCACCGCCGTAGGGTGGTTCACGTAACCGCTGGTCGGTTACGGCTTCCTCCACCATCAAGTCCATGCTTCCAAAACAAATAACTAGCTAACTAATCCCATACCCGACCTGGACCAGTAACCGAACGAGAGGCCGTGGTTCGGCATATGGTTAAGCTGTCTTATCGGCTTTCCTATCCCCCGGGATCAGGGGCGGACACCCGGGGGGGCGAGGGGGGGCGATCGCCCCCCCAATAATTTCTTAAAAAATTTGATACATATTGTTTCCGCCTTACAAAATTATCATTTCCGAAAAGTGCGACAGTCAAGCGCAATTAAACGGTTAATAGTTACCGATATTATAACTGTTTTCTTACAATAATGTGGACCAGAGCGCCTTGGAGCACCTCACATTTTCGTGAAACATGCGCGCCCGCGCGGGTAATACTCCGTCTTCAAACGCACCGCCGATCACGCGCCACGGTTTTGCACAACTAATTCATTTTTGTACAATTTAATATGATTTTCTCATTGTCAAAATCTTTCAATAGTGTAATTGTTGGCACTTGCGAGAGAAGTGAAAGAGGCAAACTGTGTTTCATTACAACAATTAATTATTATCGCTAAAAAATTAACTAGATCTAAAGTTGTTATAAACAATTTTCACCGCTGGACTTTCTTTTCACGTTGTGGATTTCGTGCGAGGCCCAGCATAATTTGCGGGCAAAGATCAAAGCATTTACTATGTCGAAAAGTTGGAAAGCGGCAATATAAAATACTAAAAATAAAACTGTAAACAATATAAGTTTTGTTGAGGCCCGCGACAGTCTAAAAACGCTTTTCTAGGCATCGAAAATTGCAAAATTTCGTGTGCCTACGGTACAAATTATGTTTGCTTGACCTTTAAAAACATTTCGTCACTAAAATCGAAACACGGTCAATTGTGAGCGATTTGCCTTTTTACCCATTACTTTTAAATTGACGTCGAAAATTTTCGTGTTAACAAACAAAGCTGAGAACGCGACTTTTCCCCGGTTTATGATGATATATAAGATAATTAAAGTATATTCGATCACTTTTTGTATTTATTTATATATTTTTATTGTACCGAAATAACTTTTACTACGTGAGAATTGACAGAAAATTTACGGATTTTTCGAAAAGTTTTATCTTTAAAAATAATCGGAGTGACAACATTGCGATTGAGCGGAGCCAGTGTGACAAGTACATCTCAAATTTATCGAATTCGCAAAATAGCAAAAATACGGATCAAAACAATATATAAACGGGCAGTTTACCACACATTTCTATGTCCGCGGATTGCCGTCGTGTTTTAGAGTGGCTCTTGTTTTGTCGACTCAGCCGCAGTTTGAATTGAAGACAATTAAATTAATAAATCAAGACATTTTGAATATGCCCGTATCGGTCTTTGATTGATTACTTTGCACAAGTGAAAAATCATTTTTCGTTGATATAGTCGGTTCTTTTAACAAATGGCGTAATCGCGGCGACTCTTCCGCGTGGATTTCGAGGCGGTGAATATGTATTTTTGATTTACTAGTATACTTTACAATTATTTTCATTGTATGAATTAAAATTGTACTATATGGGATTTTATATCAGATATCGAGATTTTTGTAACGGCGATAACGAGTTCGGAAGATTGCAAAAATAGGTATCAAAATTAAATACATCAGGCAGCTTATCTCATATTTTTATGTCCACATATCGCCGTGGTACGCCGTAGTTTAATAATATTTTTATTTTGAGTTACGTGTTCGAGTTACGTTGCACACTATTAAATTAATATATAAGAACATTTTAGAATCTCGTGGCTGTCATGAATCGACAGAAAATCATTATACGCTTAAATAAGCGGCTCTTTTAACGAGCGCGTAATCGCGGTGCTTGTTGCAGACGGCAATGGGAAGTTCCGACTTTGAAAAATTCGCGCAATAGCTTGTTACCTTGTTCTGCATTTCTAATTTTACTAAACGGCGTTAGTGCGCTTTATGCAGAACTAGGAATTGAAACAATAACCTAATACGACTCCTCAAATTTGTTATTTTCTGTTTGTTAGCAAGAGCCGTGGGCTAATTCTCGCGGAATTCAAGAAATTGGTTCAGTGACGCGCAAGTTCCGTGTCCGAGCAAAGCAGCCTAGGTACTCGATATATGAGTAGCAAAATGACATGCTAATACTTAGAGAATGACATCGACAGGTTATTGTTACGTGACGATACACGGCGCGGTGTTTTTCGGTAGGCGATCCAAGTTCGCCCCCCCAAAATTATGGAAAGTGTCCGCCCCTGCCCGGGATAAATATGTAAATCCTTCCATTCATGCCGAAAAGCCAATAAAACAGCTTACAGGGCATCTCATTTTAAATGCTGTGTATATGAATCGATAAATTCATTCAACCTTTCTATGTCGTTTATGTTATGTAGTGTATTTTATTGTTAGGTAACAATAAGATAAATAAGCAGATAAATAAACTACTGTTTGCCAAATTGCAGCAATCAGTGGCTATCATCTCTATTAAGTTTATAAGTATAAGTTAAGTTTATTTCGACGCCATAATAAACTTAACTTATACACTTAATAGAGATGATAGCCACTGATTGCTGCAATTTGGCAAACAGTAGTTTATTGATATGCTGAATCGAGTTTAGTGAACATGAGTGATTTAGACATAGTAATATAGTTCCATATTGAGCCTCCGGGCCAGTAAGTGAATCTATTATCTGGAACCGGCCCACTTAGAAAAGTAATTGCCCACCATTGCTCTAATCAGTTAATCAGTAGTGCAATGCATGAATTGCGTGAATGTTTGCCAGGCTTCCAGTAAGGAATTATACTATTTGTTTGCAGTTTTTTTGAACGAATTTTGGTCAGTTGTAGACATGTCATGTCACAAGTGTTGTCAAAAGTCAAAATAATATAACAAAATATAAAGTCAAAAGTAGGGACAGTAGCAGGTGAAGGGCCAATCCATAAAAATGAAGATATTGTTATTTAAATACTTTTTATTACATATCAGTTGATTTTTCATGTGTGTGCATTATTTTCAGTGTGCATTATATTTGCAACAGGTCAACATATTAAATGATTGTTTTTATTCCAGGTCTTGGGAGCTGGTTCGAAATTACGATGGCTCTGACTCCATAGCCACTGAAATTCGCTGGCATGAAACATCAGTGCTCAATCATTTTGCAGAATGCTATAATGCGATGTCAAGAATATAATGTAAGGGTTTGAAATTAAACTCCAAACTTTTGAATATTAAAATTTAATTATGAACTTTCAAATTAATATCAAGATCAAGGTTGGCCAACCTGTCTTCAACTGAGATCGACTAAATATTTGGTAATATCTTGTGATAATGAAGTCACACACAATATTGAATGATGGCTAATTTTTGAACTGAACATCAAACCTCTAAACACCAGAAACTAGAGCTCTCGATCAATCATTTTATAAATTAAAAATAAAGATGGAAAAATCATATACCAGAAATTTTATCAAATTTATATAATATTCGAGAATTATGAATGTGTGAAAATGCCACTAAACTTTCTGGTAGATCCAGCTCTATTTAATATCTATAATATTTATCTATTTAATATGGCAAGCTTGCTATTGGTCAAACAAAACATTACAACTCCAGCTTCCCAGCCCTGGTCATTACACAAACATTTGTGCCTAATAAAATTGAACTGAGCAATCCTTTCTGATTACGAAAAATATGAATATCTTGCAGTGAAAATTGATTTCATTTCATGAGAATGGTATGCAAAATGACAAACCTATCACAACATTAATTTTTATACTATGCAATTCAAGAGTCCTGCTGCGCAATGACACAAATTTATTTCTGTAACGCTGTGTCTGACCAATATCAGACTTCCTCAGACATGTTATAAACTGCTTGTCTGAGGATGTCTGATTTTGGTCAGACGAAACGTTACAAAAATAAATTTGTGTTAGTGTGCAACAGGACTGCGTAGTATAGTATTTTTATTCCTGCAACAGCATCCTCACATTATACGCATAGGAATCCACTAATGCACAGGCATTGAGGAAGGATTGGGAGTTAGCCTTCCGTAACCTCTACTGATAATTAATTTTTGTTACTGAATTTTTTGAAAGCCCTGTTGACATTTCAAAATATAATATCTGTTGTTTTTTCTTGTATTTTAAGGTTTTTATATTTTTAGACTAAGCAAGTTAAATATGTATTATAGGCCTTAATATGTTTTTTCAATAACCAAAATCTTTCCGATTCGGGTAACACTAACCAGTAATATTGGTGGCAGTAGCCTCTTAGCTAGTAGCTGCCCAATTTGAAATGAATATTAAACTTTACTGTGAAATTTATATGGACCTCCAGAAGTATGCGCACCAAGATGGCGCACAACCTGAACATAGTATGTGTGTACCGGTTAGGATTCAGGTTGTGCGACATCTTGGTGCGCATAGGTACTTCTGGAGCACCATTTATATTTTGAATTCTGCAATTTTGCATTATTTCAGAGAAGTGGAGATCAAACAATAAAACAGAAAAGAATGTTGAACATCAATGCTGTTGAATATACATCATTCAAATATGCCGGAGATTGTGTGGATAAAAGGTAAGATTAATGAGAGAGAGTGAGACTCTGGAGAAATTCAGGTTTTCCTGTAGTATCTTTACCAGGTATAGGCATAATTTTATTCCGATTTTCCTTATTTTAGTTCTATTACGAGTTAGGACTGTCTGTGTTAGCCAAGTGAATATACCTCCTGCTCATAAGTTTCAGTCCCTTTACACAACTTGAAGTAAAGTACGCAAACAAAATCAGTTACCTCCATATTGGTACACACACTTCTGAAGCGTCGTGATTCATTGTTTCATCAACCAGAAAACAAGCTTTGCAAGGATTAAAAATTTATTCGATGTGGACTGGAGGGAGCGATACATATGACCATACAGTCATCAGAGTCTACCCCATAGTCACTATTATGTATAAGATTCACATAAGATTAATATAAATTTCCATTTATTTCCCTGGATTGCATGCATTTTTTTTTAATATTTTCATGGTCCAATCATGAAATCATCCATATAAACATATTGCTTTTTGTAATTTAAACTAATTTTAGCACATCATGCTAAGCATCAAGAATATGCACACCAGCACTCCATTACCCTTTCTCAGTAATAGCTTTTCACCATCCGTGCACTAGATCAAATAACTAGCTAACTAATCTCAAACCTGTCTAGTGTCTGTTTGCCATGTGATTTGTCCTGAGTAAATGGAGAGGAGGCGAGACTGACTTTTGTGTTTAGTAAGGCCCATGAAAGTGAGTATACCAAAGATGTATGTGAATATGTGAAGTCGATTTGCAAAAAATATAGACCTAACAATAACAAGAAATCACAACATTGCATGTCACCCTTATAAATATATTTGTTTTTATTTGACTATTATTATAAATATATGAATGTACTAGAAATTATACTGTTATATTCAAATCCACCCTTCAACTCGAACAACTAAGACACTAAATGTTTTCATTAGGCCAGTTAATTTAGTCGCATTTTTCAGAATGTCACTACAACAGTATGAAGTGGCTACTCCAAGTTGTCAAGTGGTTCTATTGTGATAATTATTACTAGATACTTAACTCTTTCTGATCTCACAATGCTTATCTGTAAACAGAACATAATTTCATTTACTAAATATTTTGTCCGATTCTTGGATTGATTTTACTTAAACGTAACTTATTTTACAATCACGAATAATTCTACTTGTCAATACATTATGTAAAAGAAAGCAATGACTAACAACAATACTTGAATACATAGCCATTAAAGCACCCTGCACATCAACATTAATTATGATGATTGATGTAGGATATTAATGAAATTTCCTATACATTTTTAAAAGTGTTATATCTTTAACATAATTTCAACGACCATACTGATCATTAATATGTTGTACAAATATAGGATTAGGTGACTCAGACACATTTCTTTTCAATTTGGGATTATTCAATTATTGTGATGACAAAGTTTTTGTATAAATACACAACATATCAGAAACTTTTAATGTTTGTTTACCTGCATGCTTAGCATTCCTTTCATTCATAAATATAATGATTCATAAATAGCCATGAAATTTACTACACATTCTTATAAGTATTGTCCTTGTATTGTGCAAACAAAATCATGTGTGAATCACCCATGATAGCAATTTCCATGCTGTAATAAATTCCATTCTATCGAGTTAAACTTATAACAATCGGAAATTATTCATTAACTTATTATCAATAGGTGTGCTGAGGGTTAACCATTTTTGAGATCTCTCATGGAGGGTTGGTTAGACACTTACAAGTGAATGGGTTTCGAGCTTGTCAAATATTAGTATTAGATTGTAGTTTAATGCGGTCACGTTTTTGCCCAAGCTTATAATATTAGTAAGTTTGGGATGTATATAGCCAGGGCATTTATATCTCATTTAATGAGTGTACATACTTGGGAGTTAGATAATTTAAATGGTGGATGAGGAATATCTACTTACATTTAAAAATTTGTTTTCTTTGGATTTGGTTTTATGTTATTGCTCAGTTATAAAAGGAGTGATTGGTTAGGGTTAGGGTTAGGGTTATAATTTAATAGCATTTAATAACGTTTAGGATTAATTTTTTAAGTTAAATTAAACAAAGAATTTAGATAAATTTCCGAATTTGATCAATTTCATTCAGGTGTATGTCGGGAGTTGATCTTTTAAATAGAAGCTCCCCCAAGGAATCATTATATTAGATTCGAATTTTTATGAATCATGCTTTTCAATTGTAATATAAATTTAATTGTCTTCACCATCTTGACATTGTGAACAAACAATAAACCAATATGGAACTACAATGAATCGCCGATACTAAATATGTAATATGCGATATATATTTTGATATTGTATATTTATGTACCAAGAATTCAAATCAGGCATTTGTATTCGATTCGCATTCATTTTCTTTTATATGGACAAAAAAATATTAAAAACAATAGGTTTCATATCTGCACTCGAATTCAATTTGTCGTAAAAAGTTAAATTTTATTCACAACGAGGTCAAATGTTTTTTATTTGCTCTAATTCTATTCCCAATGAACGAGTGTTTGAAAACTCTCAAACTGAAATCCATTCTTAAATTCCGTTTTTATTTTGCTTTAAAATAAATCTGAAACTTGAAATGTACTTGAGATTTTGAGGGACTTCTTACCATTGTTGTGCAAAGTTGTTGAGAATGTTATTTCTACTAGTAGGTATTTGTTTAGTCAATTGTGAAGAGTGGATTTTAGCGAAGTTTTATATAAGTCCAAAAATGAACTGGCTTGTTTGGCTTCCGTAATACTCACTGATTTTCTTCAAGGTTATAGATTAAGTACTTGAAACATTTGAATAGTTGGAGTAAAGTTTAGAATGTTGGAAGTAATTAGTCAGTCAGTAGCTGTTTTGAGTTGCGTGCGACAGTTTTTATAAAGTTCTAATAATGCAGTGTTAGAAATTTGAATGATACTTTTTAATAAATATGAAAAAGTATCACTCAAATTGATAAAAAATCCTTGAGTTTTAGATATTTTTTGCATTCATTTCTCATCTTAAATTGCAGTCATCTGCTTCATACCGTTTTTGCCAGTTCATTTGCTCTATTATTCCAGTGCGAGTAATAAAATAAAACACATTGGTAAAAAAGCTAGGGTTTCAGATTCTTATTTCCTGCTGCTTTTCTCTGTTTTTGCATTGGATTTAACTGCTTAAAACTGGTCTTAAATGGTTTTTGCCAGACTCTGTTATCATTGACATGGGAGTAATACTTTCCGTTAAATGAAAGAAATTGTAATGACAAAACACTTTTGGACGTTCCTGCAGCCATTCCTCATCTTTAGTTTGGATTTAACTGCTTCAAACTGGTTTCTACTGGTTCATTGCTGATCGCTTTTAAAATCTAGCTTTTGTCCATAACTTGAGCAAGCCGTAATGACATTTTCATTTTTGTGTTTCAGTCAATTTGAACATGTAGAGATGATGACTAAATTATTCAATAACAAAAATGTTAGGAGAGGGAAAAACATGCGAGTCACAAACTCTGAGAAGGTTAGTATTAATTTAAATAATTTTTTCAATTTTGCAGGAATGACAATTTTACTCATACCTTCACGCTTTTCTAGCATTGGCCGAAAAAGTTTATTCATATGATGAACGAGATACTAGTATAGTTGTTGAAAACATGAGCACCCCCAAGAAGTTTTATCTAGAGCCAACCACAGCCTTTGCGACGCATGTGGCCCGCCAAAGCATTTCATGTGCCCCCTTTGTACTTGGAGAAGGTTGAGAAAGCTAGATACAAAATTTGGACCTTCTGAAGTATGCGCACCAAGATGGCGCACAACCTGAACTCAGGTTGTGTACCAGGTTAGGTTTCAAGTTATGCGACATCTTGGTGCGCATACTTCAGGAGGACTCAAAATTGAAATTTGTTTTTAAACCTTATCCAAAATATATAAACTATGAATTAGTAAAATAATATTTTGTTTCATCTTCGTTCCAACAATTTGACACTATCATAGCAAATGGGAATAGCAACTGTGATATCATATGTGACTTTTGCAAAAACGATTTTCTGAATGTCTCCTTTGCAAAACACCCCTGGTATAATAGGTGTTTTACCTTTTCAATGTTTCTAAATTATTATTCAATAATTAGGAGTTAGGTTGCGCGAGACTAACTCCCAAGCCTTGCTCTGTGCCTTTATGGTAGTGGATCCATATGCGCATAATGCAAGGATGCTGTAGCAGGAATAAATAAAACTATACAATGCAATTCAACAAGAGTCTTGCTGCACACTAACACAAATGCATTTCTGTAATGTTTCGTTACAGTCAGACTTACTCATTCGAGCAGTTTATTCCCCCATACTTGTATTTCTGATTAATTTTGAATAATTATGCGGTCAAGTTAAAGTGTACCGTCTTCTTGTTGCCAAGTGCTTATTAGTTTCATTGCTTTCATCAAGTATGGTTCACCAAACCACTTCAGAGTAATTTGCCACAATGACTCTCCTACAGAACCAAAGTTATAGTACAACAGTCAACAAATCAATATTTCTGTTAAATAAAAAAGCCTGCTTTTGATAGGTTGGAGCTTCAATAAAGTAGAGGCTCATTAAGAACGAGGATTAGCATTGCACAGTGCATGTTTTATGAATCGTCTATATTCTTGCTTACTAGGAATGTAAGTTTCGGAATTTTAAATGTAAGGGATTTAAATCATTATCACTTAGTAAGAATATAGTAACCAGTAGTAAGTAAGAATACATATGCCTATTCTTGATTAATTTAAAAGTCTTTGTGCACGGTAACACAAATGCATTCCTGTAATTTTTGTTCTACTTCTTCTGACAAGCATATCCAACTGGTCTGCTTTTGGAAATACATTTGTGTTAGTGTGCAGCAAGACTTATTATCTATGCATGTCTTTATGGTTCACTATATGAAATATTTCTTTAAAATTACTTATTTTCACAGATCATCATTGATATTGATGAGAATGAGGATGAAAGACAGATTGTTAACGACAAGAAATCTTGTGAGTATGCTTTTGGGTACTCCCGTTATGTGAGTACCAGGTTAGAGTCAGCCATAATTGTTTTCCGATTTTGCCTATTTTAGTTGTATTATAAGTTTGGGGACTGTCTGTGTTAGCCAAGTGAATATACCCTCTGCACATAGTTTCATTCCCTTTATACAATTTGATGTAAAATAGGCGAACAAAATTAGTTACCTTCATATTGGTACACACACTTCTGGAGCGCCGTTCTATCAACCACTGAAACTATAGGAATTATGGTGATGAATTGTGTATGAGTAAATAATGACAGATTTAAGGCATATTTGCTTGAATACGTATGTCGGGGAGGAACTTTATGGGACAATTTAATATTTGTATAGTTTACATTAAATTGTGTAGGATAATGAATGATGCAATGGAGAAATTATTCTTCTGCAAAAATAATACAACTGCCTTCGTTTTCCAAGACTGAATTGTAACGTTTTGACTATAGCCTACTTAAATTTGTGCTGATGTATTTTTAGCCTGCTTTCTGAATAAAAAATGTTGTTATTTTAAAATAAAATAAATAAAAAACTTTGTTATTCAAAATCTATGTCAAAGCTCTCAATAATGTATTATTTGCTCCATGGAATAAAGTATTATATTGGCCTGGGTATATCCCATGTTGAAATGTCGATTTATTGTGTTTAAAAAATTGTTTGTTTAATCACAAAGAGTTTAATAAGAGGTCATATAAATGATCTCCATTTGTCAATAAATCTTTTGTTTACTTTGTCAGTCTTTTGTATGGCAAAAATATCTCAATTTATCATAAAGATAAAATTTTATTACATCCTTTAAATTGTAAACTTTTTCAAGGAAATGAACTTTTATCTTTTTATTTGAGATTAGATGTTCTTCAAATGACTAGAATACACCTAGGCAGCAGTTTCTACTAATAATTGAACAATTTTCGGTACTCCTGAAATATGCGCACCAAGATGTCGCACAACCTGAACCTTAACCTGGTACACAAGCTGAGTTCAGGTTGTGCGCCATCTTGGTGCGCATATTTCAGGAGGTCCCAATTTTCTTTAAAAGTTTCTTATCGCCATCGTAGTTACCACTGATCGGTTATGTCTCCATCAAGTCCATGCATCTGAAATAAATAACTGGTTTTCATTCCCAAATTGGACAAGAAGCTGTGAATCCTATTAAATAAAGCAGTCTTATGAGCTTTTCTCTCCCAAGGATAAAAATGAAAATTCTGATCTTATTTTGATTCAGTATCAGTAGTTTATTTTTACACATGCCGAAAATACACATTATACGAATAGGATAAAGTAAAAAAAGAAAAAATGCATTTTAGTGTGAAGGAAGACGCGATAAACCAGTAATGGTTATCGAGCACTAGACGAGCAGCGTCACCTACAAGGAAGTATAACATCAAATTTTATAAAGGAATAAAAAGACGAACATTAAATACTAAGAGAATACGGAAATAGAATATATTCAGGCGACCCGAATATCCGAGTCTCGTTCATAACGAAGGAAGCAAGCGACTCCAGTCACAACAGGCGGGGTAACCATGTCAACCGCGTTTTATTAGATATCAAAGTGATAAACGGACTAAGAAACCTCGCTTGTCAGCTGCAGTAAGGGCCATTGTTTTTGGGGCAGTACCTCATTCGGAAGACATTAATACCAAATTAATTATAATTGATCATGATTTTTTTCTGCCTTTTCAGAGTCCTAATATTCATTTCTCATAATATTACATCCACCATCCGTGATTATTTTCCCCCCATATTTGCTGAGAGGTAAGTTTCATTGCATCCTTAAATGACAGTCATATTGCTGACTTTTTACATTATAACTACTTTATATTTGTTAAACCCTGTTTAAGCATGAATAAAGGGTTTTATCCATAATTTTATGGATGGCCATGTTTGGTACACTATTACGACAATAAAGTCCACACACCTGTACTCAGCGGCATTGTGACAAAACAAAGTCTCCTCCTTTGTCTAGCATTCCATCTATTGTTGAATGTAGCTATTATTACTAAACAAAACATTTCACGCCCAATTGTTGCTTCATCAAATACTATTGTGACAATACAATAATGAATGACTCTGTCAGGAGATAGGATTAGGAATTCACTAAGTGAAAACTGTTGATAGGTTTGTCTTTAGTTTTCATTGTAAGATATTTTCAGTGATTAATTTTTATTAATGAACAACCATAATAGGGCAGTGCAGCGCAGGATTTGCGGTACTCCCGTAGTGTGTGTACCAGATTAGGGTTAGGGCATAAGTTTATTCCGATTTCCTTATTTTAGTTTTATTATGAGTTCGGAGACTGTCTGTGTTAGTCAGGTGAATATACACCCCTATAGGCTTCGGTCCCTTCACACATTTTGACATATTCACATATTTCCATACCCTAAAAAATATACTTTCTCTGGAATTTTGTGCAAGTGGATCCATATGCATATAATACAAGGCTGCTGTAGCACAAACGGAGATGAATGTTTTGTTATTCAAGAGTCTTGCTGCACACTAACACAAATGTATTTCTGTAATTTGTGTTGGTGCTTTGAAATTATACACTGGCTGAGATGCATAATGACAGTGGCTCCCAACCTTTTTTCTGTGGCACCAATTTTCGTGGAATTAAAAAATTATAGATATTTGGTAGCTCCGGAAGTATTCGTACCAAGATGACGCACAACCTGAACAACCCTAACCTTGTACACATACTATGTTCAGGCTGTGCACCATCTTGGTATGAATACTTCGGGAGCACCGATATTTGCGACCCCACAACAAATAAAGTACAACAATTTCCAAAATCAGTAAATTCTATCTGTATTGTTATACAGATATTCTCACATTGTACATTCAGCGGAAGCCCTCCCCTAAAAATCTTCAAGTGACCCCACCTGGGGTAGCGACCCGCAGTTTGGGAACAACTGCATTATGGTATAATTCTTGACAAGTTTTTTAATACAGTGTATTAAGTGGCCTATACATTATACAGTGATAAAGGATCACATTTTATGATTTTCAATCCCAATAATACTGTTAAAAAAAGGAACACATTTTTTTCAGTTAGATATGGATAGAAGCTCCATTTGATGAGTGTAGTTCTAGTTTTTCTTATATAATAATATTAGTATCATTGTTGCATCTTAATTTGAGTGTTATTTTGACATCAACAACAGTTCTTTATGGAACTACAAGGTGAGCTTGTATATATTTAGTTGAATCAATCTGTCATTTTCTATTATTGATATATAGGTCTTTAAAGTCCTGAAATTTTTTAAAATTGCAAAGGCAATTTATCAATACTGTATATTGTTTTGGCCCAGAACTAAAAATACTTTACTGATTAAAAAGCATTACTGATTAAAAAGCAACTAATCTGGTTAAGATATATCGAGAACTGACTTCATAACAAAATTGAAATTTTAAAGGGACTTAACGGACAACCGTGTGTGTTTACAAGTAGACGATTACACAAATAATCGGATGAAATATTATAGACTTTTTATGGGTATTTGACTGACTGTCAAACAAGATATACTCTTATACATATATATATACATACATATATACTCTTATACATACAAGATATATATTTATAAATATGATTTAAGGGGCTTTACTACTCACTTAAAAAAATGTATTTTTGTAATGGTTCGTCCGACTCTGGTCCACAGACAAGGATAATACATAATTCCAACTAATGTCCAACTAAATTGAATCTAAAAGGATTTCATTTAATATGTAAATGATGTTTGTCGTACATAATGTTAGATACAAAGGAATTTAATTATGGAAGACTGTCGAAATTTTCATTTCTTCTTTATTTCTATTTTGTTGATGTATAGGTAGCATCGAAGCCTAATAGAAAATCCAAATTTAGTCTCAATACATGAATTTTATTTGTATTTTCACTTCAAACCATTTAAGGAGTTTTGATCTTTGGATAAATTTCTCTTCACTGTACAGCAATTGTGATCTGACAATTTCCTTCCTGGGAACCTTTTATGATCTAATAATATAAAATATAAATGTCATCTTCAAGACAAGTATGGACGGCATGTGAAGTCCAATTCACATATCCTTGCTCAAGCTTGATAGGGTTCCGGTAGATCCCCCTTCTTCCACTGTTATAAGATGTAGTAATTGGCCTGATTATTTCCGCTACACGTTGCTTGTTATTGGAGTTCTTGAAACTTCTCATTTACTGATACGTTTGACTAGATTTTTCTCTCCTTTTTTAGTAAATGTATGCCAGTGAGAACAGTTGCAATATATTTAAAATAGTCCATGTACAATGCAAAGTATGTGGATGGAACATAAATATCAAAAATAAAGAAATGTAAATATCTAAAATAAGGCGGGCAAGATCAAATCTAACAAATGTTTTTATTTTTAATCAGCTTCACGTTCCTCAAAATATTGTCTACCCCCCATCGTTTGAGAACCCCTGGTCTAGATTTTGTATATAACTATCTTATTTTCTATGAGTGACTCTTTACCAGTAAGAACAGATTTTATAATAGTTAGCATGCTAAGTTGAACTGTAAGAGTTTTTGTCCAATTGGATATGATCTGTAAGTTAAATCCGCAGAGAGAAAGGATAAAGCAACAGCTGATTCACATGGCGTTGCGGCTATATCTAACATTTCTTTTTACATGAAAATAGCTGTCTTTTAAGAATTTGAACAATGTAATAGATTGTTTTGTTTGTGCCATTTCTGTTTTTGTGCAATGCTGTTAAACAACTTACTATCATTTATGTTGAATTAATAATATGAAATAAAATACGAAAACATGTAATAAGTTCAGGTCCAATTTCAAACGTTAATAATGTCATCATAATGTCATATTCTTATATTACCTAAATATACAGATATGAAAGTTCATCCATCTACATTCTAGTATATCACATTTTAGAAAATTTATTGTAGCTAAAGCAAATATTAAAAATAGTTTGTAGTATTTACCTTGTGTGTATTACGTCATTTATGATATTTTATAATCTGTCGGTCACTGACTTTGTCAAACTGCAGTTAATTTTCAGTTTATCTCGCAATAATATTGGTTGCAAAATGTAGGGTGTAGGGAATTCTATTCTATATTGACACTAAGTAAAATTTTATTCAAACTAAACAACAAAACTTAATTGAAGGAACATATAAGTTTAAGTTTATTTCGACTCCATAATCAGCATAATAGACGATATAATAATTGCTAAAAACAAAATGAATAAAACTGATTATAGAATCTGGAGAGCAAACAAAACCTCAAGTAAGGTTTAAAGAGTACAGAATTTAGATGGAAAGGTATTGTTAAAAGGAGTAGTACGTGTTTGCACATTCAAAGTAGTATGAACATATTCTAGAGAGAAAATAACTCTCATACAAAGCGTCTTAGATTTCTGAAACTTTTGGGTACAAATTATACACAAACAGAAGTTCAGGTGTTGCATAAATTATCTTTGTTTTCGTAAAAGGATTTTTCATAAAAGGAAAAAAAAATTACGGATTCTGCCCTGAGGAGTCACCATGTATAATATGTCTCTTTGAATTCAATCCAAGTTCAAGAACATCATATAAGTTTCTCCAATTTGACAAAGCTACGCAAACATTGATCGGAAGCAAATGGATTAATGGTATATTCCTGAGATCTGAATGTTTGCACAGACAAAGTATTCATTTGAGATATTGACATAGAAATTTGTTAATTTATCTTTGAAACATGATTTAACCTACCATAACTCATACTTGCCGAAATTATTTATTCCAATAGCCCAAGTATGGACAGATCCAGACTTTATAAGTAGCATAACTGTCTTCAAATTGATAAAATATAACGACTTATTAATGGATATTTCGAGCTTAAATTACGTCAAACTTTTCAACAGCAAACAATGAAGTATCATTAAAGATATTCTTTAGCTTTTCAATGACTCAAGTATTTTAATTGAATCTCTTGAATCTTCAAGTATCTTGAATTTCTCACAAGTTTCGTTTTAGTTTAGTGCCAATGGCTGATGAAATGATGTCTGCCAAATGCAAAGCCAGGGTAGGTTTTATATAATTTTACTAGTTGTTTGGGGTATTGGTGGCAGATTCAAAATTTTTCTGTATATTTGTTTTCTTTGTCTTGGGTTATCAAGTTTTTTTACTTCTATTCTGGGACTTATTTTTTTGCTTATAGTTATGAATAAGTTGGAAGTATATAAATAGATGAAAGTAATAATAATGGTCGGCAATTTAATTTGGTGTGACTTTTTAGATAAACGACATGATAGAATAGGATTTACAGTTTTATCCCAGGGGGGAGAGGAAAGCCGATAGGTCGGCTTAATCATATAGCGAACCACGGCCGCTCGCCCTGATACCATTCCATGTTGGGTATGGGATTAGTTAGACAGGTATTTGTTTTCGGGAGCATGAACTTGATGGTGGAGGAAGCCTTAACTGACCAGTGGTTACTTGAAAGCGCCCTATGGAGGAGAGCGGTCCAGCAGTCCTCTCGCACATAACTATGGTAATCAGAGGTGTGGTGGCAAGCGTGTTTCTAACGCTTAGCACGATGCGCCACGCCACTGAGCTTGGCTCACTCTTTGAGCAAGGCTCTGTATATGAAGCCTTTGATACGAAAGAAGATAGTTTCAAAATGTTTAATAATGTTGTTCTAGCTCTGTTATAATTAGCTCAATATGAATGGACAGGCTTATCATATTCATTCTTATGAAGGGGAAGGCAGTAAGACAGCCTATTCATATGATGATTTTTTGTACAGTTAGGTCGGGCTGGATTGAGAATATCTTTCTAATTAGTTGCTCAAAATACATAGACTTGGAATTTCGAATCTTTTAATTTAAGAGTAGAACACATTTACTGAATGTGAGCTTCTATTGTATAATGTATAATGTAGTGGCTTTTATATGAGTTAGCCTTTTTAATGGGAAGGCAATATTAATAACCATTGGCATCTCGTCACCCAGTTCGCTTGCTGAAATGTCTGAGAGTCTTGATGCCATTTTTTATTTCAATGTAGTCGTATTTTTCATGGAATAGTATTTATACAAATGTATATTTAATGGGAGGTTTAATGACCAAGACGTCCGTATGGTTCATAACTTTTTGAGCATTTTGATGTCATTTTTGTTTTTCAACGTCACGGTTTTGACGGGATATTTGAATTCCAACTTTTATTTATTTTGGCTTTATTTCAGAAACCACCACCCCTCGGCCGAAGCGAATTTCTTCAGCCAAACCAGACACTGTGAATAGGCAGGATGACTCAATATCATTTGATAGTGGGTTTTCTGGTAAGTTGAATATTAATTTTTGTAATTTAATTTTTCTATTTTGTTTCAATGATTTGCTTTTGGGTTCAGTTTTTGTTTTGCAAGTTAACTTTTCCATTTCATACCTGATGATGAACATCAGTTTTTTCAAAATATTCAATCTTTTAGATTAGGGGTTTTGAATTAACTTCTGTCTGAGTTATTTCATGTTTACCGGTAATTATCATAATGTTTTTTTCATAATTATAATATTTTATGGCCTTCTTCAGGGAGCTCAAGAAATATGTGCACCAAGATGGCGCACATCCTGAACATAGTATGTGTACCAGGTTTGGGTTCAGGCTGTGCACCATCTTGGTGCACATACTTCAGGAGCGCCTTCTTTAGTGGTAATGTTTCCACACTTTGAATAGGGATGAGCTCATATGGAAACCCAAATTCACTTGTTAACATGTTCTAATATCTGGAATAATCTATAATGCTGGAATTTTTTATCCAGGTTTTGAACTCTTTGAATTGAACAAATTTGGTTATCTGTTTTGTCTTATAATTTTCCATTTTATTCAGATATTCAAAACAACAACGGAGCATCTGCCCTGGGCGAAGTTTCGTATGGGAATGAACAGATTGTAAATGCAGGAAGTATGGGTTCTAGTCCATCAATACAAGCCTCAAGGCCATCATTATCAAGTCAAACTTCAACGAAAAATGACCTTTTGACCCTTAGTCATGCTCCAGTGCTTGAAACTGAACAAAATCAAAACCAATATGAAAACAGTTACAATGCGCAAACTTTTGGAATAAAATTATCCCTTGAACCAATGAGCATTCAGGATGAGATGGCCATGGTTCATCGAGCACCAATTAAACCTCTGCAATTCAAACATTCAACATTCAAAGGGTCTTCGATGTCAGCAGTCACTATGTCTCAAAATTCTTCTGAAAAGCACACCCTGTTTCAGCCCCAAAAAGGAAAATATGAGTTTGCACATAGCTCATTTGAGAACGCTGACTACTTGAAACCATCGACTATTAAATCTGGATCCATAAGATCTCATGAAAGCAATTCTCCAGGTATGTATTGGCGCTTGAAGCTAAATTTTTTCCTTCTTCCTTTTTAGCTATTTATAAAACCATTCTTATAGACGAGACCAGCCTTCTTGCACAAATCTTGTCACAGGACTGCTTTGAAATAGTACTTTTTGATGAGAAATTTTGCACTTTACGATCGAAGAAGGCTTTAGAAAACCACAGATATCATTTAATGTTGTAAAATCTTAATGCAAGATAGGATAGGGCCTGTCTGGTCTTTAAATTCAGATTGTTCAGTTAACATGCAACATAACGTTTCGTGTCAAAAAACATTCACCAAATTGCCATATCCATTGAGTTTTAGCAACCGAAAATTACTGAATAAGATAAAAAGTAGGGTACTCCTGTATTGTGTGTACCAGGTTAGGGTTAGGCTATAATTTTATTGCGATTTTCCTCATTTTATTTCTATTATGAGTTCGAGGACTGTCTGTGTTAGCCCAGTGAATATACCCCCTGCCTATAGGTTTCAGTCCCTTTACACAACTTGATGTAGAGTAGGCGAACAAAATTAGTTACCTATATATTGGTACACACACTTCTGGAGCGCCCACTATTTTGCCATATTCATTGTGTTCAAGCAACTGAGTGTTAATGAAAAATAGAATGTAACAAAAATAAATTTTTCTCTTTTTTCACTTAGATTTGCTCTTTACTTCATCTAAAATTGCTGAAACAAAAATTGAGGAGCCAATGGAGAGTAAAGCTGCGTTGGTTTATGGAACTCTTCGCAAATCAAACTCTAGTGGGAGCAATGGTTCAGTTACAGAATTGTTTAAATCAAAAGTTCGAAATTCATTCAGGAATTCCAAATTTTTCTCGAGGAATTTGACCACTGAGGTTAGATGTTTATTTGGCGCTCCTGAAGTATGTGCACCAAGATGGCGCACAACCTGGACCCTAACCTGGTAGGCTGGTACACATACTATGTTTAGGCCATCTTGGTTTACATACTACTGGAGGTCGATTTATTTTATGTAATTATTTGTTGTTAGTACATCTTCATTAAGCTTAATTGGGTACGCAACTGTACATTTATTATATACTCACATATATCATAAGATGGAACGATAGCCTAATGACCGAAGATGGCAAACCACTGACACGCGGGTCACAAATTGACCCATCATGCTTTTTCAGTGACCCTCCAGGTCATGAATTTGAGCAAAAAATACATTAAAATATAAGTGATAGATAGCGAGAGAGAGAGAGAGATCTGCTTGAAAGTCAAAGCAAGTGAAAGTTATATTGCTATTGTATTTGAATCGTTTAAATTTATTTAACAGGAGAAAGATCCAGCTGCCTCTTTAGAAGTACCGCCATCGAGTGTTGAACTTTACGACCCAACTTTACCATATCCAGATGATTTCAGGGAAACTGAAGACAATTGGATGTCTTTGTCACATGACTCAGGAGCATTATTTCATCACAAAGCACAATCAAGTCGAACTGTTCTACCAGTACAAATCCCCTCACTCGAAAGAGAGAATATATATGAACAGATACCCACTGATTTTACAAAAAATAATGTAAACAATAATACCAAAATAGCCGATACATCGTTCCTTATTGACATGACAAATAAAACTAAAACAAGACACAGAGATGGACACACCAGTCCTGGATTTACATTTGATGAACAAAATCGCTCAACAATCGTTCCCAATTTCCAAACCTTCGAAAACGTTAGTGCAGAAGCGTCCGAATGTAACAGCACCTCATTTAGTTCAGAAAGAACGAGCCAATCATCTCTGACTGAAAACTCGAAAACTGCCGAAGAAGAGTCGATTGAAATATTAGATGGAGTAATTCAAAGCCACAGTAGTGAAAGTCGTTATGTTACAATGTCCACTATAAAATCCGCTTTGTCATTCAGAAGCGAGGTCAATATAACACTAGGTGGCGATGATTTACATGGTACTGTGGAACCAAAAGGACAAGAAAGTAACCTAAAAACATCTTTAGCATATTCTCCTTCTAATAACCAAAAACCACCAATGCATCCATCTACAAGTGAGCCAAAAATACCAAAGTCTCAGAAACTGACCACTTCACCACTAGAGGGATCAACAAACTTTTTAGCCGTTGAACCCACAAATTCAAAACTTAATTCACTAGTTCTGCAAGACCATATTAACGTCTCTGATACGAGCCTGGCCCCCAATGGAAGTCTGTACGGGCCATCAAGCAATGCATCGATACCTTCTGGTAAAATAACCCCTAAATTGCCTACCGACCTTCCTGATATTTATGGTTCATCGCACATTGGTCATGCTTCATCGACTGTTGTACCTGGTTTATCAATAACCGATGTATTGTCTCAAGAATATACCACAGATTTGCCGCCAGATTCCACATTTTTGAACAACCCTCCTTTGCGGTTGAATTCTTCTTTTAATTCCCAAATTTCCACGACCTATGACACCAACTCCTTCGATGACGACAGTTCGACTTCATTCTCCGGTTCGCAGGAATACGTTCTTTCAGAAGGTTAGTGTAAGATTCAGTGAAAAATACATTAATTTTTGTTGAAAATCCACATGAATAAGTAAAGGTTATGGTTAATTAAATAATAGGCGCTCCCGAAGTGTGTGTACCAATATAGGGGTGACTAATTTTTTTTTGCTTTCCTCACATCAATTTGTGTGAAGGGACTGAAGCCTATGGGGGTATATGCACCTGGCTATTACAGACAGTTCACGAACTCCTAATAGAACTCTAATAAAGGAAATCAAAATAAAATTATGGCCTAACCCTAACTTGGTACACACACTACGGGAGTACATACCGGTAATATTCCGCCTTCGACATGTTATCATTGTATCAGATTCGATAGGCCAACACTAGCTTGAGAGTTTCAAAAGTACAATGGTCCAAAACTAGAGTAAATGGGTATTTTTGTTTGTTCATTTCTGGCCTGTGCCTAGTTCACCTAGGTTTGTGTTTTTTGCTCAATTCTTTATGTATGTGTGCGAGTGCATGATATTTCTCATGTTTTAAACTCTTTTGAAGGTTTGCTCGCCCTCTGGAATACTCCATTCTGTGTGTATTATGAAGTCTTTAGAATAAACTATCTTCTAAATTTTGTTGTCCACATATTGAAATAGAATATTTTTTATTGTTGGATTTTGTCCAGATGCACGAGAGATTCTTTCCAATGATGGAACAATCAAAAAGACAGGCTGGTTGATAACAAAACATCTCTTGATCCAGAAACGTGGAAAGCTAGAGAAGCCTGGCCGTAGAAAATGGAGGAAATACTGGGTTAATTTAAAAGGTTTGGATTTTATAAACTATATTCTCTTTCAATGAAGTTCAAATTACCACAGCTGATAATGAACAAATACCTGAAAACATTAAAAAAGCTGTTTCTTTTACCTGTTATGTTTTTATCTATTATGAATTGTGATGTAATAAACTGTATCAGTGGCTCTCAAACGGTGGACAGGCCCCACGATGGAGGCGTAAACAATTTTTTGAGGGGATGTGAAGCTTATTAAAAATAAAACTACTTGTTAGATTTGATCTTTCCCGCCTCATTTTGGGTATTTACATTCCTTCATTGTTTAGAGATGAAGAGAGCAGTTGTGCTTGTTGTTATTTTTCTTATCCTTTATATTATTTTTGCCTTACTATCTGTTATGTGTAACTTATTTCTAGCTAGTTAATTTTGAGGTGGGGCACGACAGTTGACAAATTCAAAAACGGGGATGCGGCTTGAAAAGTTTGAGAACCACTGCGCTATATCACCCTTATGAAACTAACTATGTACCCAAGCCCTCTTTACTTGGAATTTATGCTCCTTGTAAGGCATAGTATGGATATTCATAGAGTAAGAGTCATGGAAGATCTCATTACTTTCATGTATCTTCTTTAAAAACCCTTTTTAGTTAGTTGTTCGTGCTCTTATTCTTAATTTTAGTCTTGTTAGCCATCCTGTGCATTGTGTATGCAGACTGATTTTATCTGTGTAATTCTCGATTTTTGAATTGGCAAATATGTCAGAAAATATTATGCCTATCATGCTAAATTACGTTCCAAAATAACACGCACGCAAATTATTTGTCAACTTGAAAAAACAAGAGCGAAAAAAAATGGCGATTTTGCAACCTATAAAAATAACTGTGAAGTGAACACTGATGCCTATAAATAGATAACTATATCAACAAAGAATTATTTTTCTATTTCAGGAGATCGGCTTCTTTTTTACGTTATAACTGATGGCTCAATGCCAGAGGATACTGATCTTCCTGTACTTACATTATCTGTGGGAGGAGCGTTAGTACAACCAGTACCTGAACATGTAACCAGGGATAATGTTATGTGCATCAGTTGTGCTGATGGTTCAACTTACTTGCTCCAGGTAAATTTTTGGGCGCTCCATAAGTGTGTGTACCAATATGGAGGCAACTAATTTTGTTCGCCTACTTTACATCAAGTTGTGTAAAGGGACTGAAACCTATGGGCAGTGGGTATATTGCTAATACAGACAGTCCCCAAACTCGAAGTAGAACAAGGGAATAAAATAGGGGAAATCGGAATAAAATTATGGTCTAACCCTAACCAGGTACTCATACTACGAGAGTACCAATTTTTTGACTCTGTAATAAGAGCACTTTCAATGGTCTGATTTTTCAGATCATTGTTCAGGGCAATATGTTCTGAGTGATAAAATTGTTTTCATACATGTTTCAACCAGTTCTAACCAGTGTAACCATCGGAAATATCACATCTATGTCATATTCAAGTTTGACTGACTTGTGTTGTGGTTAGTCGGAGACGAAAGCAAATTAATAGATGTTAGTGTTGAGTTCTGTCTTTTTGGATCATTCCACGGAGAAATTTTTCTTCCGGGAATCTTAGAAATTTGCAGTTAGCTGTTAAAATTTTCCTAATAAATTATATTCACAATTTTAGGCGAACACCCAGACTGAAGTAGATGGATGGATCCAAGCAATTCATGTAGAAGCTGCAACGTTGGTTGCCAGAAATCTGTCTGGTGGAGAAGAAAGTACTCGCAAAAATATCAAAAACTATTTAAAACAAGAAATTGACAAAATGAAACATGAAATCGAAGAGGTAAAAGATCTAATGTTGCTGTTTCAACAATTTAGCTTTGCAATATGTCTTTCATACAGGCAAAAATTGTTGTTAAATGTTGGCCAAAGGGTAAAGTATAAGTTTGTTTCAGTTGGGAAAATACAAGTCACCTGCAAATATTCTTGTTAAGAATTGTCCACAAATTGTTTGTGAACAATTGTTCAATTAGAAAAAAAAAAAAGTTAATGCTATCCAATAGATACTGAGTATAATTGATAATGATAATTATCCATATTGAAAGATCGGTGCTCCCGAAGTATGCGAACCAAGATGGCAGACATCGGAACGTAACATGGGTAACAGGTTAGGGTTAGGCGATAATTTTTTTCCAATTTTCCCTATTTTAGTCCTATTATCAGTTCGATGGCTAGCCAAGAGCCTCCCGTAGTATTTATACCTGAAATTATGGCCTAACCCTAACCTAGTACACCTATTACATTCCGATGTCCGCCATCTTGGTTCGCATACTTCGGGAGCCCCCGAAAGATCTCATTCTAACTCTAATATAATATCGCAGGTTCAACCCCTATTTCAACCTTCTTACCCAGAGTGAAATAAGCTTGATTGGTAGAGCCAAACTGACACTGGATTAAAAATAGAATTGTATGATATAAAATCGAAACGTTTCTTTCTGGTTTTAAATTAAATCTGTCTTCATTAGGATGAAAAAATGAAGAAAATGGCAGAGTTGCAAATGTCTCTTGTGACCGATGTTAAAAGTAAGAAAGCAATTACAGATCAGATATCGAAATGGGAAGAAAATGCAGAGAAAAATCAAGTTCATGTATTCAGGTACAGACTCAAACCTCCTCTGCTGTGTTGCAAGGTTTTTGAATCAAATTTTCCAGTTGCCGCTTCTCTGATCCTATGGATTCTTTCGAACTAGTCTATGTTATGCAGCGGTTCATATACTATATCATTAATCAGTATCGTCTTTATCAGACCAAACCATGGATGGTAACCAGAAGAAAGACATTATAGTTGAGATGCCTTTTTCCTCGACCAATGAGTTTAGCTTAATGGGTTCCGATATTTTTTGACATGAATAAATTGCATCTTTTATAAAAGAAGATTGATTAATATTCTTTTCTTTACATCAAACCAACTCTACATTCACAGGCTACGGTGCTACTTGTCGTCACTAGAGGGCACTGAGCAGCCAAATCCACGCTTGGCAATCTCCGCCGTGTGCAAGACATCAAAACAGCTCTTGAGCACCCTCAAGTTGTTCAACATCACAACACTGCATTCATTAGTTGCATCGAAACAACAAAGTCTTGCTCTTTCATCAAAGAAACGAAGCTTTAATCTCAATCTCAAAAGATCCGGTAGTTTTACAGGATCCTTGAAAGATGATTCTTCATCAGTTAAAAGTAGTAAGTACATTTGAATAGTTTGTTACTGGTTTAAATATAAAGTGGTCAGAACGTTAGACCAGTCTATTTTGGCATGACAGCATGAAAATCTATCTGGAACTCCACTCTATTTAGGTTTCAGTGAATTAGGGTAGGCAAGGCCTTACTGGAAATATTCCTGCTCCTCTGAAAATAGTGGCTTATCGGAAAGTTGGATGCTGCTTGTAAACAGCTCCATCAAAGCACTATTTTGCAGACACATCAAAAAGATACTGACCAGAGTGGGATGAGTTTATTTCTGGGGCCAAGCCAAATTTCGACTTGAGAAGGTTAAGAGTACCTGGGTTAGGTTGTTTTAAAGTACCGGTAGCATACTAAATTATACACGACTTGGGTATATTAGTGGCAATTGGCTATTTGTTCATGCACCTATGGGAACCTGTGTGTCAAATGTGTAACCATTAGCCAATAGATCATCTGAAATGTTCAGTTTCCTACATGGGTTCTCACATATCGATTTGTGATATTCAAACATAGCCTCTGGCTTGATATTGCTTCCTTTTTTCGTCCATGCATCTGAAATGATTACCTAGTTAGCATTTCCTATCCCTGTTCTGGTCATATTCTGCTATATTTACAATTTCCCCACTCAGGAATAAATACGAAGATTCCTATTTTAATTTTCACTTTCTTTTTCACCTCCAGGTCCATCGAAACCAAAAAAGTCATCGATATTTGGTTCATTACGAGGGTTCGATACATGGCGCGGTTCATCATCTAGTGTTAGTGGGGGTAAGAAAAAGAAACATCACCATAGGCCCTCAGTGAGCGGAATCATTTCAGCATTTACATCAAGTTCTAACTCGTCGAGTTTGAAAGATAGTGACACAAATTATGGCAACAAAAAAAGAGTTTCTGCACCAGCGATTGTTAATAGTGACGTAACAATTCGGAAAATGGAGGAACAATTTTCAACTCCGGGGACAGTTTCTGAAGATGACATTACAGATGGCTTTAATTCTGTCGGGGGGTCATTAGATTCATTGCTGCTAGCGCCACCTGATGCATGGTGCGTACCAATTGAATCAGACTCGTCATCAGTACGAGTTTCTATTGGAATAAATGACTTTATAAATGTGACTATGACTCATAACATGACTTTTCGTCAGCTTTTGGAAATTGTTTGTCGACGTAGACAACTTGATTCTAATGATCATTATTTGGTGGGTGAGGGCAGCAATGGCATGGCGTTTGCACCCACAGACAATGACTTACTCTCAGAGGTCAAATGTGAAAGGTTGAAGGTCAAAAAGAAACGCTCATATAGTGTGGAGCTGGAATCGAATCTTGAAGGGTTTGGATTCTCAGTTTTACCAAAAGCTCTCTGCTGCCCTCTTGTTGTTGATATTGTGTCACCAGGTGGCAAAGCGGAGTCAGTTGGACTACAGAATGGGGAGGAGATTCTCATCATCAATGGCGAGTTAACAGCTGAAATGAATGAAGATGACGCCCAGAAATCTTTGGAAAATGGTATTAAATGATTTTTGTGTGTTGATTTTTAAAACACACTTTTTAAAACACACTTTAGCTTCAAACAAGGCTCTCTAGCAGAGAGCTACTAGATGCTTTAATATCTTTATGGCGTTCTGTGTTTGCCATTATTTGACCTTTGACCTATGCATCGTCGTTTTCTATAACGGGACTGTGCGTCAAAGCCCCAGTAGGGATTTTTCTTTCAAATAATTTTACAATTGTTTATTCAAGTTTTCTTTTCGATCAGTTGCATGATAAGTTTTTAGGATTTTACGCAGCTAAAATTGCGGCAACTTTTCTGACACCCCTTGCTTGAAACTCGCAAACTCAAAGGGATCTATAGGCCATGCTTTGGCGGTCTGTATTCATACTGAAAATCCAAATCAAATGAGCCTTTGCTCTACGCAAAGTTTCTGTCCTCCCTGAGCTCATCTTAGGACTGGCTAGGTTCCAAAATACACCCTGGGCGAGACATTATTCTTGAACTTATCAACATCCAAGTTAAGATCTCCATTCTGGATGCGGTATAGTTAACAAATACGGAGGAAGGTTTTTCATGGTTGCGGATTTTTATACACAAAATGTTTTCTGATTGAAATGTTCATGTATTTCAACTATTCCCAAGTTTTCAATATTTTCTTACTTCCTCATTATGGGAGAAATTCCCTGATATGACTGCCTAATCACATATGACGAATCCCAACCTCGATTATCAAAACAGATGGGATTCAGGGATAACCAGTCAATCATATTAGTATCATTGATTTTAGAGAAAGCTATATTCTAACAGCAATCTCATAAAGCCATGGCTTTTAAATCACCTTACTCACACAGATATTTGAAGTTCCATTTTCTACGCTACAACTACAATCTACCAACTGTCCTTCATTGCTTTTATAGAAAGTTGAGATAGATATTTTGAACTCTGTAATGGTAAAAAAAATAATAACACAAAAGACAAACATATAGGACAGAAATTTGAAAAACTTTAAATGACGTTCAAACATGAGACATAATATTACCTTGTGACTCAAAATCATGTGATCAATTGACTTTTTTTTATCTTCAGGTTATCTCAGGCTACTAGTACGAACCCGCAGTTATGAAGCAAATTCAAGATTAAAGACTTGGTGGCCAAATGGCAATCAAGAGGAAGACGGTTCGAATCCCAGTGGCTCAGACACAACTTTCTCCCATGAAGACAAAGAGCGCAGTAGAAGTGAACACTTGATGGCAGTATTAGAAGATTATTTGAATAAAATCGTTGTTCCCCCACCACCAGTCACCTCGAATCTTCAGGTTAGTAACAAGGTTGTCTCAAAATGAGATTTTTTTTGTCATTCATTCTAAGCATTAGGAATATGCTTGCCACCTCTGATTACCCTCCGTGAGTTTGCAGGTTCAATTCCCACGCAGGGGTAATTATGTGCGGGAGGATTGTTGGACTTCTCGCCGCTGTAGGGTGGTTCACGTAACCGCGGCTTCCTCCACCATCAAGTCTGTGCCTCTGAAAACAAATATCTGGCTAACTAATCCCATACCCAACATGGACTGATAAAATAACGTGAGGCCATGGTTCGCCATATGATTAAGCCGTCTTATCGCCTTCCCTCTCCCCCGGGATAAATATGTAAATCCTATCCTAAGACCTCTTTTCCAAACCCATTAACCAGTTTGAAATAAATCAAGTAGGGCAGCCAATGCTAAATCAGGGATATTTTGGTCCTTTTCAAAAATAGAAGTTTTTAATAGTTAATTTAATAGAAATAGTTTTTAACACATTGGTGGCGTCATTGAACAAAACTTACTACTTACCGGTACTATTATACCCCCGATTATCATAATTATGGTGATTCACAGCTAATTGTCTGTTATAGACAGAATTAACTATTTTTTTGTACAAAAATTCTGTGCCCCCCTGACTTTCTCATGCAAGGGAAAACTACAAATAAAACAAAAAATTCTTTCTGCAAAAATAGACACTGACACTTCTTTCAATCAAAAGGAAAATTACCACACAGTTCCCGAAAACAGCATCATGATTTATTGCTACTTCGATCAAATTATACCAATTTATCAATATCTCGAGCAATTTTTAATAGATTCGTGGCCCACCTGAATATGTTTCTGTGGCCCAGCAGTGGGCCATGTGTCATGATAAGTGATCGTGTTAGGTCAAAGGTCACTGAAGATGACCTTCACGCTAGTGATGTTCTCTGTAGACATGCCGTGTACTCGTATTCTGTGTTTGTGTTAGGCTGTGTTAGATGTATGTTAATCTGACTGTTTCTGTTGACTGAGGAGTCATCCGTAATAAATGCTTGCTGAATAATATATAAAGCCTCTTTATATATGCCTTATGTGTTTGGCTAGACAACACATGACACCATGGACCACTGGTTAGAAAGATACTAATATTGTCAGTGCAAACTATTTCATTTATAACTACTCCTTTCACTTTTTTAGCCTTCATTCATTCGATCTCCTTTCTCATCATCAAGCCGTTTAGAACTTGGTAAAAAGCATGGATCAGTAGAAGACATCATGAATCTGTTAGTCGTTCCTCCACCTGAACATAGACTCCAACCACCCCCAGAATTTGGATCTGAATTGAAGGAATCTGAGAACGGAAACAGTAATAATAACAACCATGCTTCAATTTTGACTCCCAAAGAATGTAAGTTTAGCCTTTTGAATAATTGCAATAACTGTTAAAAGTTGATGGAGACAGACAGTACTAGGATATTTTGTATTAGACTAATGATGAATAATGATAATGATAAATAAGGATAACTTGATCACTTTTCTCAAAATAGCAAGTCCATTGGTAGCATTTCGTAAGATATGACCTAAACTATGACTATGACCCAACGAAATATACTTGCTGGTACAAATAACTGGTAAACTTTTTCCTATTGCCTTCGTATGGTTGGTTTAAAAAGTTTTACTGAACAACAATTGTGTGAACCAACTGGTCCCTATGATGTTGAGGAGTCCAAAAACCTCATACACTCTTTAATTTTCTTGATTTCGAGAGGAGAACAATAAACGATCGCCAAGCTTATTTTCCACAATTTCACTTTCAAAGATAAATTGCTAAATTAAAGCTAAAATCTCTTTACTACTAACCATCATTGTATATTTTTTAATATGATGGTATGGTTTTCTTGCTAGGATAGAGTATACTTGATTATGACTGTGGCATTACTGTTCTTTTACATCTTCAGGTGATGCTTTGATTGATAACCTGCTCCAAAAATCTGAAGCAGTCACAGCGTTATGTCGCCGTCTCATGTCACATGATTATCTTGTCAACCAATCAGAATCAAGCTATCTACAGCAATATCCGAATGACATTCAAAAGATTTGGAAAGTTCTGCATGAACTAGTTGACACTGAAAGAAATTATGTGAAAGACTTGGACTGCCTATTAAAAGTAATGTATTATGATTTTCAATGATTTTTCGATAAGTAACTCGTATTAGTGACAAAGTAAATTGACATATGAGAAGGTTTTTCTATTTTATGACAATTTTCTGTTGAACTCATTTTCTATGTGGAATGTTTTGCAAATGGGAATATAGGCAATTTACCTCTTGAATATGTTAATACAATGAAGACTATAAAAATAGGACAATCTATGTTATCATTTAAAGTATTCAATTGTTATTCATATTTTTAAAATGATGCTTATTCACACATTTTGGTGCTAACAAGGCCCTGTAAAGCAACCATTTATATCTAATAATGGAGCTCCAGAAGTGTACTAAGATGGCGCACATCCTGAACATAGTATGTGTACTAGGTTGGGGTTTAGGCTGTGCGCCGTATTGGTGCACATACTTCGGGAGCGACCTAATAATATGGAAGGGGCCATTATTTTTGAAAGGATCAGAGATTTTTCAGTTTGCCACTGCCTATCCAGTATATATATGTATTCATCCATGAAGTCATAGACCTTGTCAAATAGCTAACAACTATTAATAATCAAAATTGTGGTTTTAAAATAGATTGTCAGTCATAAACGTGGCCTGCTCTGTAGTACATTCCAGTGTGTTCCAGCTTGAGTGGTATTCTATTTAATTAAGGAAATGTAAAATTTAGTTTTTATATTCCAGAGATTCTTGGAACCTCTTCATTCGGAAGGAATGCTTGATGTCCAAGATATAGATTCATTGTTGAGAAGTGTTCAAAGAATTCTAAACTTTCAAAGAACTTTTCTAGATGACTTAACTGAAGCTTTAGCCCATGATGGTAAGCTGTTTTGTTGACTTATCATTTTACAGCTGTGACTGCTTGTTCACAGCTAGTCTGGAGCAGTCAATTCTTCAGAGTAAAGTAGTCATCCAACCTAATTTTTGGACCAAAGGATGAAATGTTCAATATCCTATCATGTAGATTGCACATTCACAGCCCCTTTTGTCCGATGACCTAAACCAGTAGTTCCCAAACTTTTTGAAAAAAATTCCATGACGGAACCCTTTCAATTTTTTTAAAGATTCCTGGCCTTGTGCACTGAAACAAAACATTAAAAGATCACAACAAAAAATCAATGCCCGTATAGTAAAACGAACAAAAGAATATAAAGAGCAACTTAAATGACATGTGTGATATCCAGATTCCAGTCTGTTTCGATATTTGGTAAACGTGCAAAAGGGTAGCGTCAGCTACATCTCTGCAGTTAATGATGACATGAATTGAACTCTTTCTGTGACATCACAGGCCCACAGCTCTGTGACATCACAATGGGGCAGCGTGATCAAAACAGAAAGTAAAGAACACGTTGGTTCAGTGGTGATTGCAAAGCAGCAGGAGGCGACAGATGTGTATTTGCAAATTTAAGCACTTAATTTTTGTATTATCCGGCGATGATGAGCCCTATCACAGATCTGTTTCGCGGACCCTCCGAAAGTGCTTCACGGACCCTAGTTTGGGAACCACTGACCTAAACAATAATAACAATAATAAGCAATATAATTCAATATTACAATATGTTGTGTTGAAAAGGTCTCTGGGCAAGCAATCACAGATACAATGAACCTACTATGTTTGAACTCCCCAAAATATTTTCGATTTGGTATAGCAATATGGTCTATCCAATTTATTATTCCCTCAGTCATCAGCTGGCTGGTTGACCTAAATATTTTTGAAACAAATACATTTTTTCACATTTTTCTCACTTCGTATTTTTTCAATTTCAGAAGTTGATTCTTTTGCATTGAATCGGAGTCTTTTATCTGTGACATCATCGTTTCTACAACACGCTGCTCAGTTCAAACTTTATGCAGTTTTCTCAACCTGTCACACGGTGGCGCAAGACATCATAGAACAAGCAAAATCCGAATCGTCTGATATCAGAATATTTCTAGAAGCAAGAAATCCGAAGCATCAACATTCTTTATCTTTGGATTCTTATCTTATCAAGCCTATCCAGGTTGGTTGTTTGTGTGAAGTCTTTTCCCGAATTTCTAGAAATATTTTTGTATGTGACTTAGATCAGGGGTTCTCAAACTTTTGGTGTTATGGAGCCCTTGTAGACGTTGACCAATATTCACAGAAGCCCACAATAAATTTACGCCACAAATTTTACAGTAGACAACCATATTAATAAATTAATGTCATATTTGAATTACCACCTAGTTGTTACATTTCGACGCTACCATTGTCTAATTTTATTAATGCTGATATTGCTTATCAAAACAGTTACAAAATAAGCCAATTCAGTATTTTAAAAAGTAAGCGAATCGCTCGCGGAGCCCCAGGTTTACGAGGTGTGGCTAAAAAGAAACGAGACTGACGTCACAGATTGCGCAACACGATTAACCATTGGTAATCAACACTTTTACAGTGTGGTGTAATATGTGTTCTTTGTTCAACAGCTTTTTTGACACAATATCGCAATTATTTTTGCTCTTTAGGAGCCATAGGTTAATGTGATTAATTGCTTGTTGAAAAAAAAATTGCCGTGCGAGATCTGATTGAGTTTTTTGGCGATAGGGGGTTCAATTGCAGAATGACGATTGAGCAATGAATTAACATTAAATTTTGTGTCAAACTTGGAAAAACGGCGACTGCGACTTTGAAGAAATTGTGTGATGTTTATGGAGATTCTTCCATGTCCAGAACAAGAGTTTTTGAATGGCACAAGCGATTTGTGGGATGCAGGGAGGATGTGGAGGATGATTCGAAGTCAGGAAGGCCTTGCACTTCCACAACTGATACCAACATCGAAAAGGTATCAGTTGTGAGTTCAGTTGTGAAAGGCAGTTGATTCGCAGCGACCGTCGCTCAACAATTCGCGTCATTGCGAAGTTGGAAAAGACAAAAAAAAACGGTTCGCACCAGTTTGGTTGACACTTTTGGCTTGTGAAAGGTGAGTGCCAAAATGGTGCCAAGGCTGTTGACTGAGGAGCAGAAAGCTCAACGATTAAATGTTGCCCAGTTGACATGCATTTTTCCAAGTTTGACACAAAATTTAATGTTAATTCATTGCTCAATCGTCATTCTGCAATTGAACCCCCTATCGCCAAAAAACTCAATCAGATCTCGCACGGCAATTTGTTTTTCAACAAGCAATTAATCACATTCACCTATGGCTCCTAAAGAGCAAAAATAATTGCGATATTGTGTCAAAAAAGCTGTTGAACAAAGAACACATATTACACCACACTGTAAAAGTGTTGATTACCAATGGTTAATCGTGTTGCGCAATCTGTGACGTCAGTCTCGTTTCTTTTTAGCCACACCTCGTATCTCAATGAGCTCCGGGCTTTGTAGCAATTTGAGAACATATGCTTTAGATGGCCCAGCAGTTTAATTGTTAGACTGAACTGTGTTGGTATTGCAGATTACATATCTTAGGTTATATTTTTTATTTTTTTTTTTTTTAATTTTTTTTTTTTTTTAAAAAAATTTTTTTTTTTTTTAATAAATTTTTTTTTTTTTTTAATAAATTTTTTTTTTTTTTAATAAATTTTTTTTTTTTTTTTAATAAATTTTTTTTTTTTTTAATAAATTGAACCGATCCTTTCAAAAATAATAGTTTTTACGTATCATAGGCCAGCACATAACCTAAGCCTTTTTTTAGAGGTTTTGAACTTCTCTTGTCTTAAATAATAAATAAATAAATTCTCAAAAATTAAATGAGATAATGTAATCTTGTGTGAATGCATAAAAACTTAAAATAAAGCAGTTGCTGTTATCACCTTTTCTAAGAGAAAAAAATCTTCTCGCCCTCAATTTATACATTGCCATTGTTACTGACTCCATCCATTTATCATAATTATGCATCTCAAATGCTTCAACAACTTGACATGCCCAAATCCTGTCCACAACGATTTTGATATACAGGGTGGTCGCTAGAAAAGCAGAAAATTGGTCACACAGCTATTTATTTTTACAAAGAATACCTTTTACAAAGTTTTTTAAAGGCGTATGTTATTCTACATAGAATATTACAGAAATCAAATAAAACCTAAAAAATATCGACCTTTACAATGGAATGAATATGCTATAATGCAAAATCGAAGTCATACATAGTTTTTTTATTTATTTTAGTAGCCACCTGAACATTTCATTTATGTCTCCAATTTAGAGAGTTTTGAAGTATCCACTTTTAATTCGAGAACTGCTGTCACTGAGTGAATCCATAGATGTTGTGAGCACCAAAGCACGAAATAGACTCAGATCAGCCTTGCACGCGATGCATGCAGTTGCAAGACATATAAACGATACTCAAACCGTTCATGATGAATTTGGAAGTCAAGGTTTCATTGACGTTATGGATCATGCATCAGAGTATGTTGGACATGATGTGAGTAATAGTTTGTTTGGCTAATGTTTCCTAAGAGGAGAGACGATAATACAGCTTAATCATATTGTGAACCACGGTCTCTCATCCGGTTACTTGTCCATGTTGGGTATAGGATTAGTACACCAGTTATTTGTTTTTCCGATGCATGGACTTTATGGTGGAAGAATTCGTAACTGACCAGCAGTTACGTAAACCAACCTACAGCGGCGAGGGGTCCAGCAATCCCTTCGCACATAATTTACCCCACATGGGATTCAAACCTTCGAACCCACACCTGGTAGTCAGAGGTGTAGTGGGGGAACGTATTGCTAACACTCAGCACGATACGCCACACCACTGAGTCTTATTCAGTTATGCATTTCAGATGCACCATTCCTGGATTGATAACCAGATTATAGGCAGTGATTTGTCATCTTAAACCATCTTACCTGCATTCCTCGGGTCTGGTATAGTTTAGTACCACATGCACATCTAGTTGGCCTGGCTCAACAATTTTTGCATAAGCTGATCCTAACCCGCACCTGACTACGTCACCAACAAATTACGTCACTACGACGCCACAGTGGCGTAATAAATAACTCCAAAGTGTACAGATGGTCGTCCAAAACGCACAGACGATCACTCGAAATCGAGCAAGCTATTTCTCTCGTTTTCTCGTTGCAACGATCCCGATATGAGATAGATCGCTGGCGTCAGTGAGTTCGGTATCGCCGGCGCAGATGCCATTTCGGACAATGGTAGCTGTTCTTGGCAAGCTCTATGACGTGATTGTGATGTCGTAGTGACATAATTTTTGGATGACATAGTCAGGTGGGGGTTATATAATGAACCATGAACCATTCTACAACAGCCAGTAGTCCAGTAATTCTTTCACACATAATTATCCTCCTTGGAAATCGAACTTGGGATTTTGCACAGTGTAATCGAATGTGCGATGACAAGTGTATTCCTCATAGCATGATGTAGCAATCGTCGAGACAGGTCATAACATCATTTGTAATATCGTCCTTAATCATTATATTCTTTCAGACCACAATGATGCTGAACCTGAATGAGTTATTATGTTATTGCAAGACAGAATGGACAAATTCTCCTGATGAAATCAATACCAAGATAAAGAAAGGAAATATTATTGAAGCTCTAATATTTGGTGAGTACCTTGTGTTGATATTCAAAAATGTGAGGTCTGAGTTAGAGACTGTGGTTGGGCTTTTTGTTGGGTGTTTTTTAACGGGCTCTGACCAGCAGATATTGTTGAGAAGAAGTCCCGAAACCATGAGTCGCTTGTCAGTCACTAGAATTCTTCATAGTGTCGATAGCTCTTGGCATTTTGGTGGTTGTCTGCAAATTCACTAAGGAATCATTCTTCTTCATTTCTGAATTAGTTCTTGTGACCTTGCTTTGAAAAATACTTCAAAAAAGATGTACTGGAACCCTTCCGATTTTCTTTGCTTATTTTATCTTTTTAACTTCTTTTCAAGCAAATTTTGCAAAACACAAATAGTGTAGCTCCTTAGTTTCCAATGCACTCGAAGCCCTTCTTTCTAATCCCATGCTTCAACCTCACCCACTGTGTAATAAATTGGATAGGCAATGTCTAATGCAAAAATTCAGGTCTTTTCAAAAATAATTGCTCTTTCCGTATCAGTGGTGCTTGTACAGAGCCTTGTTTGCAGCAAAGATTGCAAAAACGCCACATACAAAATATCTTCTGTGTATTTCAGTTTTTCAAAAGGCAGTTGTGGTACTATGTCGTGGAATTAAACATCGAGAAAAAAAGAAAGCCACACCCCAACATGATAGTGCACCAAACTTGCGATCATCCGTGCAGACAGAATTTATACATTCCGATTTCATTCATGGAACAGAATTGAGTGTTGATGAGAATTTTTCAGGTGAGTTGACAGAAATAATACATGTAAAAGTAAAGTATATAGACTATAAATAATTTCCATATAATGTTTTTTTTCTGGCACCAACTAGGGATTATGAGTATAAGTTCATTCTGAATCATCAGAAGAACAAGCAATAAATTTAGATCGGATAAAATAACATCTTTATGGAAAAAACTATAGATGGCATATCAAATGGTGAACCACAACTTTTTAAGATTAGTCTGATTCAAGTATATGAAAAGTTTAGTTTAATTTTTTCGCTGCTTAGCCATCATTGGCAGATGAAGCTATAACCAACCAGTATTTCATTGGTGGATAATGGGTTGGTGGGTGCTCAGCGTTGTGGTGCATTGTGCTAAGTATTAGGAATCCTCTCGCCACCGCACCACTGATTACCCTACGTGGGTTCCCGGTTTTGAATTCCATGTGGGGATGATTATGTGCGAGGGGATTGCTGGACTCCTCGCTGCCATGGGATGGCTTGTGTATCTGCAAGTCGGTAACAGCTTCCTTCACCATCAAGTCCATGCTTTTAAAAACAAATAACTGGCTAACTAATTCGACATGGAATGATAACCTGACGAGAGGTTGTGATTCTCCATATGATTAAGCCGTCTTATAGGCTTCCCTCTTTGCCAGAATAAATATGTAAATCCTAAGTTTGATTGGGGCTATTGACAAGTAAGCATACTGAAGGACGTGAAGCATATCCTTCTGCTCAGTCCATAATCCAGTATTCAATATTTTATATATTCAGAAAATAAATTGGAAATATTGAACAAAGTATCGTCACAATCTTATCAACTCTGCTGCGATTCATTAGAAACAAAACAACGAATTGTGAAAACTGTTCGTTATGTTATCAAAGATTGTGCCAGATCGTTAAAAGACTGCACAGATTCATTACAAAGTTCTGAAACACCATTAGATGATGGCACACCATCAGTGGAAAATTTTGCCATGCCCGGTGAAAGTACAGCAGACAAGGATACGAACATAAACGTGGGTTATCTAATTAGACATATCACTAATTTGTTGCAAATACATTTGTCATAGTATCCCAGATAAAACATTTTACAGTTTATTTGTATAATAATAAATGATTTATATTGAATTTTGCTATGGCACAGGCCACAGAGTGACCCAGAAAAACACATAACTCATAAATTTTTCCAAGTACTTTTACAAAAATGAAGTGTATTCTTTAATTTTGTCCTGCTTGAACTCCTGCTTGTTGATGACTGTACCCAGAAGTGTCAATAATCTACAGTAAGTCATCAATCTGTACACAACACAGAACACACAAGAGAGTAATTCTGGAGAGTCTCACATTATGACATAATAGGACATAATAGAATTAAAAATCATCTTTCAAATCATCTTTCGCAAAATGCGAAAGTTCAATTTGAAAAAATTGTTCAATTCATTTCTGAAATTCAAAGCTATTCAATTTTGGGCCATCGCAGGTAATACTTTTGTCATCCTCTTGTTGTGTTGGTTGAGTAACATGACATGTTTCTATTTTTTTTTTTTAGGTCAAGACACAGAATGAAAATTTAAAGAGTGATCAATCTGACAGTGACATTGATAGTAACAGTGTCATTAAAATTATCGAACCAACTGCTCGCAGGAAACAAAGAGAATTTTTCTATCGACCAAATGAAGAAGATAGGCGAGGCTCTGAAGCACATATGAGTGATGCCATCACAGACTTGAAAAACTCAATACTACCATCTAGTGGTTCAGTACGAAGTGCTTCTCCGATCCCGATAGAAGGTGCTAAGAGATTGACAGAATCTCCCACACCACCTAGTGACAAAAGAAGTGAGCTTAAAGTTCCAATGACATTACCTTTGCCTACCTATGAAGTTGCAGTGTCAAATATCATGGCTAGCAGTGAACTATTGAAATCACCTAATTTAAGATCCGGACTTTGGATTTCAAGTGCTCCAGCCTCGATTCGATCATATAATACTGGTTCAAATAGGTCACTGGTTAGCTCCTCTTCCAAAGACAGTGTATCGGAATCCACCAAAATTGATAGTTATGCAGATAAGCCAGAATCATCCATCCATGACTGCCAGAATATGGAGCAGGACAACAAAAGCTCGAAATGTGAAAATGTAGAAAATAAATCTCACAATACTATTCCGAAAATGTCCAAAAATGGCTCACCTGCAAGGTATAATATGGTTTATGGTGTAGCTCCTTTTGAAAGTAAATTGTAATAATTATTCTTTAAATATCATCGGGTCCCAGTGTGCCATTTTTGTCCATGCTTTATGTCTTTGTGACATAAGTATTTGTCCTGTAAAAGTGCCATGTCTTTTATGGAGGATTACGAGATGTAAAATAATAATAACCGATAAATTCCAGATATGTGAGATCGCTATTTGCCATCGGTTATTGGCAATCCCAACTCATAGCCAATCAATTCAAAGAACCAAGCAACCGATCAGTTTTTTTAAGGTTTTTTGTTTAACAGAAAATTATGCTCTGAATATTCAGACACCTTCAGTAAATCAAATTCGTGACAGTCACAAAAATTTGGCGTCTCCCGAACCGTTTCGATTTACTCGATCTTGACTTGCTGTATTAATGATAAAAATTGTACATGTATTATTGATGTTTGGGCGATCCAGAAATATGTGTACCAATATGGAGGTAACTAATTTTGTTCGCCTACTTTACATCAAGTTGTGTAAAGGGACTGAAGCCTATGGGCAGGGGGTATATCCACTTGGCTAACACAGACAGTCCCAGACTCGTAAAAGAACTAAAATAGGAAAAATTGGAATAAAATTATGACCTGACCCTAACCTGGTAAACATAGTCACATACTACGGGAGTGCCTATATTTGCTAATCACCAAAGTCAATATTTTATTATTTATCTATAGCAAGGAGTGAAATATTTCTATCTTGAATTCTACTCTCTTTAACATTCCTATCGTTTTCTACTTTTTCAATATTTACTATCATTATTACAATACACTATTTTCATATATTTTCTACATGAAATATCCTAGATGTTCCAAATATTGTGTTTCAGCCAAATATGTGAGATTCTCAGTATTATCCATCTGTGTTTTTGTGTCTTTATTATATATTAATGAAAAACGTTTTCCAATGGTGTCTTAAGTATGATAATTTCTTTATCCATGTCTTTTTTAACTTTTCATTAATTCTTCAACCTAACAGTAATGAATCGATTAGAAAGCTGTTTTGTATTTGACTAATATATTGTATTACTAAACTTTTGTATTGACCATGCTCTTTGATAACTGTTGATTTATGAATGAGTTATGTTACCTGTCTTAAATACTGTATTTTCCGATGTTATTTGCTAATGCCAACTTTCTGTATACATAGATTATTATTCTAGATTAAAGTCTCTAATTCCTAATTAGGAAATTATGAAATTTATTGGTGAAATTGCTTGACAATAATATCAAAATAATCTGTTATTTTAAAAGCGAAATCATGCAGCTTTGGAACAACTATATATGGAAAGTACCATTTCACTATCGGCTCTATTTTTATTTTAATAAAAAATTCGTGCTATGTTGCCTATTTTTGATAAAGACGATTATCCGGTAAAACTGTTATTATACTCTTGATTGGAAAATTATGTTCCGCAAGTTCCCTATTCTTGTAATAGCTGTAGTTTATTATGGTAACTCTGCCAACAACATCAATTGTTTGAAAACCATGTTGTATTCATTTTTAATGTCACAAATTAATTTTACCTACAGTGTTTATTTTGTCTTTATCATGTTTTAGTTATGCTCTGACAAAGTGACTGAATTGTGATCTATCCACTGACTCTACAAAACACATGATAAATTCCTGCTTTAGGTGATTAATATCAAAAAATGACACAGCATTTACAAATACTTGATAAAACTTGTGATATATGTGTAGTATACACTGTCATTTTGTATTTTATACTTTCATCACTGTATCATTCGCAATAAATTTATGAATGAAAATCTTGAAAATTATATTTAAACCATTCGGAATGGATAGCGCGTTATTGCCACCAGTTAAATTCATATCGATGATAAATAAAGCACAACCGGTGTTAGCAAAACGTTTTAATTTGCCGACGTTCCGAATTTCTATTCGAAAAAACTTTATTAGGGCATGGTATGAAAGCAACACTATCGTAAATATATAGTGAAAAGAAAGAAAGAAAAATTTTAAATCAATCAATCAATCATTTATTTCGGTACTCTGACATAAAAACAAAACAACACAAAAACTGGACAAACAAACAAAATGCAGAGATACCTGGAAGGCGAGCATAACTTAAAATAAAGTTAAAAAACGTAAAAGTACGCGCCCGCCCACCAAAAAAAATAAAAAAATATTACTACAAGAATACAAAAAACACGATTCAGAATCGGGCAATGCTTTTTAAGGGATCTGTGGACAACTTACACAAAATATAACAAAATTTAGGTAGATAAATTAAATGTAATAGACTTCTGACGAAATCGTTTTGCTAACACCGGTTGTCCTTTATTTATCATTTCGGTTGGATGTTATATTATGTTGTGGAAATGGAGAAACCTGTTACAAGCCGGTAGTTTTGCGAATGGCTCTGCGATGACGAAATGGATTCGAAATTGATACCAACAGTATTTCAGACATCAGCCCACCTCGAAAACTTCCTATTACCGCCAGATGACTCTCTTAAGCCGTGCGTATCGTATTTATTCAACACAAACCGGATTGCAGTCAGGTGACTTAGAGTGCAGGAGTGACGTTTTAGTTGACAAAACGAGATTTTTAGACCAAAAATAACATGATTCGTAATTTGGTGATCTTCAGTTGGGGCTCGATTTTAAAAAATGAACAAGGTCAGAATAATATAATTTATGAATTTCACGTCGGCACTAAAATTCAGAGAAGAGCAGCAACAGTGGACTATACCGATATTTGTTGGATTTTTGCAGCAATGAATGAATTAATGTAGGGTACTACCGTACAGTGATAAATTTTTCTCTGTCCCAAGCAGAATGTCATCATAGATCATCTATCCATCGCTATACAATGACAATACATCCCATTTAATTAAACAATTATTTTTTGCCTGTAATAAATAGTTCAGAGCGTTCCCCTTCACCCAATCATTGAAACATCTACTCGCAGTTTTATTTTTTGTTTTTCAGGTTACTTCAAAGTGATTAAATGAAGTAAAACACATAAGAAAAAAATCAAAAAAAGACTCCGATATCCTGTGAAATAACAACCTTATTCCTATATCCTTGTCTGAAATCAATACCCAAGAATGAAAAACCTCACTTACACCCTTTGTAACCAATTTATTTCCACATCCTACTTTACTTAATTATAGTAATTTTAGTGTTACCGGTAACTTTAATTACTTACTACAATCTGGACTATAATTTGGCAATAATAGGCTCTAATTTGGGGAATGAAATGGTCTCGCCCACCTCTTCATGCACCCAATTCTGGCAACTTTGGTTGGGCAACTTGGCATTTGACTCCAACTATAATCAGCTTGGCAATATGTTTTCAATAGAATCTTCCTTTTATATCTTAATTAACGATTAGAAGATCGATCAATTTGGCAATGGCAATCATTACAAAAATATCAATATGGTGTGGCAGAAAAATTTTTTTTTTTCTTTTCTTGTATTTATTTATTTATTTTTTTTGTTTACTGTATAGTATACCCTAAATTTATCGCGTCTTATTCTTACTTAAATAAATTCTCAGTGGTTGTGTGTGTGTGTGTGTGGCTGGTGGGTGCATGTGAGCGTGTGTGAAATAACTTAATAATTTTAGGTGAGTAAACACGTACCACTTCCTCTTGGCAAAACCTTTCATCTTATATTTTGTACGTTATAAACCTTATCTAAGGTTTTGTTTGCTCCCCTGATTTCATAATCAGTTTTTATTTATTTGTTTTTATCTGTCAAATGTATTGTTATGCTGATTATGGAGTCGAAATAAACTTATAACTTATAACAGTCTGACAGTCAAGGCACTAAAGTTAGAATGGAGAAAAACGATTTCTGAATTTAACTGCCATCAACACCACCCAATAATATAAGGGGACCGAACCTTTTCTGCCTTTCCAGCTATTGCAGTCTGATTGTCATAGAAAACTGGTTGAACTGTGTGTTGGCAGGGATTGTTGGTTTCTCAGTTACCTATCCTAAATGTCAAGATAATCCAGTAGATAGTATGATTTTATCAATTTTCTTCTACATTGTATTTGCTGTTCCTATCTGTGTGAGGGCAAGATCTCGTCCTAATATTGTGTTTATTCTCGCTGATGATCTTGGATATAACGATGTTGGATATCATGGAAAAGAACATCTTTCTGCTTTAAAGACCCCACATCTTGACCATCTTGCTGAAAATGGTGTAAAACTAGAGAATTATTACGTGCAACCACTATGCACACCCACACGAAGTCAACTTTTAAGTGGCAGATACCAAATCCATACTGGATTGCAGCATAAAAGTATTTGGCCACCGAAACCAAATGCTCTTCCAATTGAAAACATACTTTTGCCTGAGCAACTCAGAAACTGTGGTTACGATACTCATATGGTAGGAAAATGGCATCTTGGATTTTATAAGGAAAATTTTTTACCATGGAATAGAGGTTTTAATTCATATTTTGGATATTTAACTGGAGTTGAGGACTATTACACCCATCAGCATTTTTATAAGCAAATGAGTGGCGTTGATATGTGGGATTCCAAACTCGGTCCTGTCAATAACACATGGGGTGAATACTCTGCTCATTTATTTGCCAGAAAAGCAATCGAAGCCATTGATAAACGAGATCCTGCAAAACCTCTATTTTTATATCTTGCCTACCAGTCCGTTCATGGTCCATTACAAGTACCGGAAAAATATATTGAACCATTTAAACATATAAAAAATGAAGCAAGAAGAACGTATGCTGGGATGGTTCTAGCAATGGATGAATCAATTCGTAATGTAACTCAGCATTTAGCCGATGTTGGTATTTTAGACGATACAATTATTGTGTTTTCAACTGATAACGGAGGTCAGACATTGAGAGGGGGTAACAACTGGCCATTAAGAGGCAGAAAAGAAACCCTATGGGAGGGAGGAATAAAAGGTGTGGGTTTCGTTCATGGTCGTCGTTTAAAAACTCATCACATGACTTATAATGGACTTCTCCATGTATCTGATTGGTTCCCAACTTTAGTAGAAGGTACAGCTAGTTGTCCGAAAGTCAATGGAACGCAGCCATTGGATGGCTTCAACCAATGGGACGCCATCCAACAAAAGACTTCATCTCCAAGAAAGGAACTGTTACATAATATTGATCCATTGTACATATCTCATATCAATCGTACTACCAATAGCCTGAAACATGGGTTTGATGTTAAAGTCAGAGCTGGTATTCGAGTTGGTCAGTGGAAATTGTTAACTGGTGATCCAGGGTTTGCAGAATGGGTGAAGCCCCCCGAATCCAACAAGTATGATTATAGTATGTACGGTGGTGAATCAATTTCATCCATCAAAGCAACAAATGTAAAGTTGTTTAATATTGAAACAGACCCTTATGAATACCATGATCTAGCTGATAAATTTCCATCTATTGTAGAAAAGCTTCTGACTAGATTAGCAAAATATAATTCTACTGCTGTGCCAGTGAGATTTCCACCGGATGACCCAAAAGCGAATCCTCGATTTCATGGCGGATATTGGTCTCCATGGATGGTTGATTAATAGAAATAAAATATGTAAACTATTAGCTACTCCCGTAGTATGTGTACCAAGTCAAACACCTTCATAATATTTTATTGAGTCATAAGATTATTTTACGTCATGTCCTGAGCCAGGTAAATGAGTCCATGAGTCATTAGTATTAGCAATCTGTTATTACCTTTTTCTTACATTCCCCTTTCCTTAGTTTAGTAATTTCACCATTTCCCCTGATATTGGTTCTTCACATAATATAACATATTGGTTCATACACTTCTGGAGCGCCAACTGTTGCACTTATCAAACACTCTTGGAAGCATCTAATTATGCTAATGTTTCATAGCTGCTGAGCTTCCTCATTGGTGTGTACAAAACTATTTTATTGCAAAACTGTAGGTACAAAATTCTAAAAGTATGAAAATATAGCAATTGTTACAACTTTTGCAAGCCTTTTCCTATTATTGTTTGAAGTTTGCTTCTTTGCTGTTTCTTAGGTTTGTTCCGAACTATTTTATTACTTGTTTACTCCGAAATTTTTTTCGGAGAAGTTTTGCCCTTCACAAATATTTTATGTAAAGTCAAAATTTTGATATAAAAACTAATGGCCTAATTATGTAGTTTGGAAATATGAAAGAAGTTAGAATGCATATGCATTGAAAGTAATACTTTCATTAATTTTTATATCATACTGCCTAACATAATATTATACACAATGTCTTTTACTGTTCCTAAGTTAAAAGCTTCTGGCTAAAACCTACCAACATGTCCAAGCTATGCCTAACTGAAAAGATCTTAGCCTTTCAAAAAACATAGCTTTATATGAATTAGTGCTCTGCGCAGAGCCTGGCTGAAAATAAGGAGGTCACACCTCATTAGATATTTTGCCTATGGATGAGTCTTGTAGTAACCTTGTTACTAACTTTCAAAATCTTTTACATGTTCCATGTTCAGTGTTACCATTATAAATTGCAGTTCCATTTAGTACTATATTTCTAGACTATATGACACTTGCACTTATTGAACATAGATTTCCTTGACATTTGCACTTATTAATCATAGATTTCCCTGTTTGAAAGTATTATTACTTATCGATCTTAAGATCGGTAAGTATGTTGATAGGTGTTTGTTTGTTTGTCTGTCTGTTAGATGCACGCGATATCTCACAAAAGCGAGGTTGAATCTGCTCCAAATTTTGCATGTGCATTCATCATATCTCGGACCAGAAGCCCATTGATTTTGGATGAATTATGTCGTATAATCAGCGAGTTATTAAGTAATTAGTGATGGGACACGCGATGTCACTAAAGAGTCATGAATCGAAACCGCAGTATCGACCGACAAGTCTTCGGTCTCCGACCGATATTCTCGTTTTAATACTATTGTGTTATTTTTGTCTACTTCAGTATTTGCAGCTATATATACCTTTGATTTCAGAAGCCATTATGTTATGAATATTTTGTGCGAGGACAATCCTATATTAGCGATTTTATTTGCAATATGTTTCATTCTACTAGATCCTGTCTTGCATTCTAAATTACATTTTAGTTTACCTATTTATCAAATGCTGCTACAATTATTGTGTTGTTCTTTTAATATTCGTGCACGTCTGCTAAACAACTTTTCAAGACCTCACAGTGTGATTGTTGTTAGTTAGTATAAGAGGGGCCAACATTTTGTTCATAATTTTGCAATAAGTTTTAATTATATCTTTTATACCTTATAAATCTATTATATACAATGAATTTTATTTTCCATTTTTTCTTCTCATAATTTTATAAATACCTGAGCTTTCAACTATTTTTGTGCCAAAGGCATTTTAATTTCACTGCAATAAAGTGCAAAACATTTGGTATTTGAAAAGTAGGATGTCTAGACAAAAAGTGTCCAAATTATGTACCTCACTAAAAATCCATTGCCTAGTGACTAAAAGCATTATTCTTATCTGTGATGGCATCCCAGGATATAATCTTGGGTTTGACTCCTGTGCCACTACCTCACCCATGGTGGGTTACTAGGTAGGCAATGGCAAAGCAGCTCATTACAAATCAGCCTCATTACATATAGCCTTAATTGTGTTGTATAAAAACATTGTGGATTTGTCAAGCTGTCAACTAATTTAGTGCCAAAATCAATATAGTGTAGCAATACTTTAAAAAACAGTTGGCATTTGGAAACTTTTGTCTTACAATCAATCATTAGGTACGATTTGATTTTTGATAAAATTTGGACTGAGATTAAATTGCATTTAAAAATATGTTCCTACTTATATTACAGTTACAGCTGACATGCAAGTATGCATGTTTTAGGCATTTTTAGTTTCATTCTGCTGTATGCTGTGTCCTATGCAAACTCTGATCGTCCAAATGTTGTTTTTATTCTTGCTGATGATTTGGGGTACAACGATATTGGATATCATGCGATCAACCATGATTCAGACATGAAAACCCCATATCTTGACCAGCTTGCTAAAGACGGAATAAAACTTGAAAATTATTACGTTCAACCGATATGTACTCCATCTAGAAGTCAACTTATGAGTGGAAAATATCAGATACATACTGGATTACAACATGGTGTTATCTTAGCTGGCCATCCTGATGGTTTACCATTGGATAATATAATTTTACCGGAACAACTTAAAAATTGTGGCTACGACACTCATATGGTAGGAAAATGGCATCTTGGGGATTTTAAAAAGGAATATATGCCGCAATATAGAGGTTTCAATTCATTTTATGGATATTTAAACGGCGCTGAAGATTATTATAAACATACTGTTATGAGCAATATTTATACTGAAGGGGTTGATTTCAGAGATGAAAACGGGCCGTTCAATACAACATGGGGCCAATACTCAGCTCACTTATTCACTGATCGAGCTAAAAAAGTTATCGATGGTCGTGATAAGTCAAAACCACTGTTTCTGTATCTTCCGTTCCAATCTGTACATTATCCAATGCAGGTGCCAGATCATTACATGATACCATTTGCTCATATTAAAGATAAAACAAGACGAACATATGCAGGAATGCTTGCCGCTCTTGATGAAGCTGTTATGAATATAACAGAGCATTTGAAAACTTCAGGAATGTTTGATAACACGATTATCATATTTTCAACGGACAATGGCGGACATACAGATTATGGAGGAAATAATTGGCCACTAAGAGGCAGGAAAGCGACTTTATGGGAAGGAGGAGTAAAAGGTGTCGGATTTGTGGGGGGAGGGTATTTAAAAATATCGGATATTAAAAGCAATAATTTCATGCATGTCTCTGATTGGCTCCCAACTTTACTCTCAGCAACAAGTTGCGCAAAAGTGCCTGGAACTCAGTCATTTGATGGTTTTGACCAATGGAATGCTATTCTTCAAAAGGAGCCTTCACCAAGAAATGAACTTTTACATAATATTGATCCGATTGGTCATGCGGCAGGAAAAGAACGAAAATTTGTCAATGGATTTGACATTACCAAATATGCTGCGATAAGATCTGGATCATGGAAGTTGTTAACAGGCGACCCTGGGTTTTCTGAATGGGTTAAACCGCCAGAATCACAAAAATTAAAAAAGGCACTCAACCATGAAAAATTCTGGCCACATATTGCTGTAGCAAATGGCTATGATCCATATTTACATGATAATGGTGCTTCAATCAAGCTATTTAATATTGAAAATGATCCTTACGAACGGGAAGAATTATCAGCAAAGTATCCTTCTGTAGTGATGGATTTACTAGGTCGACTAGCAAGATATAACTCCACTGCTGTGCCATGCAGAAACCCTCCTGCAGACATGAATGCTGACCCTAAATATTTCGGAGGGTATTGGGGTCCATGGATTGAAGGATGAAAATAATGCTTATTAATACAGTTTGATGTGCAATAATTTTGTTGTGGGTTTTAGAAAGTCCTGTTACAATTTCAAATTTTGTTATGAAGTCAGTTTTCAATCTATTTTAACCAGGTTTCTTTATTCCAATCAGTTTTATTTGAGTTGTTTTCACTTCATTTGATATACCTTTATATGCAAACCATTAGTTGCTCGAAGCTTCAATCAAAGTTCTTCACCTAATTTAACCTTCACCTCGCCGCCGTAGGGTAGTTCACGTAAACGATGATCGGTTACGGCGCTCTTCGCCATCAAATTCATGCATCTGAAAACAAATAACTGGCCAACTAATCCCATACGTGGCATGGACCGGTAACCGGACAAGAAGACATGTTTTGCTATTTATTTCAGCTGTCTTATTGGCTTCCCTCTCTTCAGATAAATATGTAAATCCTATCCTAATACCAGACTTTATGAATGTTCATACCTTTATTCATATATATTAACAATATAAATATAATGCCATATAATCTTCTATCATTGCCTAAGCTCTTTGCTTATTCTTTATCTAACAAAATGCCTTATGTCGTATGAGCATACATGGAACTGTTGTAATGAAGCACTGCAATGAAATTTCGATTTTTTCAATATTGTTAATTTGTTATTATATTTTGTATATTCACTGATAGAATAAAATATTCATGATCAAATTTAGAGATAAACAATTTTTAAACTATATAGTACAACATAGATTTATAGTATTATTTTTAACAGCCTTTAATACCATCATATCTCATTGCCAAACTGTGAAAAAAATTTTGAAAACTTTTTTTTCTATAGTTTTGACGTCCCTTCCACAAGATGTATCCTGGTATTTATTTAGTATGTTAATAGTCATGTGCTTGAGACGTTGCAAATATGTCACACCAGTTTGATTATTGGCAAATAGGACTGTTTATTACTCAAATGCATTTGTATTATGATTTTAAATTTTCCTGAAATCTCATATAAGCACTGAACTATCCTTTTAACATTTTAATATGTGATTTTAATTTTTTGATTATCAAATTTTTTTTTATTCGAGTATTAAAGTTTTGTATGAATTTAAAACAAGCTTTTACATAAATTCTTGATTATCTTTTATCTCAATTTTATGAATTATTTTCAAATTGTAGTTGTAAATATTCAATACGGATCTTCACTACCCTGAAATACAGCTTCATTTGCATTGATATGTAATATCAGCGACAGCATGGTTCAATAGATATAAATTCAGAAGCACAATGAGAAAACTTGAGAAAATTAGCCATTGCATATCTTCTCAAAAAGTCTGCAATAGTATGTGATGATAATATGAATGTACTATAGTGCAAATAAAATGTTTACATACATAGTTTTGTAAAAAAATCGAGTACTTTCAATACAGTAATTTTATAAATTTTGATATACGGCCCGCAATACTAATCAACAACTGAGATTTTCTATTTACGGTAATACTGTGTATATATATGAATTATATTCTACAATTATAAACTGCATATACTACCATAGCATATATATATGAAGGGTGTCCAGAAAATTTTGCTCAATTTTATAGTATCAACAATTGTAAGTTTAAATAAAATTATGAGCATTAAATTAATTGAATAAGAACTACAAGCACAATAAGAACTATTAATAAACAATCACAAATTTTTTTTTGATTATCATCACTATAAAATTGGTTGAAATTTTTCGGACACCCTATATCCACAGTGCGATTGGTCCCACCTAAATATTACAATTTTATACTCCTTACCATAGCATATATATATATATATGGCCTATATTCGAACTTTGTTTTTTAAAATCTGTGCATTCATGTCGATGACAAATTTATTATTCATGTTTCAATATGCCAAGTAATAATTAAAAGGAAGTTAAAAGTATGATTCATTGGAAATTACCCACCTCTATAAAAGATTCTTGAAATCAGTAGGCCTAAGTATCAGGCACTTTAAAACTATTTGAATTGATTTTGCGTATTTTCATATACCGGTAAGTTATCAAGTCAGGCCAAGTATTCAGATGGAGTTTTCTCTGAATAAGTCTTTACACAAGCTGGCCATTGGTAGGTGAGGAGCTATTATAATTTAGGACAGGAATTTTTTCATCTCTGCATTGTTTAGATTAGTGGTTCCCAAACCAAACGATTGCAATTACGGTCCACGTAATGTTTCAATATGGCCTACCGAACTTAATTGCAATCATTTAACAGTTTTTTTTACATTCTTGGTACCGTCAATTGTTACATCATTATCACAGTTTAAGCATGTGTATATTTGTTACGATTCAATTATACCGGTATCTTAATAAATATACGTACCGGTATCGGGCCCTCACTGGCGCTCTACTCTTCTGACCAGTGAATATCCTTCCGTTTCGAATTTTGTCCCCCAGTCAATCACCTTTGGGAACCACTGGTCTAGATCTAGTTTGTTTTGTCAATGTTCCATCATATACATATCTGCTATATTCATTTTTCTCAAGTTTTTTTAATATTAAACTTATCAGTATATCTTTGTTGATTTCAGATAGACTTCTAAAAGATACATTTAAATACCTAAAAAAATATAGTTTTATTTGTGAGAGAACCAGCAAGACTCGTTATGTCAACGAACTGCACTTTATTCGGGGGCGATGAACACAAATGCAGTGTTATCATAGGCTTGAAAAGAGGATTCGGTACTTTATCATTGATTGGATGTCTCTTTATGATCGGTACGATATGGCTGTTCCGAAAATATCAGGTGAAAGCTCAACAATTGATACTTTGCTTGAGTATTGCCGCTTTTTTTGATACGATTGGGTACATGATAGGTGATATGACGAAGGATGGACCGCTCTGCGATTTCGAAGCGTGGTGGATGACATATTTTGATTGGACTGTGCTAGCTTGGACCAGCTGTATAACTTTCAATTTGTATCGAATGTTGACGCGTCAAGAACATACTCCGCATTGGTACTTCCATTTTGTTTCTTGGATTTTTCCACCTCTAGTTCTCAGCCTGCTTCCTCTTATTGGAGATAATTACGGACCAGCTGGTGCTTGGTGCTGGATTAAACATGATTCAGTGGCTTGGAGGTTCGTGATTTGGTATGTGCCGTTATTTCTGATTCTAATTTTCATGATTATACTCTGGGGGAGAACTCTGTATCTTCACAAGCGTTCTATACCAAGTTGGCAGGGAGGGCAAGACACCAATGCAGAAATGATGAGAAGTCTTATCGAGGACGATATGAAGACACTGATATGGTATCCTCTCGTTTATCTGGTCTTATCATTCTTTCCACTCATATTAAGAATACACAATGCAGCTACAGATCAAGGGCAAGATATCTATTTCCTTTGGATAATGACAGCGATTACTGCACCTTTACAAGGAGCTTGCAACGCAATTGTTTTCGGTCTCGACCCAGAGACAAAATCAAAGTTAACGTGGTTGCATATTCGAATGGCATGGGCAAGTAGGTTTTCTCAGAAAGATGTAATACAAGAATACACAGTTGAAAATGATTCAACGGCTTTCGGAGATTCAGAAACAAGAGCAAGTGGAGCTTCTTCAAATAGTGAGAATGTCCCTTATGGGTCCATAGAAGGAAAGCAACTTTGATTCACCCATTTGCTGCAAGAGTATTCATAGACAATCATGATTTGAGTATTTTCTTTTTTATATCTATTGCACTATGAAAAAAAATTAAAAGTTGAAGTTAGGTCAAACTTTCACAATTGTTGATAGTTTGCTGGACTAAAAGATATGTGACTCTCTGACAAATTTATCATCAATTTGTCTTTAATCTTTATAATCTTATCTTTACCCTCTAGTGATTACCCTATATCCTCGCATATTGGCCAAGTTTGAAACTCAAATCATACGCAAATAACCCTGATCACACTAAAAATTCAGCTTACGCGTAACACTTATCGCACTGAAACAAAATGACAATATGCTTACCTAATTCCAACAGCTACAATTCGAACCAAGTTCTCACGATGAGAGCGTGCATGTTGCAGCATGTACACACGCAAAGCAGCTCTTGGTACGTTATGACAGTGATAACAGTCTGTGATTGGTTGTCATGATCGACTGCATGTTTTCGCTATGACAGCAACACCAGTCTGGGTTGGCTTAGATTCAAATTTCCATATATTCACTGTTTTAGGGGTAGGCTTATATGCGGGGATTCATTTCCATTTTTATTCTTAAACTATGGGCTCATTGCGATGCTGTTCTTAGTGTTCTCTATCACTTCTCAGATTTACTGTGAATTTTAAAATCAAACAAACATTTATTAGTGTTCAGATTTTTTGGGGTGATGTTAAAATTGTTTTTTCTATATATTAAATTATATTTTGGTAAAAATTTCCATCAATTCAATTACACATCGATATTAATATAGGGGTTCAGTGGTTCTCAAACTTTTTAAGGCCGCGTGCCCGTTGTAGAATTTGTCTCGTGCCCCACCTCAAAAATAACTAGCTAACGATAAGCTACAAATAACAAGGTGAGTTCTATTCGAAAAACATGTTGAAAAAATATATGGATGGAACGTAAATAATGGAATAAATGAAAGTTTTTTAATGTTAATATCCAAAATAAGGCAGGCAAGATCAAATCTAGCAAATATTTTTATTTTTGCTTAGCTTCACACCCCCTCAAAAAATTGTCCACGCCATTTGAGAACCACTGTTCTAAAGTTACCAATACTATATTTACCATAAACAAAATTATTTTAAAATTATGAATCTTATGAATTTTAAACTTAATTATTTTATTACATTTTTTTAAAATAAAATTTGACATCATAATAATGAAGAATCATTACATTTTACCTTACGTATCTCTTTGCATTGACTCCCGATTTGATATATCGTTTCATTAGTATTTTTTCATAAATCACAAATCATGCTATAAGCAGAAGACACATGGAACATACACCTGCTTAGCTGTTTCCATACCCACATCGGCACTCGCAATTAACCAGATTATCACAGAGTGTGAAAGTCTTTTCGTACGGCGTGTTTGTAAGCCTAAGGCTCTGATTATTTTGGAGGTCACTATCGTTTCAGCACTTTTTGTTTATTGTCCTGAGTTATGAAAGGCATGTGCTGATCCTTACCTGTGTTTGTTTTATGCATTGTTACGGGAGTGTTTAACTCATCTATAAAAAAGATACCATACTCCCCATGTTGAGCATCCCCTGTAGGCCCTTACTTGAACACCTCATTCTACATCCTATTTGTTTTATTCGGTGATCGTACATTTGAACCCACGTACATTTGAACCCATGTGTATATACGCAGGTTCAATCTATATGCGGGTGCTAAAACCCATGGGTTAGGGTTAGTATGGGTTCAAATATCCGTAAAACATAAAAAAAATTCCATAGATGCAATAATATGCAGGTGCAATTGTCATAGGTTCAAATGTACGTGGGTTCAAATGTAATGGAACCGTTCTATTCAGGTATTAAATTTAATGTAGTATATTTATATGATACTTTGGTTTAGCTGTGATAAAACTTGTTTTTCAAATCTTACTGAATCCAATATATACTATTAATGATTTTTATCATTTTTTTCATGATTGATTGCTCTTTACCTGTCTTATTGATTGTATTCATGTCATAGTTTCTATTACTACTTTATGCCAGGTCTTCTCTGACTTTTGGCGTAATGAAGCCTGTGAATAGATTTATGAGACTATGATTTATGCAGCCCCACAATATATTTAAATTAATTAAAATTGAAGAATTATCTATTGCAGGGTGGGCAACTTCTCTAGTCGGCGGGCCAGATGTGGGAAAATGAAGTCCTCAGCGGGCCGGATTATTACAATAAATACTTCGGTATCCAATCTTTGTTAAATGCTCGACACTCTGTCAACTTTTCGTTTCTTGGGATATTCCATGGTTAATAAAACCTAATATAAAATCTAATTTCTAAAATCTATACATATTTAGAATCTAAATATAACTGATAACAGTGGTGGGGAATGTTTACAACGCTCTCTGCTTTGACCTTATATTGTTTGTTTAATTAACAAGTGTGCTAACGCAATTGTTTGTTCACTAAGGCAATTGTTTATTTCACCAGCTCACACTGACAGTGAGGTGAGAGTAGAGCGATCGGCAACTTTCAAGAATGATGCATCGGACCACATTACAGAGTGTGGTTGGATACAGTCAGCAGGCCGGTCGAAATTTTGTCACGGGCCGTATGTTGCCCACCTCTGATCTATTGGAACTTATAGATAATGTCATATTTAATTTACCGCCTCACATTTCCATGCTATTTTGTTGATGGACCTGAGCAATTTAATAATTCGTGTCATCTTTTTATAAACTGTGTCTTTGAATTTATCTCTGTTTCAAATATATGCCAGTATTCTTGTCAGACAAAGTAATCATTGATGGAATAATAGGATGATAATAATGTTGCGAACCTCACGTCCGGTTGCCAGTTCCTGTCGGGTATGAGATTAGTTAGCCAGTTATTTGTTTTCACAAGCATGGACTTGATGATGAAGGAAGCTGTAACCGACCAGCAGTTTCGCGAACCCTGCGTAGGCGAGGAGTTCAGCAATCCTTGAACCCACACAGGGAAATCAGAAGTTCGGTGGCGAGCATGTACCGTATTTCTAACTCTCAGCACGATGCGCCACACCGCCAATACTCATATATTATCACAGTTAGAAACAAAGATTTCTAACTTGAAATTCAAACACAGATAAGATAACCAGCCAATCACATGCATATTCCATCCATTCAAGTATTTTCTATATTTTTGTTTGCCAGTTTAAGTATGTTGACTTGTATTGTGCCAAGTTTATAGTGTGAATCATATGAATTTAACAATTTCTTGTCACTTTATTGCCTCACTTTGGCGAGGGAGATAAAATGTCCATTTTTATATGGCATTTGTTATAATTAGAGCATTTATATTTTGTGCATTTTCGTACTTTATTCAAATCAGGAATTTTGTCATTTTCATAAAACTTTGAATCATGAAATTACCAATCATGTATAGCTCAACAATCTGGGATGTCCAAAATGTATCCAATGTTGCCTCCGTTCTAGTTCAGGGCAATTTCAATTATTTTCAATTGGTTATTTGTGATTTCGATCATCTGATGCAGCGTTTCTCAAACTGTGTTCCGCGGAACAGCTTCCTCGGAGTGTTCTGCGGGACAGGGATCAAAACTGTGACTAAATTGGGTCGTAAATTCGTTGTCCCAACATGCGGCAAACAGCATTTTCTTAAAACAGTTTTGTCAGTTTCCCCTCTTTTGGGTTAAAGCCCTTGCATTATAGAACTTTGTAAACTAAATCATAGATGATTTTATTGTATTTATATTGAGTCAATTTTCTGATAAAAGTTGAAATACACTTACAATTATCCATTTATTTGTTTCATAGCCTACAGTCCTACACAATGGCTAATACAGCTCTATGTATAATCTCTATGTTACTGAGTGTAGCAGCAAGCACGACTACAAAACCAAACATAGTCTTTATTCTTGCTGATGATTTTGGATACAATGATATTGGCTACCATGCTCTAAATCATCATTCTGATATGAAAACCCCGTTTTTGGACAGACTCGCTGCCGATGGGATAAAACTGGAAAATTATTATGTACAACCGATTTGTACACCCACACGAAGTCAGCTTATGAGCGGACGTTACCAAATTCACACTGGTCTACAACATAGCTATATCCACCCAGATCAAGCCAATGCTTTACCATTAGATAATATAATTATGCCAGAACAGTTGCGACAATGTGGTTATGACACTCATATGATAGGAAAATGGCATCTTGGGGATTATAAAATCGATTACGTACCATGGAAAAGAGGGTTCAATTCCTATTACGGCTTCTTAACTGGTTCAGAAGATTATTACACTAAAGCATTTTGCTGGGGGAATGATGGATGTGGGGTTGATTTCTGGAGTAACTCCGGCCCTACGAATAAAACCTGGGGTCAGTACTCTGCACACTTATATGCAGAAAGAGCGAAAGAAGTTATACATAGCAGAGACAAAACTAAACCTCTATTCCTATACATGGCTTTCCAGTCTGTACACAGCCCTATGCAAGCTCCTGACCAGTATGTAAAGCCTTTTGATCACATTAAAGACAACGCCAGAAGGATCTATGGGGGTATGGTAGCTGCATTAGATGAGGCAGTTGAGAACATTACAAAACAACTTGATGCTGAAGGCTTGTTGGACGACACAATAATAGTGTTTTCAACAGATAATGGAGGACAGACCCTAGCTGGTGGAAACAACTGGCCTCTAAGAGGAAGGAAGGTAACTCTATGGGAAGGTGGTGTCAAAGGAGTTGGATTCCTGCATGGGAAACCACTAGGTGTTCATGGTGTAACTCATAACCAGCTTTTGCATGTTTCAGATTGGCTGCCTACTTTATTAGCAGCTACCCAATGTCCAGCAGTAAACGGGACGCAAAATTTTGACGGCATGAACCAATGGAAGGCTATTTTGCAAGAAGAACCTTCTCCAAGGACTGAGATTCTCCACAACATTGATCCAAGATATGATAGAAATAAAGATCAACTTAGTTCTGAAGAATCAGAAAAATTCAACACCAGTAAAGGTCATGCAGCGATCCGTTCCGGGCCATGGAAGCTTTTAACTGGCGACCCAGGATTCGACAAGTGGGTAAAACCACCAGAATGGGTTCAAACTCTCTCAAATACGACTGACTATGCAAGGGAAGATCACACAGTAGCCAAGACCATTCAGTTATACCATATAGAAACAGATCCATATGAAGAATTTGAGTTGTCTGATAAATTTCCAACTGTTGTGGAAGATCTTCTAGCGAAGTTGGCTGCTTACAACAAGACCGCTGTTCCGGTCAGCTTCCCACCAACTGATCCGAGATCTTTCCCAAAAAATCTGGGTGGATTTTGGGGACCCTGGTTATAGAAATATACCAGGTTGTTAAAGTATTTCCCATAAATTTTATTCTATTTTTGATTTTTCATCTAAATCAAGGTTATGGTGCTTTAAAAATGACTTCAAGCCCTCAGGTCGAGCGTTATGCAAAATTCAACTTCTTCATTGTGAAAGGAAACCATTTCAGCCCAGGCAAGCTGTTGCACAACTGGAGTCAAGGCCAAGAATTGGAAAACTATGAAACCAAACTTCATTGCAAAGTCATTTTGAGAGTCCCACTGTTATTTTATAAAGCATCGAGTTATACATAAGAGAGCAATAAATACCCAATATGCAACAAGATTTTTGAAGCCTTCAATTTAATCACCATAAATCTATAGAGTTTCAGTGGTCCTCTGTGACATTAGCCTCCTTTAAATCAGATCTAGCATAGCCTTGGTCTATAGATATTTGTTCAATGAAAACAAACTATCAATTCTAAATTTAACTTTTTAAATCCTTCTGGCATAACTGGGATGTCATTGCCAGAGGGTATAATAATATCTCTGACAAAAATGAAAAATGAAGATCTATTTTTTAAATATGGTGCCAAGACAGTGCCAGATTTTCACATGATTTATTAATGTGCTTATCTTATTACCCTATAGCGATATATGCATTCCTTTATGTTATGCCATTATATGCATCAATTTATCCAAATATGATTTGTTCATCTATATCAGCGTTTCTCAAACTTTTTTGCCTCGGAACACCTACTAGCACGAGGCCTGTCCGCCTGTTTGTTGTCACCTGGGAGACAAATTTCCTACCCAGAGTCGCCATGTACAACAGATATGATGACCAATTTAGAGGCTATCCATATTCTATGGATCGCTTCAAAGAAGCTCACGGAACGCTGATTGAGAAACGCTGATTTAAATAGCTAGTAATGGTTATGCTACTGGAAATGACCACTGTTATCTAATCAAAAATTCTAACCTCAATTTACATTCATTGAGATTCATTCATTCACGTGTCATGTGCAATTCCTCAAAAAAATTTTTGAAAAACTTGATACTTTGGAAAGTGGCTATGATTATTTCCATTAAATTTCAATTATAGGGATTTTGAAATCGTGACTCTCAGTTCTGACATTGTCTTCACTCTAAGGCAAGGGTTCCCAACCTTTTAAATCTCTTGACCCCTTCTGCAGGCTTCCCCATTGTTCAATATTACAATGGTATTTATAGTGTCATTTGGATTAGTGGATTCCAAATCCGATTATGTTCAATAATTCATGCTCAACAATAGGATAACGGTAACACCCTGTGAAATAACTTTATCAAGCAATGAAACTAAGAAGAAATGGGAGTATTCTAGTGAAAGTAAAATCAGTTTCGTGCCTGTCATGGAGGCCCCCCTCCAGCTGCTGAATGGCCCTCTTGGTGGGCCACAGGCCCTCGATTGGGAACTACTGCTCAAAGGTGTAGGTGAAGTGGGTGACTTACTTTTCAACTTAATGCCTCCTGAGCCATCTGACAATTTATTTCAATTTTTTTTTTTATCGTGTAGTTCAAGTTTCTTTTCTTCATACACTTTTCTTTAATCATGTTTTCCACTGTGGTTTTGATAATTTGTCACTTCATATCAGTTTCCAATAAAGCATTTAAAAAAGCTTCGTACTTTGTGTTTAGCAGGTCAAGCGTACATTTAGCAGCTGACTGGTTGTACTGTTGTATAGGACCTTTGTTGGGGCAAAATGTGTGATTAATAGTATTAAAAAGAACTTTCTCTAGGTCTTTTTATAGTATTATAAGCATGAGCTTTAGTGGTTTGGCCACCTGGTTTGCTTCCTAACTACAATAGTTTTTTTACCCAGCATTGGTTGCTTGCCCAGAGCCTTGTTTGAAGTGGAAGGCATATAAATATGTTGTACAAAAAAAAGTGATGGGATTGGATATTATGAGCAAAGCGAAAGTGTTCAATTTTTCCAAATGCATCTGTCGCAAGGTCAAACCTCTCATCAAGACAGAAATTCATGAATATGATTAAACGACTTAACCATGTTTATGAGTCAAACAAAAAATACTGATGTGATTGGATATTACGAGCAAAGCGAAAGTGTCCCTAGTTTTTGCGAGTGCATCTGCCCCAAGGTCAAGCTTCCTCATCAAGACAGAGATCCAAAAAATATAATTACTTGAGCACACACAACTCCAATGTCTCCCCTAATGTTCAAGGGTCTTGTTTATAAATATTGTTTATCTTGTTATGGTGAATATTAAATTTTACTGTTCCAAATACATGACTTGCAGATCAGACTTTATACCTTTCCAAAGGTGATTTATCCAGCATGAACTTACGCATAATTGGTAGACTCACCGCTGAAAAGGCACTAATAGTAATTAAGGTGCTTGATCTTATGAATGACACACCTGAATATTCAAACTTGTCCGAAAATATTGCAAGACCTTAATTGAAGAAATTCAATTTATGGTTTTGTTATACAATGATCCTCAGCAATGAGACCAACAAACTATTATTATCTCATGATAACTCCAACACTTCACAATTTGAAATTTTCTTGAGTCAGTATTATTTGCCCGTGCACATTTGTCATGAAGATTAAATAGCTAAATTAACCAATTTTTTTCGATGCTCCAGAAGTCAGGAAATGTGTGTACCAATATGGAGGTAACTAATTTTGTTCGCCTACTATACACAAGGTGGTGTAAAGGGACTCAAACCTATGGGCAGGGGTACAGACAGTCCCCGAACTCGTAATAGAAGTAAAAATCAGAATAAAATTGTGGCCTAACCTGGCACACATATACTACCGGTCTACAAGAGTACCTTCTTTCTACTGATGTTCTCAAATGCTTTACAATGAGAATTCTAGCAATGATTGGTATTCAACCATAGTTAGATAATAACTGCGTATCTTATGGACCCACTCAAGCCTTCTTCCTCTGCCTTTCTCACTTCTGAAAGGCAAGATGGAGTATTTCTATATTCAAAAATTTATTGATAAAAAAGTATAAAAAGTTGAAAATGAACCAGATATGAAAAAGAACACTTGAAGACTGGAATTGCACAGTTATAATTCTCATTAGGCTGGTGTTTTCTAGTATTTCATGTTCCTTGATTTTCAATTAAATCTACATAGAGTTTCTTTACAATTTCAATTTTATTATGAAGTCAGTTCTCAATATATATATCTCAACGAGGGAGGTTTGTTAATTTTTAATCAGTAATTACTGAAGTATTTTGACCTCGTAAAAAATCTGTGAGGGTCAAAACAATATACCTCCATTTGGCAAATGTTAAAAAATATCAAGACTGCTCAGTAATAAGAAAGGACGAAATCTACGGGAATGCTGTCAAAATATTTCCATCACATGAAATTGATCTTTAAATAGCATGCTGTATGTGTATCTAGTGGGAAATTCATGCAGAATAAAATTTATCAAAAACTATGGTTAGTATACAAAAACATTTTTGGAGCAAACATTGCACTAAGCCTATTTGAAAGTAATTAAGTACCAAAGTTCCAATGCAAAGGAGAAATCTAAAAATACTATATCTGTTATGTTACATTCTTTGGCATAACTTATCATAAGTAGCATAAAAAATTTGCGCAATAAACAAAAAATTTGCAGTTATTGCGTTCAGGAAAAAAAGCAATTGCAGGTAACTTTCTATGGCATAACTTATTGTATGTAGTATGAAAGATTTGCACAATAAACAAAAAAATTTGGCAGTTGTTATGCTTAGGAATAAAAGAAACTGCAAGTTAATGAATATTTATAGAAACTCATCAACAAACAGGGCTCTTAAGTTTTATTCTCCGATTAGATATCTTGAAGTTTTCAGCATAGTCTACCAAAGGTATTGCACCCTGGATAGGATAGTATTTACATATTTATCCCAGGGAAGAAGAAAACTGATAAGAAGGCTTAATGACGTGTCATGTTACCAGACAATGTAACAGTAAACTGCTACTCTAAAATTTTAATATTCGAATATTTCGTCCGGCCCAGCCCTTATTAACTTGCTTTTAATAACGTATTTTGTAAATTCTAACGTAAATCAGAATCACTCTACCCAAGGACCCCAATACCCTCCATGATATTTGGGAGAAGCTTTATTATCACCTGGAGGATACCTTGGTGGTACGGCAGTTGCATTATATGCTTTGATTCTTTCTAGTAAAGCTGTCACTACAGATGGAAAATAGGATGAAATTTCATGGCGTTCGTATGGGTCAGTTTCAATGTGAAATAACATGATAGAAGCATCACGTTTATAAGAATGTGCATTCCAACCCTCTAGGTTTTTGTTGGAATCAGACATAGAAGAAAAATATGGATTTATTTTTCGCGACTCTGGTGGATTCACCCAATCAGAAAAGCCAGGATTTCCAAGAAATAACTTCCAAGGTCCAGATCTTATCCCGCATTGAATAGTTATATCTACGCCTTGAATAATTTTTGATTTAATAGGCTTTCCTTTAAGGGGGTCAATATTATGTAGAAGTTCTTTTCTTGGCGATGGCTCTTTCTGAAGAATGGCGTTCCATTGATTAAAGCCATCGAGTGGTTGAGTTCCGTGAATTTTTTGACAATTTGCCGCTGACAATATAGTAGGAAACCAGTCAGAAATATGCATAAAGTTACTGCCTTTAACATCCGATATTTTCAAATACCCTCCCCCCACAAATCCGACACCTTTTACCCCTCCCTCCCATAAAGTCGCTTTCCTGCCTCTTAGTGGCCAATTATTTCCTCCATAATCTGTATGTCCGCCATTATCCGTTGAAAATATGATAATCGTTTTATCAAACATTCCTGAAGTTTTCAAATGTTCTGTTATATTCATAACGGCTTCATCGAGAGCGGCAAGCATTCCTGCGTATGTCCGTCTTGTTTTATCTTTAATATGAGCAAATTGTTTCATGTAATGATCTGGCACCTGCATTGGATAATGTACAGATTGGAACGGAAGATACAGAAACAGTGGTTTTGACTTATCACGACCATCGATAACTTTTTTAGCTCGATCAGTGAATAAGTGGGCCGAGTATAGGCCCCATGTTGTATTGAACGGCCCGTTTTCATCTCTAAAATCAACTCCATATTCTGTCGAGGATGTTTTTAAATAACGTGTGTAATAATCTTCATCACCATTCAAATATCCATAAAATGAATTAAAACCTCTATATTGCGGCATATATTTCTTTTTAAAATGTCCAAGATGCCATTTTCCTACCATATGCGTGTCGTAACCACAATTTTTAAGTTGTTCCGGCAAAATTATATTATCCAATGGTAAACCATTTTTCTGATTTGGATGAAGCACAGCATGTTGTAATCCAGTATGTATCTGATATCTTCCACTCATAAGTTGGCTTCTAGATGGTGTGCATATCGGTTGAACGTAATAATTTTCAAGTTTTATTCCATCTTTAGCAAGTTGGTCGAGATATGGGGTTTTCATGTCTGAATCATGGTTGATTGCATGATACCCAATATCATTGTATCCCAAATCATCAGCGAGAATAAAAACAATATTTGGACGATCGGCTACCACGGCATTATTTAAAATAAACAAACTAAATAATTTTACCCATGCATATCCCATCTGATTTAAAAGCATTGCGTAGGTTATAGGGTGTCCTTAAAGTCTTAAATTTTTTTAAAATTGCAAATGGAATTTATTGATACCATATATTGTTTTAGCACTCACATATGTATTAAATGAAATAAAAATACTTGAACAATTACTGAATAAAAAACAACAAACTTGGTCAAGATATATTGAGAACTGACTTCATAACAAGAATGTAATTGTAAAGGTACTTTATGGACACCCTGTATACCAGTTACATAGAAATAAATGCGATGTTGGCATGAAAGTGCCATGATTGACTAAACTAAATGATGAAATTGCACAAAAATTGATTGTAATACAATTTAATAGGAGAGCAAACTAAATTTATTAAGTTTTCAACTCTAAAAAATCATTTGAAAAGCATGAAAAATTACTGCAAATAAGAAAACTTTGTGTACGAAACTGCAAAAACTAAATTAACACAAAAAGGCATAATTGGTAAGAAAAAATACCAGTATTTGATCTGAAAGCTTTTGACACTCGTAGTTCAAAGTACGGCACTAGATATAGCCACTACAATATAATCTTAGTTTCGATCATAGTTTGTCAGTAAATATATGAGAACTAATAATTTCAGGTCCACATCAGACACATGATATTTTAATATCAATATTTGTGAACTTCTAAATATCTATTTTACAGTTTCTTCATGTCTCATGAATTCAAAAAATATGCAATATTAAAATATGAAATTTCCGCATTATTTCACCGTTTTGTGAGAATTCCAGTAAACAATATTTTACTGGTAATGGAGTCTTAGCAGGCGCAGAGTTGCATTGTCAAATTCCCTGAATTGGGAGGTAGAATTGGAAGTAGAAATAAATCCTCGGCTTAAATATGAAATAATATATGAAATGCTGTATATGAAACGCTGGCAAAATGCAACGGGGAGTGTTATTACTTATCGATCTCGATCTGTAAGTATGTTGATAGGTATTTGTGTGTTTGTCTGTTAGACACTTTCGTATGTTACGCGATATCTCACGAAAGCGAGATTGAATCTGCTCCAAATTTTGCATGTGTATTTATCATATCATAGAAGCCTATTGATTTTGGATGAATTATGTCGTATAATTAGAGAGTTATTAACTAATTAGTGATGCGGAAGGTCGATAAGTCGGCGGTTTCTGATCGCTATCTCGGTTTATGATTTAAATTCTAAAGTCAGGGTCAAGTTTTATGTGAAGTGTGTTAAAAATATGAGGGTCCGAATATATTTTAATAAGAGCTTCCTAGGACGCTACAAGCCTACATTTATTACATGGAAATTTTTACCAATACATTGACAGCAATCCAACAATACTAAAAAAGGCAAGTAATGCAATGAAATATATTCAAAATCAATAAGGGTATAGGAGAATAAGAAATATAGGAGATACAGAATTCGAGTAAATCTTTAATGTGATAAATCATAAGACTTTAAGGACACTACCCGTTAAAAATTCATTTCATCCAAGGGCCCCAAAACCCCCCATGCAATCTTGGGTTCGCGTTTGGGTCTGGAGGAGGGTATCTAACAGGGACAGCAGTAGAGTTATATACAGCAAGTCGATTTAATAGTTGCTTAACAATAGCAGGGAATTTATCCGATACATCATCATGTTCATATGGGTCAGTTTCTACATGAAATAACTTAACATTTGAGTCGCTGGAGAAAGAGTTTGAATAAAAGTACTCAAATGTGGTGTTACTTGAAAAATCAGTTGCATCTTGATTTGATTCTGGTGGTTTTACCCACTCATCAAACCCTGGATTTCCAGTTAAAAGCTTCCAAGGACCACTACGGATAGCGGCATGAACTCCAGTATTAAACCCATTTGAATATTCTGTCGTATTGGAGTTATAATTATAAACATACAAAGGATCAATATTATGTAAGATTTCTTTTCTTGGAGAAGGGCTCTCCTTCACTATAGAATCCCATTGATTATATCCATCTAAAGGCTGGGTTCCATTACTTTTAGGGCACTGAGCTGCCCCTTGGACCAAGGTTGGGTACCAATCAGAAACATGTAATAGTTGATCATGTGTCATACCCCGCTTTCCAAGGGGTTCCCCATATATGAAACCCACCCCTTTCACGCCTCCTTCCCATAGAGTGCCTTTTCGTCCCCTCAGAGGCCAATTGTTACCACCAAACAATGTCTGGCCTCCGTTATCAGTCGAAAACACTATAATCGTATCATCTAAAATCCCTGCATCGTCCAAATGCTGAGTAACGTTATAAATTGATTCATCCATTGCTAGAACCATCCCAGCATACGTTCTTCTTTGTTTATTTTTAATGTGTTTAAATGGTTCAATATATTTTTCAGGTACTTGTAATGGAGAATGCACAGACTGGTAGGCAAGATACAAAAATAGAGGTTTTGCAGGATCTCGTTTATCAATGGCTTCGATTGCTTTTCTGGCAAACAAATGAGCAGAGTATTCACCCCATGTGTTATTGACAGGACCATGTTTGGAATCCCACATATCAACCCCACTCATTCGCTGATAACCATGCTGATGGGTGTAATAGTCTTCTCCGCCAGATAAATATCCAAAATATGAATTAAAACCTCTATTCCATGGTAAAAATTTTTCTTTATAAAATCCAAGATGCCATTTTCCTACCATATGAGTATCGTAACCACAGTTTCTGAGTTGCTCAGGCAAAAGTATGTTTTCAATTGGTAGAGCATTTGGCTGTGAGGGCCAAATAACACTGTGTTGTAATCCAGTGTGTATTTGGTAACGTCCACTCAAAAGTTGGCTTCGAGTCGGTGAGCATATTGGTTGAACATAATAGTTTTCTAGTTTGATTCCTTCACCAGCAAGATGATCCAAGAAAGGTGTCTTCATTGCTGATTCATGCTCTCTTGCATGATAACCAATATCATTAAATCCATAGTCATCAGCCAATATAAAAATAATATTGGGACGAGATTCAGCTGTCATTATACAAATGCAGCATAGCGTTAATAGGCAGGATAGAACAGTATTCTTCAGTGCCATGACTGGTGCAAGATATAGTTTTAAGATAACTGAGAAAAAAATTATTGTGAGAGTAAGCTATTCATAGTATTACTTTAGACTACTGCACTGTCTGTCTTTTCGATAACAGCAGTGGATGAAGCATTACCAGCCAAAATAATTTCATTGCAACTGACTGTAATTCTGTCATTCTACACTTTTATGATTGATTATTTCTGGATCTGTGGGTAATAGGTTAGGATGGTGTGGTGGACTATTGTTGGCTCGGTGGTGTGGGGCATCATGCTAAGCATTAGGAATACGCTCGCCACCACACCTCTGATTACCCTGCGTGGTTTCGCAAGTTCGAATCCTATGCAGAGTTAATTATGGGCGAGAGGATTGCTGGGCACAGTAGGGTGGTTTGCGGTTTCCTCCACCATCAAGTCCATGCATCTGAAAACAAATAACTGACCAACTAATCCCAAGTCCCAGTTTTCTGTTCCATATTTACATCTAAGTCCACTAAGATTTGTAGTGCGGTAGTTTTTATATAAAAATTCAAATTTTCAAACTTCCATCTGTCCTACACATTATCGCAGTAAAATTGAAATGCTTTTGGCACAAAAATTAGTTGACAGTTCGGGCACTTAATAACGTGAGTGTGGAATGATTGAAAACTAGGATTCAAATTATATATATATATACCTATATACAATAAAAACAGAATAAAAACTTATTGCAAAACAAGAATTCATAAACAATGCTGAGAAACTTTCTAACACATCAAATACAATTCGAATGGCCTTGAAACTTTATGTTGTATAGCGGACTCGTATATAATACAGTGGTTCCCAACCTTTCATGGCTTGTGGCCTCCTACCGGAGGTTTTCAGCACTTATGCCACCTTGTTTATTATTACTTAACGATTTTAATCGGTAAGTATGTTGACAGGTACCGGTATTTGTCTGTCTGTATGTATGTCTGTTAGATGCACGCGATATCTCACGGAAGCGAGATTGAATCTGCTCCAGATTTTGCATGTGCATTCATCATATCTTGGACCAGAAGCCTATTGATTTGGGGCAAATTATATCGTATAATTAGCGAGTTATTAATTAATTAGTGATGGGACACAAGGTGTCACTATGGAGTAAGAGCGCTGTTTTGGGGGATTCCCTAACTTTCGATGGATAAGTCTTCGGTCTCTGACCGATATTCTCGTTTATAGTGTTATTTTGATTGGTAGATTTTAATAAATTCCATTATGCTCAAACAATTCATGCTCAATAAAGTCAAACGACAATGAAAATAGGAAGAACGAGAAGTTTTATTGTCAAGGGGAGGGGAAATCAGTTTTGTTCCCAGCATTGTGGCCCCTTTCCAACTGCTCTGTAGCCCCTTGAGGAGCCAAAGGCCCCCGGTTGGAAACCACTGATATACATACATGAATACATCCAATGCTATAATAAAAACTTATTGCAAAAAAATGTTGGAACATTTTATAATAATTAACATATCACAATCACAGTCGAGGCCTTGAAAAGTTGTTTATTTCCAAGACTGGTACAAATAATGAATGAAAAAGGCAATAATTGTAGCAGCAATTCATAAAAACTAAAATAAAATGTAATTTAGAATGCAAGACACGATCTAGTGGAATAAAACATTATTGCAAATACCTAAAATCTCTAATGTTGGATAGTCATCGTACAAATATATTCGTAACATAATGGCTTCTGAAATCAAAGGTATATAGCTGCAAATAGTGAAAGTAGCCAAAAAATAAAAATAACAGGACAATATTAAAAATAATACTTTCAAACAGGGAAATCTATGTTTAATAAGTGCAAGTGTTAAAAAATACTTTAATATACTGATCATGGCTAGAAATATGGTACTAATAAAACTGGAATTAATATTGCTAACACTGACCATGGAACATATAAAAGGTTTTGTAAGTTAGTAACAAGGTTACTACAAGACTCATCCATAGACAAGATATCTAAAAAGGTATTGAACTCCTTATTTTCAGCCAGGCTCTGTGCAGTGCACTAATTCATATAAAGCTATGTTTTTTGAAAGACTAAGATCTTTTCAGTTAGGCATAGCCTGGACATGTTGGTGGGTTTAAACCAGAAACTTTTAACTTAGGAACAGTATAAGACATTGTGTATAATATTATGTTAGGCAGTATCATAATGAAAATATTGCTTCCAGTGCACAGGCCTTTTTTATATTATTAAATTACATTAGGCCATTGGTTTCTATATAAAAATCTTGGACTGACATAAAATACTTGTTTAGGGCAGACCTTTGAAAACATTTTTGGAGTACAAGTAATAAAATAGTTCAGTACAAACCTAAGAGACAGCAAAGAAGCAAACTTGAAACAATAATATAAAAAGGCTTGCACAATTGCTGTACTTTCATACTTGTATTAGATTTAGTAGTTTACTTTCAAATTTTGTACTAACAGACTAACAGTTGTGCAGTAAAATAGTTTAGTAAACACCCAAGAGATAGCTCAGTCGGTATCTAGGGAACCTTGATTGCAAAATTAATATAAACATGCTTTCAAGAGTGTTTGATAAGTGCAATAGTTCCCATAATTTATTTTCATTAATCAACCATCCACGGAGACCAATATCCGCCATGAAATCGAGGATCAGCCTTTGGGTCATCTGGTGGAAATCTCACTGGCACAGCAGTAGAATTATATTTTGCCAATCTGGTCAAAAGTTTTTCTACAATAGATGGAAATTTATCAGCTACATCATGGCATTCATAAGGGTCTGTTTCAATATTAAATAACTTTACATTTGTTGCTTTCATGAAAGAAATTGAATTATCATTGTACATACTATCATCATACTTGTTGGATTCGGGGGGCTTCACCCATCCTGCGAACCCTGGATCACCAGTTAACAATTTCCACTGACCAACACGAATACCAGCTCTGACTTTAACATCAAACCCATGTTTTAGGCTATTGGTAGTACGATTGATATGAGATATGTACAATGGATCAATATTATGTAACAATTCCTTTCTTGGAGATGAAGTCTTTTGTTGGATGGCGTCCCATTGGTTGAAGCCATCCAATGGCTGCGTTTCATTGACTTTCGGACAACTAGCTATACCTTCTACTAAAGTTGGGAACCAATCAGATACATGGAGAAGTCCATTATAGGTCATGTGATGAGTTTTTAAACGACGACCATGCACGAAACCGACACCTTTTATTCCTCCCTCCCATAAGGTTGCTTTTTTGCCTCTTAATGGCCAGTTGTTCCCCCCAGCCCTTGTCTCCCCTCCATTATCAGTTGAAAACACAATAATTGTATCATCTAAAATACCGACATCAGCTAAATGCCGAGTTACATTACGAATTGATTCATCCATTGCTAGGACCATCCCAGCATACGTTCTCCTTTGTTTATTTTTAATATGTTTAAATGGTTCAATATATTTTTCAGGTACTTGTAATGGAGAATGAACAGACTGGTAGGCAAGATATAAAAAAAGAGGTTTTGCAGGATCTCGTTTATCAATCGCTTCGATTGCTTTTCTGGCAAATAAAGTAGCAGAGTATTCTCCCCATGTGTTATTGACAGGACCAAGTTTTGAATCCCACATATCAACCCCACTCATTCTATGATAACCATGCTGATGGGTATAGTAGTCTTCTCCGCCAGATAAATATCCAAAATATGAATTAAAACCTCTATTCCATGGTAAAAATTTTTCCTTATAAAATCCAAGATGCCATTTTCCTACCATATGAGTATCGTAACCACAGTTTCTGAGTTGCTCAGGCAAAAGTATGTTTTCAATTGGAAGAGCATTTGGCTGTGAGGGCTTAATAACCTCGTGTTGTAATCCAGTATGTATTTGGTAACGTCCACTCAAAAGTTGGCTTCGAGTCGGTGAGCATACTGGTTGAACATAATAGTTTTCTAGTTTGATTCCCTCACTAGCAAGATGATCCAAGAAAGGTGTCTTCATTGCTGATTCATGCTCTCTTGCATGATAACCAATATCATTAAATCCATAGTCATCAGCCAATATAAAAATAATATTGGGACGAGATTCAGCTGTCATTATACAAATGCAGCATAGCGTTAATAGGCAGGATAGAACAGTATTCTTCAGTGCCATGACTGGTGCGAGATATGGTTTTAAGATAACTGAGAAAAAAAATATCATGAGAGTAAGCTATTCATAGTATTACTTTAGACTACTGCACTGTCTGTCTTTTCGATAACAGCAGTCGATGAAGCATTACCAGCCAAAATAATTTTATAGCAACTGACTGTAATCCTGTCATTTTACTTTTTTATGATTGATTATTCCTGGATCTGTGGATATAAAAGTTAAGGATGGTGTGGTGGACTATCATTGGCTCGATGGTGTGGGGCATCGTGCTAAGCATTGGGAATACGCTCGCCACCACATCTCTGATTACCCTGCGTGGGTTCGCAAGTTCGAATCCTATGCGGAGTTAATTATGGGCGAGAGGATTGCTGGGCACAGTAGGGTGGATTGCGGTTTTCCCCACAATCAAGTCCATGCTTCTGAAAACAAATAACTGGCCAACTAATCCCATGTCCCAGTTTTTGTTCCATATTTACATCTAAGTCCACTAAGATTTGTAGTGCGGTAGGTAGAATATTGAGAATTTTTGTATAAAAATTCAAATTTTCAAACTTCCATCTGTCCTACACATTATCGCAGTAAAATTGAAATGCTTTTGGGCTTTGGCACAAAAATTAGTTGACAGTTCGGGCACTTAATAACGTGAGTGTGAATGATTGAAAACTAGGATTCAAATTATATATATATACAATATATGTGTATCACATAAACAGAATAAAAACTTATTGCAAAACAAGAATTCATAAACAATGCTGAGAAACTTTCTAACACATCAAATACAATTCGAATGGCCTTGAAACTTTATGTTGTATAGCGGACTCGTATATAATACAGTGGTTCCCAACCTTTCATGGCTCGTAGCCTCCTACCGGAGGTTTTCAGCACTTATGCCACCTTGTTTATTATGACTTATTGATTTTAATCGGTAAGTATGTTGACAGGTATTTGTCTGTCTGTATGTATGTCTGTTAAATGCACGCGATATCTCAAGGAAGCGAGATTGATTCTGCTTCAGATTTTGCATGTGCATTCATCATATCTTGGACCAGAAGCCTATTGATTTTGGGCGAATTATGTCGTATAATTAGCGAGTTATTAATTAATTAGTGATGGGACACAAGGTGTCACTATGGAGTAAGAGCGCTGTTTTGGGGGATCCCCTAACTTTCGATAGATAAGTCTTCAGTCTCTGATCGATATTCACGTTTATAGTGTTATTTTGATTGGTAGATTTTAATAAATTCCAATATGCTCAAACAATTCATGCTCAATTAAGTCAAACGACAATGAAAATAGGAAGAACGAGAAGTTTTATTGTCAAGGGGAGGGGAAATCAGTTTTGTTCCCAGCATTGTGGCCCCTTTCCAACTGCTCTGTAGCCCCTTGAGGAGCCAAAGGCCCCCGGTTGGGAACCACTGATATACATACATGAATGCATCCAATGCTATAATAAAAACTTATTGCAAAAAATATGTTGGAACATTTTATCATAATTAACATATCACAATCACAGTCGAGGCCTTGAAAAGTTGTTTAGTTCCAAGACTGGTACAAATAATGAATGAAAAAGGCAATAATTGTAGCAGCAATTCATAAAAACTAAAATAAAATGTAATTTAGAATGCAAGACACGATCTAGTGGAATAAAACATATTGCAAATAACTAAAATCTCTAATGTTGGATTGTCATCGTACAAAATATTCATAACATAATGGCTTCTGAAATCAAAGGTATATAGCTGCAAATAGTGAAAGTAGCCAAAATATAAAAAAAAACAGAACAATATTAAAAATAATACTTTCAAGCAGGTAAATCTATGTTTAATAAGTGCAAGTGTTGAAAAATACTCTAATATACTGATCATGGCTAGAAATATGGTATCAATAAAACTGGAATTAATATTGCTAACACTGACCATGGAACATATAAAAGGTTTTGTGAGTTAGTAACAAGGTTACTACAAGACTCATCCATAGGCAAGATATCTAATGAGGTGTGAACTCCTTATTTTCAGCCAGGCTCTGTGCAGTGCACTAATTCATATAAAGCTATGTTTTTGAAAGACTAAGATCTTTTCAGTTAGGCATAACCTGGACATGTTGGTGGGTTTTAGCCAGAAGCTTTAAACTTGGGAACAGTATAAGACATTGTGTATAATATTATGTTAGGCAGTATGATATAAAAATATTGCTTCCAGTGCACAGGCCTTTTTTATATTATTAAATTACATTAGGCCATTGGTTTCTATATAAAAATCTTGGACTGACATAAAATACTTGTTTAGGGCAGACCTTTGAAAACATTTTTGGAATACAAGTAATAAAATAGTTCAGAACAAACCTAAGAGACAGCAAAGAAGCAAACTTGAAACAATAATATAAAAAGGCAAAAGTTGTTACAATTGCTATATTTTCATACTTGTGTTAGATCTTAGTAGTTTATTTCAAAATTTTGTACTAACAGTTGTGCAGTAAAATAGTTTAGTAAACACCCAAGAGATAGCTCAGCCGGTATCTAGGGAACCTTGATTGCAAAATTAATATAAACATGCTTTCAAGAGTGTTTGATGAGTGCAATAGATTACATGATTTATTTCCATCAATCAACCATCCACGGAGACCAATATCCGCCATGAAATCGAGGATCAGCCTTTGGGTCATCTGGTGGAAATCTCACTGGCACAGCAGTAGAATTATATTTTGCCAATCTAGTCAGAAGCTTTTCTACAATAGATGGAAATTTATCAGCTACATCATGGTATTCATAAGGGTCTGTTTTGATATTAAACAACTTTACATTTGTTGCTTTGATGGAAGAAATTGATTCACCTTCGTACATACTATCATCATACTTGTTGGATTCGGGGGGCTTCACCCATCCTGCGAACCCTGGATCACCAGTTAACAATTTCCACTGACCAACTCGAATACCAGCTCTGACTTTAACATCAAACCCATGTTTTAGGCTATTGGTAGTACGATGGATATGAGATATGTACAATGGATCAATATTATGTAACAATTCCTTTCTTGGAGATGAAGTCTTTTGTTGGATGGCGTCCCATTGGTTGAAGCCATCCAATGGCTGCGTTCCGTTGACTTTCGGACAACTAGCTATACCTTCTACTAAAGTTGGGAACCAATCAGATACATGGAGAAGTCCATTATAAGTCATGTGATGAATTTTTAAACGACGACCATGAACGAAACCCACACCTTTTATTCCTCCTTCCCATAGGGTAGCTTTTCTGCCTCTTAATGGCCAGTTGTCCCCCCCAGCCCTTGTCTCCCCTCCATTATCAGTTGAAAACACAATGATTGTATCATCTAAAATACCGACATCAGCTAAATGCCGAGTTACATTACGAATTGATTCATCCATTGCTAGAACCATCCCAGCATACGTTCTCCTTTGTTTATTTTTAATATGTTTAAATGGTTCAATATATTTTTCAGGTACTTGTAATGGAGAATGAACAGACTGGTAGGCAAGATATAAAAAAAGAGGTTTTGCAGGATCTCGTTTATCAATCGCTTCGATTGCTTTTCTGGCAAATAAAGTAGCAGAGTATTCTCCCCATGTGTTATTGACAGGACCAAGTTTTGAATCCCACATATCAACCCCACTCATTCTATGATAACCATGCTGATGGGTATAGTAGTCTTCTCCGCCAGATAAATATCCAAAATATGAATTAAAACCTCTATTCCATGGTAAAAATTTTTCCTTATAAAATCCAAGATGCCATTTTCCTACCATATGAGTATCGTAACCACAGTTTCTGAGTTGCTCAGGCAAAAGTATGTTTTCAATTGGTAGAGCATTTGGCTGTGAGGGCCAAATAACACTGTGTTGTAATCCAGTGTGTATTTGGTAACGTCCACTCAAAAGTTGGCTTCGAGTCGGTGAGCATATTGGTTGAACATAATAGTTTTCTAGTTTGATTCCTTCACCAGCAAGATGATCCAAGAAAGGTGTCTTCATTGCTGATTCATGCTCTCTTGCATGATAACCAATATCATTAAATCCATAGTCATCAGCCAATATAAAAATAATATTGGGACGAGATTCAGCTGTCATTATACAAATGCAGCATAGTGTTAATAGGCAGGATAGAACAGTATTCTTCAGTGCCATGACTGGTGCGAGATATGGTTTTAAGATAACTGAGAAAAAAAATATTGTGAGAGTAAGCTATTCATAGTATTACTTTAGACTACTGCACTGTCTGTCTTTTCGATAACAGCAGTGGATGAAGCATTACCAGCCAAAATAATTTCATTGCAACTGACTGTAATTCTGTCATTCTACACTTTTATGATTGATTATTTCTGGATCTGTGGGTAATAGGTTAGGATGGTGTGGTGGACTATCATTGGCTCGGTGGTGTGGGGCATCGTGCTAAGCATTAGAAATATGCTCGCCACCACACCTCTGATTACCCTGCGTGGGTTCGCAAGTTCGAATACTATGCGGAGTTAATTATGGGCGAGAGGATTGCTGGACACACTAAGGTGGTTTGCGGTTTTCCCCGCCATCAAGTCCATGCATCTGAAAACAAATAACTGGCTAACTAATCCCATGTCCGAGTTTTTTGTTCCATATTTACATCTAAGTCCACTGAGATTTGTAGTGCGGTAGGTACAGAATATTGAGAATTTTTGTATAAAAATTCAAATTTTCAAACTTCCATCTGTCCTACACATTATCACAGTAAAATTGAAATGCTTTTGGCACAAAAATTAGTTGACAGTTCGGGCACTTAATAACGTGAGTGTGGTATGATTGAAAACTAGGATTCAAATTATATATATATATATATATATACAATAAAAACAGAATAAAAACTTATTGCAAAACAAGAATTCATAAACAATGCTGAGAAACTTTCTAACACATCAAATACAATTTGTATGGCCTTGAAACTTTATGTTGTGTAGTGGACTCGTATATAATACAGTGGTTCCCAACCTTTCATGGCTCGTAGCCTCCTACCGGAGGTTTTCAGCACTTATGCCACCTTGTTTATTATTACTCATCGATTTCAATCGGTAAGTATGTTGACAGGTATTTGTCTGTCTGTATGTATGTCTGTTAGATGCACGCGATATCTCAAGGAAGCGAGATTGAATCTGCTCCAGATTTTGCATGTGCATTCATCCTATCTTGGACCAGAAGCCTATTGATTTTGGGCGAATTATGTCGTATAATTAGAGAGTTAATAATTAATTAGTGATGGGACACAAGGTGTCACTATGGAGTAAGAGCGCTGTTTTGGGGGATCCCCTAACTTTCGATGGATAAGTCTTCGGTCTCTGACCGATATTCTCGTTTATAGTGTTATTTTGATTGGTAGATTTTAATAAATTCCATTATGCTCAAACAATTCATGCTCAATTAAGTCAAACGACAATGAAAATAGGAAGAACGAGAAGTTTTATTGTCAAGGGGAGGGGAAATCAGTTTTGTTCCCAGCAGTGTGGCCCCTCTTCAACTGCTCTGTAGCCCCTTGAGGAGCCAAAGGCCCCCGGTTGGAAACCACTGATATACATACATGAATGCATCCAATGCTATAATAAAAACTTATTGCAAAAAAAAGTTGGAACATTTATAATAATTAACATATCACAATCACAGTCGAGGCCTTGAAAAGTTGTTTATTTCCAAGACTGGTACAAATAATGAATGAAAAAGGCAATAAATGTAGCAGCAATTCATAAAAACTGAAATAAAATGTAATTTAGAATGCAAGACACGATCTAGTGGAATAAAACATAATTGCAAATACCTAAAATCTCTAATGTTGGATAGTCATCGTACAAAATATTCATAACATAATGGCTTCTGAAATTAAAGGTATATAGCTGCAAATAGTGAAAGTAGCCTAAAAATAAAAATAACAGAACAATATTAAAAATAATACTTTCAAACAGGGAAATCTATGTTTAATAAGTGCAAGTGTTGAAAAATACTCTAATATACTGGTCATGGCTAGAAATATGGTACTAATAAAACTGGAATTAATATTGCTAACACTGACCATGGAACATATAAAAGGTTTTGTAAGTTAGTAACAAGGTTACTACAAGACTCATCCATAGACAAGATATCTAATAAGGTGTTGAACTCCTTATTTTCAGCCAGGCTCTGCGCAGAGCACTAATTCATATAATAAAGCTATGTTTTTTGAAAGACTAAGATCTTTTCAGTTAGGCATAACCTGGACATGTTGGTGGGTTCGAACCAGAAACTTTTAACTTGGGAACAGTATAAGACATTGTGTATAATATTATGTTAGGCAGTATCATAATGAAAATATTGCTTCCAGTGCACAGGCCTTTTTTATATTATTAAATTACATTAGGCCATTGGTTTCTATATAAAAATCTTGGACTGACATAAAATACTTGTTAATTAATATAAACATGCTTTCAAGAGTGTTTGATAAGTGCAATAGTTCACATAATTTATTTTCATTAATCAACCATCCACGGAGACCAATATCCGCCATGAAATCGAGGATCAGCCTTTGGGTCATCTGGTGGAAATCTCACTGGCACAGCAGTAGAATTATATTTTGCCAATCTAGTCAGAAGCTTTTCTACAATAGATGGAAATTTATCAGCTACATCATGGTATTCATAAGGGTCTGTTTTGATATTAAACAACTTTACATTTGTTGCTTTGATGGAAGAAATTGATTCACCTTCGTACATACTATCATCATACTTGTTGGATTCGGGGGGCTTCACCCATCCTGCGAACCCTGGATCACCAGTTAACAATTTCCACTGACCAACTCGAATACCAGCTCTGACTTTAACATCAAACCCATGTTTTAGGCTATTGGTAGTCTGATTGATATGAGACATGTACAAAGGATCAATATTATGTAACAATTCCTTTCTTGGAGATGAAGTCTTTTGTCGAATGGCGTCCCATTGGTTGAAGCCATCCAATGGCTGCGTTCCATTCACTTTCAGACAACTAGCTATACCTTCTACTAAAGTTGGGAACCAATCAGATACATGGAGAAGTCCATTATAGGTCATGTGATGAGTTTTTAAACGACGACCATGCACGAAACCGACACCTTTTATTCCTCCCTCCCATAGGGTTGCTTTTTTGCCTCTTAATGGCCAGTTGTTCCCCCCAGCCCTTGTCTCCCCTCCATTATCAGTTGAAAACACAATAATTGTGTCGTCTAAAATCCCAACATCGGCTAAATGCTGAGTTACATTACGAATTGATTCATCCATTGCTAGGACCATACCAGCATACGTTCTTCTTGCTTTATTTTTTATGTGTTTAAAATGCTTCCTATATTCATGAGGCACTTGTAATGGAGAATGCACAGACTGGTAGGCAAGATATAAAAACAGAGGTTTTGCAGGATCTCGTTTATCAATCGCTTCGATAGCTTTTCTGGCAAATAAATGAGCAGAGTATTCACCCCATGTGTTATTGACAGGACCAAGTTTAGAATCCCACGTAGCAACACCGCTCATTCTATGATAATCGCAAACATGAGTGTAATAATCTTCAACTCCAGTTAAATATCCAAAATATGAATTAAAACCTCTATTCCATGGTAAAAATTTTTCCTTATAAAATCCAAGATGCCATTTTCCTACCATATGAGTATCGTAACCACAGTTTCTGAGTTGCTCGGGCAAAAGTATGTTTTCAATCGGAAGAGCATTTGGTTTCGGTGACCAAATACTTTTATGCTGCAATCCAGTATGGATTTGGTATCTCCCACTCAAAAGTTGACTTCGTGTTGGCGTGCATAGTGGTTGCACATAATAATTCTCTAGTTTTACACCATTTTCAGCAAGATGGTCAAGATGTGGGGTCTTCAAAGCAGAAAGATGTTCTTTTCCATGATATCCAACATCGTTATATCCAAGATCATCAGCGAGAATAAACACAATATTAGGACGAGATCTTGCTCTCACACAGATAGGAACAGCAAATACAATGTAGGAGAAAATGGATAAAATCATACTATCTACTGGATTAGCTTGTCATTTAGAATACCTGAGAAACCAACAATCCCTGCCAACATACAGTTCAGCAGTTCAATCAGATTTCTACAGTTCTATGACAACAATCAGACAATATGCCAAAAAGGTTTGGGTTCCCTACAGTGGTGGGATTCAAAATTTTCGTCAGCTGGTTCCATCATACAAATGTCATATTTTCAGGCGGTTCTCTTACAAAAAGTCATGTTATGCTAACCGGTTCGGTGATCTCAAAAAATTCTGTGAGACGGTTCTATAGAACCGTTGCGAACCGGCTGAATCCCACTACCGGTACTGGTATTGGGTTAGTGTTGAATAAATAAAATATAGTGCTGATGGCAACAATCCAGAAATCGCTTGTTTTTCTCAATTCTAATTCTCAATGTGTACCAGTACAGCGGTACCGGTATAGCACCCTAATTACTGAATTAACCTATTTGAATTATTCACTGCTGTGCTGTAAATCTATCAAATACCATATATGTTAGGAATATTCCACCGTCTCGCCGTTGTTGCTCTCTCTGAAATTCATATTCGGAAATATAGGTCATCGACATGATACTGATGTTCACGTCCTAAATACCCACTTTTTTGCCAAATTCAAATCCATTGCCAAATTAGATTTATGAAAATACCCACGACATCTTCACTGTGCTTAAGAAAACAATTGGCGATTTTAACCAAATTTGACTTTTTCAGAATATCTCCTCCTGTTAAACTTTTTCGCCACCAGCTCATTTTATTCGATGTTACCGGTTCGTTGAGGTAAAGACGTTAGGAGCCATTGATCTAGCCAGAGTAATTATCACCTTCAACTCAAATTCTTGTTGTGTATAGTAAACTATCTTACAAATATCAAAAAAGTATCTTTCTCAATTTGTTGTTATTAAAATTTTGAAATCTTCCCCACCCACTGAAAAAGGTTTTTATTTTTTGATATCCTTGAGGTGTTTTATCGTATGATGATGTTTTTTTATATCGTTTTCAATTAGCTGTTGAAATTTGAAACACCATTATCGGGAAATATTGAGATGTTTTACTATATAATACAATAATTCAATTTCCTGATGTTGTTATTTTTAGATAGTTTTCAATTTTTTTAATTATTAAATATCATAAAAGCACGCTTACTTGTGACGGCTATAAGCTCGATTCAGGCGAATTAGATAACAAAAACACATTTTTAATTATATGATGCTAATATGGCACAAATGGTCAGATCAGATTGATGGAAAAGTTAACGATTGACAAAACGATGGCACGTATTCATATTTATAAGTTATTGGTTTTAGCAATCGGACGAAATGCCATCCTCTCCCTCGTCTTGAACATGGCTGTGGAATTCGTATCTGGCATGTTTTATCTGTAGTAGAGCGAAGTATAAGTATAAGTTTATTTCGACTCCATAATCAGCATAACAATACATTTGACAGATAAAAACAAATAAATAAAATCTGATTATGAAATCAGGGGAGCAAACAAAACCTTAGATAAGGTTTATAACGTACAAAATATAAGATGAAAGGTTTTGCCAAGAGGAAGTGGTACGTGTTTACTCACCTAAAATTATCAAGTTATTTCAAGTTATTTCACGAAAATCGTATTTTTCTGAATGGGGATAATTGGAGATAGAAACGCAAAAGTAGTTGAGTTGGCAAAGCACCCTTAGGCATTTAAAGAATGCTTCCCCAAATTAGAATATTGGGCGCCTTACTTATAAATCTTTTTTTTAACATTGCGGCCACCTAGCGGCCTTCTTCAATTAAATTCATTACCGCTAGAGGCATAGTAAATATGTAGTGGCTGGAGTCCAATTTCTTCGGTTATTTATTACCGTGATCGATTAATAAGCGAGCCCGTACCTGCTTGAGAATATGAAACAATTAAATTCGTATTTTGTTTCCAAGTTGAAAAAATATTTAAATTAGTAATATTTCCATCAGTATGTCAACGAACGCATATTCAACTATCTCGCATTGTTGACGATGTCATAGCAACGCTACACTCATCCTTCCGGTTGTTGGTTTCAGATTTCTGAATTGTGAAATTCCGAAGTTTAAGTAACGGTGCCGTGTCTGATTACCGTCTTCGTTATTTCAGTAGTTAAACGCTTCAGAAATGTATTTTGATGACGACGGAGATGGTTCCCCAACTTATGTTGGTAACTTAACGCCATGCGGAATATGCGGCAGGACATTTAACCCAGAAACACTTAAAAGACATCAAGGGATTTGCCAGAAAAATGCTGCCAAGAAGAGAAAAGTATTTGAATCACAGAAACAGGTATTTTCACAGTGCCTAGCCTAAGCATATTAGTGTATTACGGACATATATCATCCAACTTGGCAATACTGATTTGGCATTAGGTGACTCCAATTATAATCAGCTTGGTGATATCTTTTGAGGAATATTTTGCTATCTCTACCGGTAGTATATAACTCTTGTTGACTAATTCGGTATCCAATTTGGCAATCCTCATAAAATTATTAATTTGGTGTGGCAAAAGAATTTATTCATTTTTTTATTTGTTTTTATATTTTTCTTTTTCATAAGTTATAAGTTTATTGAGCCGAAATAAACTTATTCTTTTTACTGAGTGATTTAATTAATTTTAAGTCTGGCTTTTTTCACTTCCAACCTTATCATGTCTCGATGCTTATATGAGTGTTAGTGCGTGCCTGTTTTAATTTGTTTTTATAATTTGGGTGAGTGAACACGAACTACTTCTTTTATCAATACCTTTCCGTCTAAAATCTGTTAGCCTCAAACGTTACTTGAGGTTTTGTTTGCTCTCCCGATTCTATAATCAGTTATTTTCTTCTTTTTTTGTCTTTATCTATTATTTTATCGTCTACTGCTAATTATGGAGTCGAAATAAACTTATACATATCTGATTTCAACTTCTAGCCTTATTACTGCTGTTCTGTCTGTCAGTCTGTATATAATATCTATTTCAGTATTTCTTTTACCACACCAGTTTCACATTCCTGTTGCACGAAACAAAAAAAGTCTGCTTCACTGCAGGTGCTATGGACAGTAAGACAGTAAAGTGTTAAACTTTGTCGTCAGTGAGAACCTTATTAAGCTCTTTGCCGTCGCTAATGAAATCTACTCAATACTCTGAATTACTAATTACTTGGATCATTCTGTCATTACTTGGAGTTCTTGAACTTCATGCCCAAAACAACCAAAGGCACAACAAGATCATGGTTTCCAAATTAAATAGAATAAATTTTGATATGTGGTACCTTAATTTTTTTTCTTCCTTCTGCAGCGTGATTTGCCAGGTATCTCAAAAATAACAACAAAGTCAAAACCTCAACGATCAGCTCCAGAAGCAAAAAGCAGATGGAGGCAACAACATGAAGAATTCATTCAAACTGTTCGGTAATTTTGTCACTCTATTTTATTGGTCTATTCCACGTGGTATATATATTGCAATGGTGCTCAAACTACCTAAGCCGCGTTCTATTTTTCGTATTTGTCAAGTCTCACGGCCCACCTCAAACATAACTAGGTATCAATGAGCATGTTGACATTGTATGGCGGATTCTAGAATCTGTGAACTAACAGCATGAAGTTAATCTCCCAAACATGCACACTAAGGATCATAAAGATACAAGCACAACAGCTCTCTGCAATCTCTAAACGATAAAGAAATATAAATATCCAAACTAAGGCGGGCAAATCAAATTTTTTATTAGCTTCACGCCTCCTCAAAAAATTGTATATGCCGCCCCTTGTGGTGCGCTCCGCATCGGTCGAGGACCACCGATTTAATGTAAAAGATATTTCTATTTAATGAAAATAGCCCAAAGAAAAGGTGGTGGACCGAGCTTAAGCTCTTTTTGTGCTTTTTGGTATTATTTGTATGTCCATAAGCTCAATTTCAATAATAGTTGAATTTTTACTTGAATTTTAAGTTGATTTTGTAAGAAAACGTAAAAAAGCATAAATAGAGTTCATATTTACATCAAAGTTTGACACTGTGCTTGCTTTGTTGGAACAAAAGTAATTCGGACTTATGCTTAAGTTCATGCATCTGGAACAAATAACTGGCAAACTATCCCCGTACCCCACATTCAGTGGCGTAGCCAGGGGGTGGTTCCCCTTTTAAAATGTAAAAAAATAAAATCATTTTTCTGTATCATAGATAGCAATTTTCCGTAGCTTGAAATGCTTTTCAGACCCACAAGACTAATAAAAACACACTTTTCCAGCGTTCGATCGGCCCCGCAAGCTGTTTCGATCTAACTTGGCCAAAAAAAAATTCAGAACCTCCCCCCCTTTGAAAATTTTTGGCTACGCCCCTGCCCACATTCACTGGCTTGGCGGCGTGGCGCATTGTGCTAAGTATTATTAAGGATATGCTCTCCACCGCACCTACATGGCTTGCCTACATGCTGGCTAACTAATCACATACCCGACATGGACCGATAATTGGATGAGAATGTTTGCAATATGATTAACCCGTCTTATTACTTCCCTCCTCCCGGGATAAATATTTAACAATTCTCCCATCCTGGTATCCAGGCAAGAAGCTGGGATTCGCCATATGATTAAGCCGTCGTTTGGGTTCTCCTCTCTCTTGAAAGGAGTGTGAAATTTCTATCCTGCTATCTATTCTTTATTTGTCATTGCAGAGCTGCACGAGGCGTCACCAAAGCAATCAAAGAAGGCAAAGAGCTGCCACCCCCTCCCCCACCAACAATAAACCCAGACTATGTTCAGTGTACATATTGTTTGCGACGATTCAGCAAAAACGCTGCGGAGAGGCACATTCAATTTTGTGCTGATCAACATAAAAGATTGGAGACCAAAACTAGATCAAAAACAGCAGCGACAGAAAAAGCTGCTGCAAAACAAGAACGCAGAAATGCTTACCGACCTCCGATGCCATCATCAGGGGTTCGGAGAGGAGGAACCTTATTAAACACGGACTCGATTGTAAGCAGCCACTCAAATTCAGCAGCAAGGCAAAGGTCAATGAAATTTAATTCAACTTCAATAAGGCAAGATGGTCGAAGCAATTCTGATGTCTCTAGAACCCGTTCGATGAAAAACGATTCAAAATTCGACACTACTTTACCGGCAAGCGCCGTCGTTAGAACAAGAACTGGTCTAAAAGCTAAAGTGCTCGCAAATAATTCATCGAGTGATATTGATTCGTCAGACTTTGACGCTCCGAAGCGCAGACCGACTGGGTCACAAGGCAGAAGAAATGTTTCTAACGGCCAAGGATATTATCAACCCCCAGCTAACAGCCGTGGGGGCAGAACAGGACAGGGACAATCAACATCCAAATCTACCAAATATGACTGGGATTTTAATTTTGAATCAGACTCAGCTGACCACGTCAAACAAAATGGCGTTCGTAAAACTTCATCAACAAGAACAAGGCAGCAGGCTGCTGTGAACCATGGAAACAGTCTATACTCAGGATATAACCATAATAATAATAACTTTGGACAATCGCCGCAAAGTGGATACGAAGACTCATTGAATGATTTTGTCGCAAAAGAATTTGGTTCAAAATATAAAAGTCCAGGCTCCGGTGCCAGTAATCACCAGGGTCATTCTGACGCCTCGTCTCCCTGGGATTCTGATGCATACAGAGGAAGAGGTAGTTGATTATTTATATTACTTATGCATAATAATCGCATATCTATATATTGTAAGTGGTGCTCCTGAAGTATGTAAACCAAGATGGCGGACACCAGAACGTAGTATTTGTACAGGTACAAATAATACGGGAGTCACTTGGTCCCGAACTCGTAATAGAACTAAAATAAAGAAAATTGGAATAAAATCATGGCCTAACCCTAGCCTGGTACACATACTACGTTCCAGTGTTTGCCATCTTGGCACGCATCCTTCAGGAGTACCTGTAACTTTGCTCATACACCAGTATTCTCGACGTTTGAGTGAATGTGCTTTGCCTTGAGCCAACTATCTTAAAATCTCAAGTGATTCAACCGTAATTGAATAAATCTTTTGGCAGGGATAGCCAAACCCGAATAATCCAAATTTCATTGCGTTATAATTCATGAATACATTCCGAAATAGCATTTTTGAGTATTTGATATTGAATTGATATTGGAATATTGAATATTTCTCAATGGGTGTTGTTCATATAAGCCAGTTCGAGGTAACGCATTGGCCGTAAAGCATTTACTACTCGTTGACATTTCAAATCTCATGCCCACCATTTTCCCAGAGCCGCACAAGGAAAAATTTCAGTCATTTCAGAAATAGTAGGTGACATTGAATATCAGAAGTGGCTCTTATACTACACCTTGCTCGTGGAGAGAGAGTTGCGAATAAACATCATATAAAAAGCATTTGATTGGTGGAAACATGCCTTTTCCAACTTTACTGAAAGTCATTCAAATAATAATAATATTTCACTCATTTACAGGGGAACCAATGACTCTCCACAGAAAAGACGACACATCGTTTGACTCTGAAAAATCAGGCAGTTCGCTTTCCAGCAACTCATCTTCAAGATTTTGTCATGAATGCGGTTCTCGCTATCCAGTTATGACAGCAAAGTTTTGCTGTGAATGTGGAATGAAGCGTATAACAATATAACTTTGCTGTCAGGTTTCAATACTGTGTTATTCCAGACTTTTCTTTTTTGTATATTAACCACCATTGATTATAAGTGTTTAACTTGGACATAGCGACAATTTGAATTAAATTAATTCAAAGTTATTATTTTAGTATCTGATTGGCCAGCTTTGATTTAAACATTGTTCAGTTTTGAACAATTTGAATTAAATTAATTCAAAGTTATTATTTTAGTATCTGATTGGCCAGCTTTGCAGTTTTGAAGTTTTTGGATATCTTGGCATTATGAGTCTCCAAAGTTGTTTTTATTCCAATAATACTTGGTCTGAGCTATAGATTTCCTGCATTTTGATTATTATCCATTAAGAACCTGTCACACACCATTAACTGATTATTTTTAAAAAAAATGTAACGAAATAAATAAATGAATAACACACCAATTGACAAAGCTATAATTTTACAAAAATTGCATTATAATTTCAATCCACTTTGTATAAATTCAAATTTTTAAAGCTAAATCATAATTTATGTGCTTTTATCATATATTTTTAAAGTTATATATTTATATGTAATATTAGATTTATGTATATTGTGTCGCTTTAATTATCTTGGTACTCGAAGCAGTTAAAAAGGTATATAAAGCCCTAGTCAAAGGTGACTGAAGTGTTGACAGTGGGTATTTTGCCAACTGAAGTTAAAATAGCTTTGTATAATTACACCATGGTTATGCCCAAGTCGACGATTAAATGCCAAGGATAATCTTGAGATTTTTGAACTTTGAGACAAAAGCCTCTCGATAAAATCTAGCGGTAGTAGTCATTTTTTTTCGGACCAAACTAACTGTAGACTGTTCGGTAATTACTATTACACTCAACTCAATTTTGGTATAAAATAATTGTCATAGAAACCGACTAAAGAATCATAATATGATGAGAATATTATTCTAATGTTGCCAGATTCAACTCCATTGTAATTTTGATTTTCAAAAAATTTTCAACTTTTTAACAAGAAGTAGCACAGTTCATCTAATGGTGTGTACGGCCAGTATGAGCATTGCAAGTTTACATAACGTTCTCATTTATAATCATTTGATTTGGAGTCCTTCAAAGCTAATGTGGTTAGCTCAGCATGATTCCACAATTAAAATTTATTGATTTTATAATATGACATTTTTTTTTCTCATTTTTTTTTGTAGCTAAAACGACTACCAAAACTATTTATTTATGTTGTTGATTCTTTGATTAGAAATTAAGCTACTTGTAAGGGATCTTACAATGTGGAATATGAGTGCCTGAATCTTGATTAAAAACAAGAGACATGGCAGGTTACAGTGTTCGTAAATTCATAAAACTCAAGCTTGAGGTTTATTCAAGCTACTCTGGCATTTGTTAAATCTGAATCAAGATATTTTTTTTAAATGTCTCGAGTTATTGAAATATGTGATGCGGGCCAGGCTAGCATCTGAACAACACCGGTATTATGTAGCACTTTAGTGTACATGCGAGTCCACTATTGCTAATAAGTTTCTCCATTTCTAAGTAAGCGCATATGACTTTGTATATCACCTAAAGCAGGGGTGTACAACCTGGGGCCCACGGACCAAATGCGGCCCACAAGGAAAAATTTTGCAGCTCGCGGAGAGTTTTTGATTTAGTTTAATTTGGTATGTAAGAGTTATTTTAATTCCTTTGCGTTGCAAATCCCATACCCAAGTCCTACCTATGCCTATGATGTTATAATTCATGTCATAAGATCAAAACCCAAAATTTTTGTGTTGCAACTACTTAAAACCTGTGTTGAATAAAGGTGTGACCCGCGGTTTCATCCAGTTATTTGTCCAGTTCAGTTATCTGGCACTCGTGTATCAAATGTTACACACCCACAAACTAAAGTAATGTTCAACAATTCAAAATGCACATTCCAAAAAATCTTTATCATACTCTGTAATATTTTTAACAAGTTTTATTATTTGTATTCTATTGATTTTTTATTGTCAGGATTTTAAATAAGCCTCTTTGACACCACTAATAGCATTACATCATATTATCCAATTGATTATTTTATTGATTGTTCCGGCACTCCATATCTCGAGTCTTGAATGAGATCCTTTATATATATAATAAACCGGTATTAGCTTTAGTTGAATTCCAATACTCTCTTTTTATGCCAACTCAATCAGAGTGGGAAAATTTTATTTACGTCTCAACTATGATACCTTTGTGCACACTGTTGACAATTTTTTGAAAAATCTTATGTTGTATATTTCGTACTTGACCAAGTTACACTATTTCATTGTGAAACATTTGCATGCAGATTATTAGTGCTTTGAATATTACCGGGGACCTCCTGAAGTATGCGCACCAATATGGCGTACAACATGAACTCAGGTTGTGTACCAGGTTAGGGTTCAGGTTATGCGACATCTTGGTGCGCATACTTCAGGAGTACCATTGCCTGTTTATTTAATATTATTCTGCTTATGATTAATTTGTGCTATATTTTCAATCTCTTGAAACGAATCGGACTCTAAATATCCAATACATTTTCATGTTGGTATTAGTTTCAGTCAAATTACTTTTTCAAATAGAAATCCTGGCAATTTTTCTAACAGATTTTGAGTAAACTTGAATGGAATTTTCACAATTTCTTACTTAAACGAACACCCTCGGGTGGAAGAAAGTTTGTCAAAACACCCAAATGTACGATGTACTACACGGGAATCTCTCAAAATAGTGAGCTGTTAGGTTCATGCAAAAGTTTTCCGACTTGTCATTGCGTACTTAACTTTCCCAGGCGTGGTCCATGTCCCATAGTGAATCAATCCCCCACTTTAAAATTATCGAGCAACTCTAGATGGCGGGGTGTGCAACCTGCGGGCCAAATGTGGCCCACAAGAAAAAATTGACCCGCGACCCGCGAAGCAAGTTTTTAATTTCGTTCAATCTGTTTTTTTATTTGTGCCACTACTTAAAAGCCTATGTTAAATAAAGGTCCTCGGTGTTGTTCAGTAATTTGTATCTGTATTTTTATACTTTATTTTACTTCTTACTCTGTTCTCTAGTTTTAGTACTGATAATTTTCTTGATAATTGTTCATATATTTATTCATGTTTGTGAAAAGTTTGTTTTTATGAGCAAAGACCTCACACTGTAAAAAGAAAAAATTGTTCTTTTATTTTTGTTATTATTAGAGTGGAGTTTAGTTTATCTGCAGAAAGAGTGACGACTCCTGGGGTTTCGAGTGGTAAAAGAAAATATATATAGAGAGAGAGATTTTATTATTTGTCAACCAGAAAAAAAAACATAAATACAATGATAATAATAAAAATATAAAGCAATGGACTGAAGGAAGCGATACGACCATGCGGTCATCAGAGTCAGTTCCCACCATGTTCGCACCAATTGAAATAAGTTAAGAGTAAAAATATTATTATTATAAAGCGGTTATAAATTCTAGAATTGTGCACCTTGGAAAAAAAAGCAATATCGACCAAGAGTTTAACCTGTTCTTAAATGTAAATGTTTATTTGGAATTTGAGTACATAAGTTGACAATATTTGCACAAAATTTTGTAGAATTGGATGTTAAAACGCTTTCTCTTTGTTGGGAACGGGATTAAATTGTGATTATAATAATCAGAGAAATAAGAACAACGTTTCGCAGTGCGTATCCACAGAAGAAAGGAGGAGTTAGTCAGCAAAGTATTACTTTGGGACCCCAAGCATGGAACGGCAAAAGTGGGAATCATGTCAAGACTTTGATTACTGACACACGGAAAGCTCGGCGGTGTTGCGCGTCGTGCTAAGCGTTAAGAATACGCTCACCGCCGTACCTCTCTTGTTACCCTGCGTCGGTTCGAAGGTTTGAATCCCATGCGAGGATAGTTATGTCCGAGAGGATTGCTGGACGTATCGTTGCCGTAGGGTAATTCACGTAACCGCTGGTCGGTTAAGGCTTCCTCTACCATCAAGCCAATGCTTCCGAAAAACGCATACCGGTAACTGATTAATCCCATACTCGACATGGAATGGTAGCCGGACGAGAAGCCGTGGTTCGTCATCTGGTTGAGCCGTCTTGTCGGCTTTCTTCTTCCTCGGGATAAATATGTAAATCCTACTCATAGAAGACACTGTCTACATCTTGCAGATTTTCCTAATGCTATGGACAATAGAAAGCTGTGAGGGATGTAGTCAACTCGGTACGGGCCACTCGCCAGATAGGATGATGATGTAATAAATTGTGTTGATAATATGAAGATAGATAAGATAAGTTTATTTCGACTCCATAATCAGCATAAACAGCAATAAAAATTCTCACTCCTAATCCGGGAACGAGAACACCATCCTAGCCTGTGTATCAGTGAATGCTTGTCTAGAGCTTTGTTCCGAGCACAAATGTGAATCGCTTCGTAATATGTCCATAGCCGTAGATCGGGGTCGTTTTTAAAGTAGTGATTCCGAAAATGACAGCCGGGCCGCCATCTTGGTGGATACGCCTCTTTTACGTAAAGGAACGTGAATAATTATTGGATTTGCGACGAAGGTACGTCTTTAAAAGGAAACTCCCGAAGTAGGTGAACCAAGATGGCGGACACCAGAACGTAGTATGTGTACCAGGTTAGGGTTAGGCCATAAATTTATTCTAATTTTCCCTATTTTTGTTCTATTACGAGTTTGGGGAGTAGCAAAGTGACTCCCGTAATATTTGTATCTATAATTATGGCCTAACCCTAACCTAGTAGCTGGTACACATACTACGTTCCGTTGTCCGCCATCTTGGTTCACATACTTCGGGAGTAGGGAGTACCCTCAAAAGTGCACGTGGTGGTGCCGCGAACAATTAACATTTAATATATACCACCAAGGTTGATAATTTCAGGCTTTTAACCTGGTCTTGGTGGCAAACTTTATTAAACAAAAGTCTCTTACATTCGCCATGCTGCCAACCGTTTCGAAAGGATTTCCATATTTATTTCGTGGGAAGGAGAAGCGGATAACACGACTCATGCACTGCTTTGATATAGGGTAGGATTTACATATTTATCTCGGGGGAAAGGAAAGCCGATAGGACAGCTTAACCATATGGCGAACCACGGCCTCTCGTCCGGTTACCATCCCATGTCGGGTATAGGATTAGTTAGTTATTTGTTTTTTGGAAGCATTGACCTCATGGTGGAGGAATCCGTAACCGACCAGCGGTTACATGAACCACCCCATGCCAACGAGGAGTCCAACAACCCTCTCGCCCATAACTATCCCTGCATGGGACTCGAACCTGCGAACCCATATATAGTTATCTCCCTGGGATTCTAACTTCCGGTCCAAGAAAGGGTATGCCATGGCAAGCATCTCCCCAACGCATGGCACGATTTAATGTCATGTGTGAGTTGATCACCGGTGTTTTAGATAAAGAAGAACTCGTAACGACCAGTTTCCTTGAAACCTGTGATTATTGGTTACAACAATTGGTTTATGATCACCCTTTTTTTGCTTTATTGTTCATTCGTTAGCGTTTGTGACTTGTTGTCTTTCTTTTTCGGTAAGTGAACGCGTTTAATACGTTTTAAACTTAATTTATCAGGTTTTGTTCACTTTCCAGATTCTTCGCCTTAATCTTGTATCGTGATCACCTTATCGTGTATATATGTTTATTTTGTTTTTGCGACTGAATCGAAATAAAATCTTATCTTATTTTCATTGAATACCATTACATATGAAAGAATAGGAAACCGTCAAACAGTCACCAATCTCCCCATGAAAACACGATATTCTCATTTCTTTAATATATATTTATCAAACCAAAAGCTACGCTTCCCCAACCTCTTGTACACTTTTCTTTCTATCGCCGCCTCCAAGTGCTTCAGAATTCCACCTATGCTCCATCGCATCTGATAAACTAAACCTCGCGTCTTTATCATGAGTCAACATATTTTGCATTAAATCTTTCATAGACGTCGACAAACTTTTTTGAAATCGAGCTGAGTATTGCAGAGGCCTTGACTGGTCCATCATAAGAGTCTTTATGTTGCCGTCTCGGAAAGGCATCATCGCACACGCCATAGTGAACAATATGACTCCCAGACTCCACACGTCCGCTAAATCGCCTCTGTACGGTATCCCTGATAACAGTTCCGGTGCTGCATAGGCTGCGCTTCCGCAGTATGTTTCACTGAGATCATTATCTCTCTGTTTCCTCGCAAAACCAAAATCGGCAATTTTTGCTGTATTTTTTCCGCTCAAAAGTACATTTTCGCATTTTAAATCTCGGTGGACGACCTGTTTGTTGTGAATATATTCAATTCCTCGACACATATCTCCAAAGAGCCCAGCCGCTATATTTTCAGGCAATGGTCCTCTGAGTTGTATGAATTCAAGTAAATCTCCTTTCGTGGCTAATTCGATTGGAATATAAACTTTATTTTTTGCTTGTATTACCTCTATTGTTTTTATGATGTTTGGATGGTCAAGAACCTTCGAAATAGAAAGTTCGCGTCTCAAAAACTTTTTCTTGAATTCCTCCTGAACCTGGTCCAGTGCGATTATCTTTATGGCAATATGTTCCTCACTATCGTTCTTTTTCCGCGTAGCTTTATTGACAGTTGCGTAACTCCCTTGTCCTAGCACTTGTCCGAGCGTGTATCCCCTTTTTTGTAGTAAACTCTGGTCGCTTTTGCTAAAAAGGCCCATTTTTATGGACCTCCAGGCCTCCACTACTTCACAATGGTCTGGCTAACTTACATGCTTTCAAAATAAACGCTTTGTAAAATGAAATCAAGTATTATTCGTTATTAACTATGACGTCACAAAAAAGTTTGGGATTGGTGGTTTCGGTTACGGGGATTACCCTTATATTCGGAAATCACCATGAAAAGTAAAAAATAAACTCCCTGAAATGCGAATTTTTATTCATTCAGTTCTTATAAAATAGAATAATAGTCTATATATTATTTATGAAACTATACCTTAATTTTATCAATAATTTCCAGTATCATAAATATTTATTTCCAAATGAACAAACTTATCTATTATCAGCTTGTCAAGTTCAACTAGGGTTGCCAACCGACCTTTATTTCAAAGGACAATCCTTTATTTGAGATTTTTGTCCTCGTTCTTTTTAAGGTGATAATCGTCCTTTATTTTTTCCAATATCGTTTTGCCCGATAGTTATAGTAGTACTGTGTTTGATATTGTTCCGTTCTTAAATTGCCTCCGTTACAACCTCCGTTACAACAAAGCCTCCAATTTACAACTTGATTGGAAAAGAGCAGATAGATAAGTGTAGATAACGCAAATTGCAACTTTGGAGAAAAACATTCTCTTTATACTAATGTTCGCACACTAAATGATGGTATTATTAAGGCTAACTGTAGTGCACACATTGTACACAATACATTGAAATTTGCTTTAGGAAATTTGAATGTTGACATTGAAAATATTGTCTTGAAAATTTACTGTCATGTCTTAATGCCAGCAAAAAGACGAGAAACTCTTATAGAATTTCATATATTTGTGGAGACGGAATTCCATGGAATTCTGCGTCATCTACCTACTAGGTGGCTATCTCTGTACCCATGCATCGAGAGAATCTTACTTTCTTGGAAAGCTTTAAGTTCTTATTTTTTGAGCAGACCAGCTGAATGTTCCAAACAATCACTTACACTTCTTATGATTGACAATGAGTCAACAGAAGTTCCTCAGCTTATTGAAATGTATTTAATATTTTTACAACATGTAATGGATATATTTAAATCAGCTGTTCAAGAACTGGAATAAAATGAAACTTCAACAGCATTACAACAGCATTTTCATTATTCTTACTAAATTAAGAAATAGGTTAAAATCTCCATCTGATGAAGAATTTATTAGGTATGATGTTCACCAACTTCTTGCAAATGTGAGTGCTGCTGAAGCTCAAGAGGCAACTGAAGATTTTAGATTATTTCTCCACTCTGCAATAACGTATTTAGAAAAAAGATATGACTTTGATGAAAATTCAACATTTGGAAAATTGGAATCAAAATTATCTGTCCTGAATAACCTTTCTCCAAAATATCAGACACTTGTAAAAATTGTAAAAGCATTTGTAGCTATAAGACAAACTTAATCTGAATATGAATGACCTATTTGATGAAGATGCACTCATTCAAAAAAAAATTGGCACGATTCAAAGCACAAAACTGTTCATAGAATGCAAAACAACAAGCAGTAAATGGCAATCTTAAGCGTGTTAATGTTTTCAAAATAGTTTCATTTCTGCTCTCTATTCCCGGAACCTCAGCTCATTGTGAACGCATTTTTAGTGTAATGTCATCTAAATGGCGCAGTAAAAGGAACAGATGCTCCATACAACTAATGAAAAGTGAGCTTTTACTATACTTCAATTTGAAAGACACGTGTCGTGTCGTGAATTTTCAGAAAAAATAAAACGTGACCCACAATTGCTGAAGTCAGCAAAGAGTCAGAACAAATATAACTTTAAGAATTATAAACTTATGCAACTGCAAAATTAAAGCTTGATTGGGTCAATGTTAAATGAACATTAAATGAAAAACACATGAAGATTTTTTAATATATCTTTTTAGCTTGTATATAATTTGTATTTCATTGTTTTATATTGTTCTTTCCTGCAAGTTACAAAATAAATGATGACGGTAATCTATGTCCTTTATTGAGACTTTTCATAGTTGGCAACCCTAAGTTCAACTCTGGTTCAAATACAACCATTTTTTCTTAGAACTAATGAAAACTCTAGGCCCGTTTCAGAAACCTTATGGGCCTGAGGAACCAATTTGAGAAGCACCGGCGTGAGGTGCAATGACGAACTAAGCGTGAATTCCCTTGAACGCTGCTAGTGAGTGATGTAAACAGATTTGAAACTTTTTGAAAGAATCAAATTAGAATTACGCTCGTCACCGGTCTGATTACCCTGCGTGGGTTCGCAGGTTGGAATTCCGTGCGGGGTCTCCTATATTAGGGTTACCATATCCGGAAAGACAGAACCTCTGACAAAATTTTAATGAGACACGTTGATGAATTTTGCGACCAAAACACTTATATTATAGTATAAATTCACGATGTTTCCAAAGGCACAAGCTGTCGTCGCTTTCTCGTGAGAATAGAATAAATACAGAACAAAAGAAGCAAAATTGTTGCTTAATCTTTACAACTAGTGACTGAACCCTAGCACGGAATAAAGTACAGGTAAAGGTATTTCAACCAAAATATCGATTACAATATGCTGGCGATTCACATATGTGACATCACAATAATCTGAGTGCGACGCAATCCGTGTTGCACAAAAATGATAGAATGTGACATATCTCTGAAAATATAGGATTTCGTGGATGCGCAATATCTGAAAACTCGGGGATTTGTAGAAGGGATCCACTGTATTCGAAAATTCCTGACATTTAAGCACTTTTTAACATTTCTCCCTGACGCAAACTTGACCACTAAAATCCCGGACATGTCAGGGAAGAATATGGCAAGTGACAACCCTATCCTATATGCGAGAGGATTGCTGGTGATTGACGTAACGGCTGGTCGGTTACGGCTTCCTCCGCAATCAAGTTTATGCATCTGAAACAAATAACTAATCCAATACCCGACATGGACTGTTGACCGGGCGCGAGTCCGTGGTTCGCCATATGGCTGAGCCGTCTTATCGGGTTTCTATCCCGCAGGATAAATAAAAATATAAAAAGTTTAGAACCACTGAGCACAGACATGAGACTTTAATATCCGGAGTATGATCATATTACTTACAAACTTTCGATTGTAAGTTTATTGTCTTGCCACAAGATGTTCCAACGTTATATATCGTTGATTACCTTTTGGTTAAAGTAAATACAACGTGAAAGTAACTCATGGTATACTGTTAAAAAAAACTTAGCAAAATTACTCTATTTCCCATGCAATATACACAGATCACGGCTACATGACGCTTTATAAAACGAGATCACGTCTTTTCCAATACAAAATATGGTACGTATTTAATTACTTATGATTCAAAGACGTCTGATCCTATTGAATTACTATTTACGAATTTTACTGTATCATAAGAAAAATCCTAGCATTCTACCTTTATACGCTTATACTGAAATTTGATCACATATGGGTTAGGCCTGGTACGTTCATATCAGTCAAAATCATCTTCGTATCATATCTGGGCGGTGGATAAACAAAACATTCATTTGTATCCATGTATATAAACGCCCACGACCTAAAATAAATTAGTAAATGTTTAACTATAAGATCGATTACGACATAGGTTATGTTGAATATACTGTTTCTATGGCACACTGATTCACTGATTCAAGATATCAGTTGGCTTTTTGGTAAGTGTATTTGTGTATATTATTTCAGTATATAAGTATTATTAATGTTTGGTGGTGCTTATAACTGGTTTAAATTGTTGCACCAGGACTATGATATTTTAAAGTTAGTTGATCAAACTCTTCTCCTCGTTATGAGGACATATTTTGGTACTCACGTAGTATGTGAACCAAGATGGTGGACACCGGAACGTAGTATGTGTACCAAGTTAGGGTTAGGCAATAATTTCAGGTACAAATACTACGGAAGTCACCTGGCTAGTCTTCGAACTCGTAATAAAACTAAAATAAGGAAAATTGAAATAAAATTATGGCCGAACCTTAACCTGGTAGACATACTACGTCCCGGTGTCCGCCATATTGGTTCACATACTACGGGAGTACCCATTTTCATACCATAAAGATAATTCTGAAATTTGTTAACAAGTTGGTATTGTTTACCGGGTATATATTCAGTTCTTTGCGATAGATATTGGTGTTCGGCGCTTCTGCCATTTCTCAAATTGTACTCGTTACGGTTACACGATAGGCGTGACGTGGGGTTTCTGTTCTCACTATTCTTATGTTTGGCCATTGCGTGATTTAGAGCAATAATACAAATATTCCACTCTTAATTGACATTCAATTAATTCATTCTTATGTATCAAAACATTTATATTTTGTTTATTCTCCAAATTATTTTTAAAGTTAGATTTGAGGGGCATCGTCGTCAAAAACTCGCCCTGAGCAGCAGAACAGTCTGACTCATCTGATAAATTGGTTACGCAATGCCGAACATTTCGTTAATTATAGTATCTTTAAATACCGTTGGATATCAGTGGATGCTTGTTCACGGTCTTGTTCGCAACAAAAGGGTGTATAAGCGTCATATAAACAAGAGAGCTATGCTCAAATATACAGGCACGTAGCTCCACTTTGTAGCAAATGTCTATGACGAGTTCCATACAGCTCACCAGAATATTTGAAATAAATAAAAGTAATAGTCTTCTAGCAAAAATTTAATCTTTAAGCACTATAAAATTTCAATGCGATTGGTCCAGTAATCAAAGAGAAAAGCGATTTTTTTCTGTGACAAAGAACAAGAACAACATAACACCAAAACGATCGTTATGTCCACTAACGTGTCCAAAAAGAGCAATATACAGAACACGCCGAAAACGTTCTCGTTCTGTTGTATTCCACCGCGCGCCAGTGACTAAATTGCATTTGAGTAAGAATTAGAATATCCGCACGTTTTGTCGATATGCACGGTTTCGCAGATCATCGCTTACCAATGTGTGTCTGATGGCGGTGATTAAATTTTAGTTTTATGCTGAATGAACATGTTAGGTCATACCACGAACTGCTAAAAGCAAGCAGAAAATAAGTTGAATTTTATGTGCATAACATAACAAAAACTGAGTTATAATTCGATATTGACAGGTCGTACATAATTGTAGACTTCGACTCAATATTTAAGTCTGTTAGTACAACTTTACTTCGCATTATTGGGAATTTCAAACGGACGTGCAGCAGCCTAAATTTGCTTATTTTTACATAACGTTTTGGCTGCATTGGTCAATCATTTCATGATGCGTTAAAATCAGTGTCCGGAACGTTTGTATAGTGCTTATTTATTACGCTCCGATTTCGGTATTTTATAGCTAGTACAGTAGATAAGTGGGAAAGCAAAATTTTTGTTATTTTAGAATTGCTTACCAATGTTTTTGTTGTGCTTATGAGGTATCGCTATACATCTATCCATTGCTTACCAATGTTTTTGTTGTGCTTGTAAGGTATCGATATACATCTATCCATAGCTAAATTTATTTGTATTATATTGTTGAGTCCACAAGTAGAAATACTCTTACTCAACAGTCGCAGTCATAATAGTTTGCTATGCATTTTGAAGCGAAAAAGTGATGTCAGAGATAAGCATTGTTTGTGATGAATCAGCGGCATTTTAGTACCATCGAGTCGTACTAAGAACTAAGAAAAGGGCCGGATTTATCATTAGGAAAGATAGGCTATGGGTATGTTCCCCTGCTTTTTATTTTAGGGGGGTGTTTCCAATTTAGGGGGCGGTGGATATTTTGTTATTAGTGATAAAAATATTTGTAACTTATAAAAATGTGTTATGTATTTGACTGATTATCTTCACCGGCATACGAGCCTTTTTCTGAATGTTCGAATACATTTTTATTTACGTTAATAATTGAAGTATGGTGTCACTCCTGAAAATTATTTTTTTGTTGTTGGGGGTGGGGGGTTGGGTCACCGGGCTGAGGGCAAGGGGCCTCGACATTCAATTTTTAAATCATTTCTGAATTGTTGAGGCTTGTTCCAGAATAAAACATGCTTAAAATGTCATAAAGCCGATATTTGTCAATTTATTATCAGATAAATAATTCTTGTCCCAAATACGTTCGAATATATATATAAGGTTCCATTACATTTGAACCCACGTACATTTGAACCCATGACAATTGCACCTGTATGCTATTGCACCTGTGGAATTTTTTTTGTTTCACGGATAGTTAAACCGATACTAACCCTAACCCATGGGTTTTAGCACCCGCATATAGATTGAACCCGTGGATATACGCATGGGTTCAAATGTACGGTCACCATATATATATATGTTTATTTCTATTGCCCTCTACAAAGGTTATTCAAATGGGGATTGGCACCATTCCTTCATATTCCTAATTTTTGTTTCAATCTAGTATGCCGCATTACGCACTTACTATAAAATGAGAGTGAAATATCTGAACTTTCTGTCAGTATTTTCGTGCACGTCAGCAAATTCATGTTCATTGTCGACATTATCTTAAAATCCCAAGGGTGTGTTGGGTTCCGTTTTAGTTCACCACAATTTATTTTAAACTTCTACATTCTTAAGTATGAGCGGTTATTTGGGCGCATGGTTTTCCAAATAACATTTTAAATGAATGTTTTTGAAAACTGATTCATTGATATTAATAAGACTATAATTCACTTTTTGTACCAATAAGGCTGGAATGTTAACTCGCCATGTTGGTGCACTTGACCTATTGATGCTAAATATTATATTACTATATTCTCTAGCGTATTCAAGAGCATTAGATCTCCGTCATACCTTAAAACGGCATTATGGGCTCATATAAACGTAGTATGGCGTCACGTTGTGTGTTATGACGTCACGTTTCGTGAATTAACAGTTCACTGACCGCTCACGTATCAGACCGTACAAAACTGCTGACTAGTAGCTTGCTTGTTATATTTATGTTATTTAATGACGTAATACGACGCTTATCCGTACCTTTTGCTCCGAGCAAGGCTAGACGAAGGCAGCCACTGATATTTAACAATATCTTAAAGAATCTCTCTCCAGACGTACTTTGCTGTCGAAGTTATCCAAAATAAACAAGCGTATATTTGGTTCCATTACATTTGAACCCACGTACATTTGAACCCATGACAATTGCACCTGTATGCTATTGCACCTATGGATTTTTTTTTGTTTCACGGATAGTTGAACCCATACTAACCCTAACCCATGGGTTTTAGCACCCGCATATAGATTGAACCCGTGGATATACACATGGGTTCAAATGTACGTGGGTTCAAATGTACGGTCACCGTATATTTTCATCTATCTCGGTTGGTTCATTTGGTGAAAGGATTATTGATTGCAAGTCAGGAAAAGTCAGTTTTTAGTAAATTGTTTGAGAAAAGAATAAAATGATGTTGGAAAAGGCGTAAGAATTTATATCTTACTGCAAAATTGCATTTAAAAAAAGTTGAATTTATTTCCATGCGCGCCGTCTGGATAGGGGCGCATAAACGGCAGAAAGATTAAATCGCAAAATGTTTTAAAATAAAGTCATTTCAAATTGGGAATGATTGAAACGTTTTCTTATATTTTACTTAAATATTAACGTACAAAAACCTTTGTTCAACGAGAGTCGTTCAAAATTGCCAATCAACGATCAAAGGGGCGCGTTTTAAAACTTGCCCATGGTGCCATTTTACGTAAATACGTCAATTTTGACGGTCCTCGCGCGAACCGCAGGGTCATCCTTCTATAGCTTATACGCGATCATATATTATCATACCATATTTCTCAATCAAAATGCTGTGGAAATACAATATTGGTATTTTGCGCTGACCTAGGTCGTTGTTTTGTTATTACTTCCTGATTCAGAAAGCAACGTGACACGGTAGGGTTTGCGACCGTGTCGTTTTTTGAACCTAGTAGATAGCAAGAAATCTCTGCTACACGTTTTAAATGAGAGAGGAAAAGTTTATTTAAAAGTAACGTGGATATCGGTTTTCATATTTTGGCTATTCGAAAAATCTCGTAATTCTCTGCTTTGTAATTTTGTTTTTGATAAATGAAAATGAAAGACATCCCCCCAAAAAGGCCCTAGTATATATTTTTCAAAGTTAAAATTGAAACGAGAACTTTTCGGGAAACACATCTTACATTTGCAGCCGGTCGTTTCATGGTTTATATCAGGCACTGTAGAATTCCAGTAAATTTGTTGAATAGTTATATTCATGATTTTAGTTGGGAATTCCTCATTGTATGTTATGCGTTGCAATGCTCAGCACCAGGAAATCCTCTCTATGTTTTGAATGTATTGTGGTTATTTAGGGTTTGGCACTGAAACAATCACTTATGAGGATTTGCAGACAAATCATTTTTTTGTATCTTGAACGCTTCGAACGAGGACACAGTAATGCGAGTATAAAGTTGAAATGGTTGAATGTGCCGCATCATTTTGGTTTGACTGGCCTACGGTATTGTTACTAGTAAAAGTAGGATCATTTTTGTATTTGTGCGGTCGCAACTAGGAAGTAAATTTATTTCACTTCGGAGGCGTGCTAGAGATCTTGCTTTTATCAAATTATCTCTTAAAAAATCACTGTTAATCCTGCACTAGCCAGCTCAGTTTTCAAGCGTTACGGAATTGGTCAGACTATGGGAAACCAAAGGTATTGTGGTACTTACTCAGTTACTAAGCGTCTATTTGTACAGATCCTCTTTCTGAGCCAATCGGATGATAGCTAATTCATAGCGATGGCATGCAGGGCCGAACCATTCCCTTTAAAATCCCCAAGCACTTAAGATTTTGGTGCCCAATATATAAAATGGATTCATAACGAAACTGGTTTTCCATTTTATCTAAAATTGAACAAGTAAGTTTAGTGTTTATCGAATTGAGAGCAGGGGTACTCATGTAGTATGGGGACCAAGATGGCGGACACCGGAACGTAGTATGTGTAGCAGGTTAGGATTAGGCCATAATTTCAGATACAATTACTATGGGAGTCACTTGGCTAGTTCCCGAACTCTTAATAGAACTAAAAAAGGTAAAATTGGAATAAATTTATGTGCTAACCCTAACCTGGTACACATCTACGTTCCGGTGTCCGCCATCTTGGTTCACATACTACGGGAGCGCCGGGGCAGGTCATGATGCAACAGTTTCTATACTTATAAACATTAGAGGCAATGATACTTGGGAACTTTATTTCAACCGGGTCAATTTTGAGGTCTGTGTCGTCTGACCAACTCGAATTATTTTAATAAACACTGGGGCATCATTGGAAATTCATCTATGGAAATTTCTGGGATGCCCTCTTTTACTTGGGTGTCCTGAGCATGGGCTTTTTTGCTTAATGTTAATCCAGTACTGATGGCATAACGTTAAAAGCGTTAGATTCGATTTTGCTGGCATTGCAGGTTGTGAATGTAACGTTCGAATCCCACATCATCCAGGTTGTAATAAATTGTGTAAGCAATGCTGAACCGAAAAGATTCGGTCATTTGAAATAATAAGACTCTCTACATATGGTTAGATATCAGTGACTGCTTGTATATGTCCTTGCGCAAAACAAATTCGAAAATAAGCGTCGTATTATCTCCAATACGTTATACGTAGCCGTTGTCGAAACATCTTTTATTTATGTAAATTTAACTGGTTTATTAATTTCTCATTTTTACAGTTTCAAATGTAGAATTCAACTGGAAATGCCAACCGTCCCTTACGGTGAGTATAAATGCACATTTCATTGAATCATTGAGTTCATGATCATATTATTTTGTTAAATCACAATAAATGAGAAGTGAAGAGATTCATACTTATAAGAATGGGTTCTTTTTTGTATCGAACTTACTAACAACAGGTTCCCTCATTATTAGACAATGTATGTATCTTACTACGTAAGCTGCATTAATATGACACGCTTTACATAAATCTGATACATAACTTTTGAAACGTCAGATCTAATGCTAGCTGTCAGCTGTGGTGCATTACCTAGCCCAGCGGTGTGCAATCTGCGGCCCGCGGGCAAATACGGCCCTCAAGGAAAAATTGTGCAATTTTGAATGATGTGCGGCTCACGAAATGAGATTTTAATTTAATTTGGTACGTGCGAGTAATTCTAATCCCTTTGCGTTGCGAAGCAATACCTGAGTTCAATTTATTATCTATGCCTATGACTTTACAATGCCTTAACAATTAGCTTGTGCAAACAACGCATGTAATCAGTAATCAGTAGTTTATTTCATCAGAATGCCACAAGATCACAATTTTTTTTTGTGCCTGCTACATAGCCTGTGTTAAATGAATTAGTGGTCCGCAGTCTCACCCAGTTATTTCTATATGACCGCCTGTATTAAAGTTTGCACACCCCTGATCTGGCAGACCACTGCTCTTATCCCATCTTAACATAAACACTGTCGTGAGGTGTCGCTTTCACCCAAGTTCAAAAATGTAGCTTCATTTTTTTGATGCGTTGCTCGTTCTGATTTAACTTTAAGGTATGTAATCATTGTTGTAAAAAACTTGTAAAATATACTTTCATTTGCATGAAATTGAATTTCGAATAAATCACGTGGATATGAAAGCAAATTTTACGTGTTTCCTAATAGTGCCAATATTTTATCATGCGATCAAATAAAGTTAACATGGCAAGAGAAAGCGACATGGACGAAGTGATTCTTCTATTTGAACAACCCAAGACTTATATCAGGAGATGGAATCGCTGCATGTGGATATTAATCATCTGCCTGGTGTTCACTCTGCTTATGATTGGTACTCTTATACCTGGTGAGTTATTTGTTTACGTTACCCCTTTTCGGAGAATGTTAGCGATTGCCTACTTAAAAGTAAATTGGATACCGATAAAAAGACTCGTAAACCAGATATTTAGGGTGTCCATGAAATTAAATAAATGAAAAAAATTAAATAAATAAAATTAAATTAGTCTTAAAATTGCAAAAGGAATTTAGCGAAACCATATATTGTTTTAGCCCTCACAGATGTATTAGATGTGGTAAAAATACCTAAACAATTACTGATTACAAAACAGTAAACCTGTTTAAGATATATTTTGAGAACTGACTTCATAACGAAATTGTAGAGGGACTTTATGGGCACCATTTGTAGAAGCGAAATATCACAAATAGTTATACCAGAAATATAGGTTTATTTTGCTAAAATGTTTATAGATTTTATTGAGGTTTTTTGGTATTTGCTCGGAACAAGGCTCTTCACAAGTAATCACTGAATTATAGCAAGCTACTGTGTATTTAAAAAATCGGCATATCTTCAGTCTGACCAAATTTATTGAACCCTGAAAAAAGTGGTGGTCATGGGACTTGAACCTGGGATCTTTACCTTAAGACATAGTGGTACAAAATGGACAAGTGATGTATCTCTGTGATAAATACTAATTAACGAATTATGTATCATTTTGTACAAAGAACCGCGATACGCTTGCGGCTACGCGAATATCTATTTTAATCTTCTGATGTAAACAATATTAGCGAGTAGCTATACAACTTTCTTATATATATCAGTTTTTTTTGAACCAAAGTCGTTTGCACTCAAATGAACTTGGAGAAGCACGCTAAATGATACACTTATTTTTGTCAAGGAGATGCCTTGCGGTTAGTTAGATACATGATCTTAACCGGCGTTGGAGTGGCCTCCTTTGTAGATGGCTATTGTTATGTTGCAATAAAGATAGCAGGATAAGAATAGGGTGAATATATTGTTTCAATCACCATTTATATGGCCTTTCTCCGTAGAAGGGCGAGGAGGGTACTTGCTTATTCAGTCGTATAATATACGAATTCTTTAATTAATATACGTTTATACCTACGTGCTTTGATATCATATTCGAATATTTTTTTGCTCAGAAATTGTATCTTATATAATCAGTTCCTTGATGATATATATCGTCATAACGTCGTTCAACTTCGTAGCTATCGGTGATGACATCAGTTTATAACTTTAGTTAACGAATTTGATCATTTTTTCCAAAAACTCACTTTTCACTGACATACGACTAAACCTACGACTAACCCCCCCCCCCTCGAGGTTTCTGGCAGTTTGGAAGAAATAATTTATAATATTTACATTTTGACGATAGATCATAATTTTCTTTCGGCATTCGACAAATTCACATATAACAGCGAAGAGACGATAAGACAAGTTTCAAAATTACTTATCTAAGCAGTGTTTGTTGTAACATATTATATAATTTCCATATTACTTAACTTCACAGGTGCCGTTGGTCTAGCCCAGGGCGATAGGAGTGACGACACGTTGGTATATTTGAGCTTGATAGCTTTCATATTTGCCGGGCTATTCTTCATGTTCTGGTACTCGTGTCAAATTGAAACGACAGACGTGCATTACTACGAAAGAGAGGACACGCATAAGTACGTACGCTGTTGCGAAATTTCATAGTATTGATAACATGCCTTAAGCCTGTCCAATTGACATTGTAGTTTGACCAAGTGTGAAGTATTGATGCCTTTGTCTTACACAAGTTACTTCATGGCAAACAACGGCTACTCATCCATTTACTAGTTCACATCGATTATGTCAGTGGTTCCCAACATTTTTTTCAGCCGACCCAAACTTTTGATGAATAATTTTTTTTTAAATTTCGCGACCCAAGGATACGCCTAAAAATACTAGGCGTTATTTAATGTTCACGTCTACTATTGGGCAATACTTCAATGCAAATATGAAATAAACAATGAAATTTACTAGAAAATAAAATCAGTAACTTTTAGGTCTTTTTTCAAAACGAGCGACCGGCGACCCATAGGTTGGGAAACACTGTAATAGATCCTTTATGTTGCGGGCATTCTGGTGGTATTTATATGTACCGTACCTAGCTATCGCAGTTATAGTGAGTGTGGGCTTACCATACGTCCCGCTTTAGGCGGAACAGTCCCGCTTTTTAGCGTTGTATCCCGCCGTCCCGACAAGTCGTCCAAAAGTCCTGCTTTGGCGTTCAGCCATCCAGCATAATACACGAACATGTTCTAGTTACTGTTGTTGCTGTGTAGCGCAGCCTACTTACTGAAGATAAATGCGTTATTGCGTTTGTTTCGCTGTTTCCCGCTAACATTGGTAGCAAACGTATCGCATGTAAAACCAATACTAATTAGTCTAAATTCGAACTATTTGTACCGGTATCGTTAACGTCAATTCCTTTCTATTTCTCGAACTGAAACCGATATTTGGACAGAGAATGAGCGCATGAAATTTCGATGACAATATGGTCAATAAAGACAGCCAGGATAGCTTTAAATGTAGGCCTATGTGGTAAAATCGTGAAATTTAAAGTTACAAAATCACAGCCGTTGTCTTTGGGGGCGTCCCGCTTTGAAGTCACAAAAATATGGTAACCCCAACTAAGTGTGAAGTATTGATAACTTAACCTTAAACAATTTATATTATCACGATAATTCTCTTCGATCACTCATAACTTCACATTTGTCATTATAATCGATTCACCGATTCCTAAACTTCATACTGATAAAGCCATTTTCTCCACGACTGTGCTTGACTTGAGTTCTTTGTATAGTTCTGAGACAAATGGAAATTCAGGTGACCGTACATTTGTGCCCACGTACATTTGAACCCATGTGTATATCCGCGGGTTCAATCTATATGCGAGTGCTAAAACCCATGGGTTAGGGTTAGTATGGATTCAAATATCTGTAAAACAAAAATAAATTCCATAGGTGCAATAGTATGCAGGTGCAATTGCCGTGGGTTCAAATGTACGGAAACCGAAAATTCAGTGTAGTGATTCGCAAGGATAAATTTCATAATATTATTTTCAAATCATTTTTTTGTGCAGATCTATTAAAAGAAAGGACGACGGGCCTCGCCATATGAGACCAAAATCATTACGAGCCCCTTTGGCAAGCGTAACCAGCATTAAGAAGGGAGGAGAACTTCACGAGAGGACTAGTTTAGTAGAAAATGAAGTCACTGTGAAAGCTGAAATTTAATTTTCATCCAACGATTTCACCAACGAAATTTAGGCCGATTTCAAAGGTTGTAGACTACAAGTTGTGGTATCAATATAAATTACGTAAAGTTACTATAAACAAACGAAAGAAACCCGCTTTAAAAAAGATCTTTTGTAAAGAGCCCCCGCCAAAATAACGCTCTGAATAAAAAATTAGTAAATATCCAGTTAGGGTTAAAAATGCAGATTTCGCTGGAAATTCAAGTTATTTCAAACCCAACTGAATAAATAATAATTTTTAATATTGGTGGAGGCGTTTTTAAATCTCACAAATTATTTTTGCGGGGGTTTACAAAAGTTCCAAATCTCACTTTTTTATATCAGTGGCGGGGGTTTTGTATAAATAATCCAACAAAATAGATAAAAAAAGCTATAAAGTGGTTAATAGTTTGCATATCTGCAATGCAAATTAATTGATATGTGATATGTAAACGCGCAAACGCAAGAAATCCGTCTTCCAAGAAGCAAATTTTATTGAAAAAACTAATTATACACTGTGTCGTCCAGCTAAATTACTATTGAAGTACCAAATTTTTGTAAACATTTATGTGCCATTGAGTTGAAAAATCGTTGCAATGCAGTATGACTTATATACTGGCTGTGATTAATATGACCTTACGGCGCTCCAGAAGTGTGTGTACCAACATGAAGGTAACTAATTTTGTTCGCCCACTTTACATCAAGTTGTGTAAAGGGACGGAAGCCTATGGGCAGGGGGGATATTCACTTGGCTAACAAAAAAAAAATCCCAGAACTCGTAATAGAACTAAAATAAAGAAAATCGGAATAAAATTATCCCTAACCTTAACCCAGTACACACACTACGGGAGTACCGACTTTACTGCCAGATAACGGCGAGTCATTGATGAGGTATTTACAGTGAAATGCAAGTAAAACTTCGGCCATTTTATACATAAAATATGATCTGCCTCTAAATCTCAGCAATCGTCAAATAGAAAAGGCATTGGAAACTTTTATTTTAAATCTACAGATATGGGCGGATACTGTGCACCCATTGCCCGCCTACACTAGTTTTTTTTAATTTCATTTTCTAAAGGCTTAGATTTTTGTCTTTGAACTTTTGCGAATATTCAGACTAACACTCCAAAGGGTGTCCATACAATTTCAAGTCTCTTTTCAATTTCAATTTGACGTCAGTTCTCAGTATATCCTAACCAGATTTGTTGTTTTTCGATAAGTAATTGTTCAAATATTTTCTGTTTTTTTTGTACATCTGTAAGGTCCAAAACAATATATGTTATCGGTAAATTTTCTTTGCAAACTTTGTTAAATCTTTATCGAACCCTATATATAACAGTGGTTGGTCAAGTCGGCTTGCATCGCAAAACCTCGGAAGTGTAACTTATTTTTTTTACTCATATTTAATTAAAATATGCAATCATTATATAATTTAATCAAATTCAATCAATCTGTAATGATTTCTATTTTATGTTTATTGAATTATGTTTAAAAAGTTTTGTTTGAACTTTATATGAATGCAGATGAATGCGTAGACGAGTCCTACAGGGAGACTCGGAAAAAATGGAACCTATAAATTTCACACTCACTTCTATAAAAATGAAGTAAATTTATTTAATTAACACCTGAACTTCTGTTTGTGTATCATTTACCCATAATTTTCAGTAATCTATGTAAATCATAATTTTCAGTAATTTACACGAAATTTATGTTCCCTCTAGAACAGTAGTTCTCTAACGTTGGGGTGCGCCACACAAGGGGGACGTAAACAATATTTTGAAAGGGCGTGGAGCTAATAAAAATATTTGTTAGATATGATCTTTTCCGCCTCATTTTTATATTTCTTATTTTTTCAGCCAAAACAACTGCACTAATAAGTGTAACAACAAATTTTGCTTTTTTTTAAAACGTTTCATTTATTATGTTCCTCTCACGTATTCCTAGCATACTTTTGCCTTACTATCTGTTATTTGTAGCTTATTGTTCTGTAGTTATTGAGGTGGGGCGCGAGACTTGACAGATCCTAAAAAGGGCGCGAGACGCAGAAAGTTTGAGAACCACTGCTCTAGAATATGTTCCAAATGACCGGGATTCTATTTTTTGTGTCACTCTGTAGAATGTTCGCCTACACTGTTTGTACATGGTTTGCAAGAAAGTCAAGCTACTAAGCACCTGACGTGCCATAAAGTTTTCTCAAACCACTGTATATATGCAATGAGCAAGATTAAAGAGCCTGCATGAAACATGATCATTTCCGAATAATCACTGCTTCTCATGTTACTGTGGCAGTGGTTCCCAGACCGTGGCCAACGTAACGATTTAATATGACCCGACGAACTTAAATGAAATAGTTAAACACTTCATGTTTTTTCTTTTCATGTTCCAGATATCACTAAGCACGTGTTCATTTGTAAAACTGAAGTTCGGTAATTTATTATATATATCAGTACTGAGAGTTCACTCTCTTGGGCAGCGAATATTCTTCTAATTTTGGCCCGCGTTCAATCAACTCTGGGAACTGCTCTATGGGATTCTGATCCTATAATTGAGGGATGAAGAGATTTTTCGTAACTTATCATCATCAAAATATGTCTATCTATTATTTCCTTTTTAATATGTTAATAAGATATTCACGTTCAACGTTCCAACTATTTGAAATACTCTTTATATATATATATATATAGCAACCTCATTACTTTATTGCCAAGAGCGGTTTAAATTCATGCTACTCTCGAGACAATAATACTGATAATCTAAACAAAAAAAACAAAATCACCGAGAACCTTGCAAAACCCCTGAAAAACCACCAAAACAATAGTCCAATAATTTTATAGTAAGAAAAATGTATTTAACTGAATACTGAGGCCAGACCGAATTCTAAAACTCTTTGGGGCCGATTCTTAATGTAAGAGGCTAAAATGCACCGCATCCTGAAAACAATGATCCATTTGGAATGGTAGTAAAACTCCTGGTCACTGATAAAAGACAAAAATATCACAAAATGGTTTTACGTGATCTTTTTTACAAAGTCGTATTGCTCACTCAGTGAATTCTGATTTAGTCCGGATTGATTTGCATTGACTTGCAACTCCTAAATATCTGCTTTTAAATAATACATTGATTCATTTTCAGTCCGGGACTCTAATTCAGTCCGGGACCCTACAAATTTGATTGACTTGACTTGTGACTCTAAATATCTGCTTTTATTATATCGATTTATTTTTTGTTCAATTTCAATTCTGTTACTTATATCGTACAGCCTATCTAATAAATCAAGTGTTCTTTTACATAGTGTTTTTTAACATATATATATATTTCAATCCTTTATTTTGATTCAGTAATATTTAGTGTATACTAAATCAGGAGTGTGCAACAGTCGGCCCGCGGGCCACAATCCGCCCGCCAAGCCATTTAGTGTGGCCTTTTTCAACACTCAGGTTTTTCTCAATCAAGCATAAAATCCTAACACGTCAGTTTATATTTAACAAGGCGCTCACATGGGTAAAAAATACATAATGTTTTTCTGCTCCTGTCGCTGCGTAAAAGCTTTCATCGGTTTGTCCGGTGCATTTATCACTGTACCGTTAAGCGATAGCTGCATTTTCTAATTTGCCTTTTCCGCTAAAGTTCTGGGCGGTCCCGCTAGATCACGGTGCACAACCTGCGGACGTCGTGAAAAAAATAATGCGGCCGTCCACATACAAAATCCTATGAACAAAAAAAAAAGTTCAAAATAGATGATTTGGCGGCTATGCTTAAATTATTTGACATTTTATTATATATAGCCTACTTTTGGGGACAAGAAAATTGGGGCGACCGCCCCTCCCCCTTCTCCGACTTTCGATTTTTTTCAAAATTGTGCAACCATTTTGAAACTTGCTGCAATATATCTGCTCAAGAAAAAGTCCACCGAAAAAAATCAGTTTATAATGCGAATATTATACTTCCAAGCAATCCTATACATACTTCATAATTGGGCAGACTGCACCTCGCATGGGTCAAATACGCGGCTATGAAGTCATAAAAGCAACCACAAAAATTTCGCGCGCCTCTGGCGCGCTCATAAAACCCCTTGAGGCCGTATTGAATACAAATAAATGCAATGTGGCCGCCAATAGCAGAAAGGTTGTGCACCCCTGAGCTAGATGTTGAAAGTTGGCTATATTGCCCACAGACAAAAATGGTGTGGGCTACACCCTTGTACTAAATGTTTAGTATATAACATGTATCCATGCTCGGAATGGAATCCCTAAAAAAGCAGAAGGGGAATAGTCTTTGGCTTGATGTCAGCCAAACAAAGTCTCAACAATCATAAAAGCACGGCTCTCGGTTTCAAACTGACAGGGCTTATATATAAGTAAATTTGTTAGTATAAGAAGTATGGTGTGAGACTACAACTTTACAGTCCGGCAAAAATAGCCCGTGTTGTCCCCGGGCGACAGATTGGTATTTATTACATTGTACAAGGAAGTTGCCTGATTAATGTAATGCAAAATGTTTGCGATTCACTCTGTCCAATATAGCGTTAATATAACTTTCGGCATTCCCTTGGTATATGTACCAGGGAAAATACAGGTTAGGCCATGATTTTATTCCGATTTATTACTAAAGCTTTCCGGTTGAGAATATTTTAGTTCTATTACGAGTTCGATGGCCGCCTGTGTTAGCCAAGTGAATATACCCCTTGCCCATAGGTTTCAGTCCCTTTACACATTTGATGTAAAATAGGCGATTAAAATTAGTTACCTCCATATTGGTACATACACTTCTGAAGCGCCCAATATCTTTTATCTGTCGCGGAGCTTCTGGAACAAACCACTGTATATGATGTTTTTTGATTTTATTTTAATTTGCAAATACAGCGCGATATTCAACATTTTTCACAAATCTGAATTCAGCAGTCGTCTGCTGTTCAATTTACGTTGAGGACAGTGGATCGATTCAGGTTTCTCGCGAACCTGTTCCTCCTTCTTTGTGGTATCACCCGTTCTTCATTTTGTTTTGAACTCAAGCAATAAACGGGTCACGTGCACCACAGCGCGACTAGCGCTATATAGCCCATTAAAAAATGCACCATGTCGCTCCTTGGTATCAAATAGGGGGAAAACGATGCTAATGCTTACAATACAAGAAGCAGATGCGCTCCGAATCGAATAATCGACGGGTCCGTATTTGGACCGCGGTCCACCAGTTGAGTAGCCCTGCCTTAGACAACTACAGAAAATGGGTGACGTGCACCGCAGCTGGCACTAGTGTTATATCTGGCGTTTCAAAAGCTATATGTATTTGATTTATGTAAAGCGTTTCATGTTAATGCAGCTTGCATGGTGACAAACATACGTTCACTTAAATGAGGGAACCTGTTGGTAGTGAGTTTGTAGCCTTTATAATAGTATTATTTGGCGTTGTATAGTGAAGGAAGATGGGAGCGGCCCAGTCCTCAGCTCGTTCTCTATCGTACCCTCTTTCTGAGATTGCCTGATCTCCACTCCCAGCAACGAATGCAAAGATATCAGAATTCACCAGCACACAATTGATATTTTATTGTCTTGATCGACAAAATTCTACAGTATCTTGCGGATAAATACTGTTACTTTTTGTCTTGACTCTCGCCTCTTATCTTTTCTAATACAAACCATGACGTGTTTATATATAATAATTTGAGTCCATAATGTACTGTCTAGCACGGCATGAGCTTTAATCTATATTGTCCGATCAAAACAATATAATTTATCCTCGGGCTATGGTCTGCGACGCGAATGACGCTCAACAACTGAGAATTGTTGTGACCAACTGGTTTTGTCCTAATTCAACGAATCTGGGTTAAACCCGATTTACAGCTAATAATACTAGTTTTGCCCGAATTACCGAAACTCAATCAACTTGATAATATTTTTCCTACAAGTTCGATACAAAAGAGAACCGTTCTTTTTGAATTTCACCACTGATTTACATGCAGAGATAAGTCTTGTCAGTCAGCACAAGAGATCAGAAAGTTCCAACTTGAGGAATTTATAACACGTTTTCCAATCTTAGTATACCATACTATGCAATTCACGAGTCCTGCTGCACACTTACACAAATGTATTTCTGTAATGTTTCGTCTGACCAAAACCAGACTTCCTCAGACAAACACAGTTGTTGCTCTGCAGCAGGAATCTTGAATTGCATAATATGGTCTGTTTCTTCCTACTACAGCATCCATTATATTCATACGGGTCCACTACCATGAAGTCATTGAAGAAGGACTGGGAGTTAGTCTCGCGTAACCCCTACTGATAGTTAGTATTCCTTTTTTGAAAATCGGAAATTTGGGTTGCGAATTCGCTCCTTTATTGTCTCCAAATTCAAAGTAAAAGCGTCCTTTTCACTTGCACAATTCCACAGAAAATGAATCGATATTCTTGAGGCACAAGACGTCGGGTACATTTGTTTTGTCTACGGGCAGAAATATTTAGAAAAATTACCTATTGTAATTGATTCAATTGTATAATTATATATTCGTAAATATTGTATTATATGTTAGTATAGGATTTTTTAAATTCAAAATGATCAAAGGCGCAAAAGACCACTGAAGTTATAAGCGCCATAAAACATAACAACAACAACAACAACAACAACATTTGTCGACAGGCACGCGTGAAATAGGTAGAATTTGCGAAACCGTTGTAAAGATATTCACTGACAAAATAATCAAGCCATGCTGACGAAAATATTCAGCGAATTATCTCTGTAATTACGCGTTATAAGTAGGGCTGGGTATTTTCGAATACCTGGTGGTTCCAGAATCGAATCGATTTTTTTTTTCCGAATCGGATCTCGAATATTTGAACGATTGGTGATTGTATGTGATTTTTTTATTGTAATAAGTCATCCAGACTTTTGAATTACTCAAAACATAGAATCTATAACCGAGACGGTGTCTGAGTGTTCACACACATTAAGAAACACGTTCCATCAATCAATCACTCACTGTCTGTTTCACTGTTCCATTTAAAAAAAATATGATTCAACAATATAAAACGACCGATTCGACTCTATCTTTGGCGAACGGAAAAAAACAAGATGGCGGCGATTCGAAATTTTTGTCTAAACTGATTCGAAATTTGAGCCCTAGTTATAAGCAGTAGTGGGATTCAAAACTTTAAGAACGGATATTCTTTTGTATTGGATTAATTAACAACGGGTTCATTCCAGAAAATGCATTTTCATCACTACGTAAGGTGCATTAACGCTTCAAATAAATCTATTACATAGATTCGGAAACGCCAAATATAGCGCTACTTGGTACACGGAACCCCGGAGTAACAAGAAGGGATTCCCATTTCCTAGACTATCACGACATTCCGTTCGCGCGAGCCCGCTGAATCCCTCCACTGGTTATAAACGACTTTGTCATATTCCGAAATTTCTTTGCTGCGCCACTAAACATAAATTGTGGTGTTTATTTGGCCTGGTATAAAGTTTGTCAACACCCGGCCTGGGTTATTTTTTGGGAAGAAAAGTTGTTCAATTCTAAATTATATTCACAGCCTAGGCATGGTTATTGTATGAGTAGGGCAATCTAAACTTATTCGTAAAAGATTGTTTTGCATTTGACTGAGTGTTCCTGTTGATATCGGACATTTACGAAGGCGGAATGAAGGGCACTTGAAATTTGATAGTGGAGAATTTCACACACCGCCGGTGATCAGTATACTCACAAATGCACGTAGGATATTCAAAGCTCTGCGCCGCGTCACAATGAGATAAACACCCAGTGGAGGGATTCGGAGGTTTGAGCGAACCCTTTCTTAGAATTACCCGATATTCAGCGAGCCCGTTCTTGTTCTTAGGCGTAAGACGACCGCAGGAAATGTGTAACGTGCACCGCAGCTGACAATAGCGTTTCACAGGATGTCCATAAGATCTCTTTACAATTACAATTTTGTTACGAAGTCAGTTCTCAATATATCTTAACCAGGTTAGTTATTGTTTTAATCAGTAATTGTTCAAGTATTTTTACTGCATTTGATACATCTGAGAAGGCCAAGACAATAATGTAATTTTAAAATTTTTCAAGACTTAATGGATACCATATAATTGGAGTTATTTACTAGGGATGCGGCGAGATTTCGTACGGTGAATTTTCCGGACCTGATTTACTAGATGAAGTTTGTCCCATTTTAATGTAGCTTATGTAGTGGGTAGTGGCATTTTATCAAATGAGGGAACTGTTGTCAGTGTGTCCGAATCAAAAGATAGCATGTTTTTAAATTCCACGACTGAATGAAACCTACTCAAAAAGAGATACAGCTAACTTTGAACACCACAAAATGGATAGGAATAAGCGTTAGCCATCCTACTGACACTTTCTAAAGTGTAAAAAGGTTTCTTTTCTTCATATCAAAAATGGGCGCTCCAGAAGTGTGTGTACCATAATGGAGGTAATTAATTTTGTTCGCCTATTTTACATAAAATTAAGGGACTGAAACCTAAGGACATACAGAGAGATATGAGCACTGATTTCTATAACTGGGGTAGAACTCTTAACGAGATAAAAAAAAAATTTACTGATTTTGATTTCAATTTTATTTCAGATATAAATTGAATTTTAATGATATATAATAAAAAATTATTGCATCGAAAAAAAAAGATCAAAAAGCTGCCATAAATCAATGATTAAGATATTCAATAATATGAATATATATTATGAATTTAATGAATCAGAATTGCTTACAGTTAGACGTTGGAATGTTGCAATTAAATTGCTAAGAGCGCATTCCAGTATCGAATGCTTTAAACTAGATCGCCAGTTCCTAACCAGTGGGCCATGGCCCACAAACCTATAAAAATTGCTAGAGTTATTGATTGATAAATAAGTTAATTTTGATTGTAGCAGCAATGAATGATGCCGTTTTCTGCTTCTGAGTGGTAATTTACATTTCAATTATAAAAGTGGAAGACTCTATATTTTTTATTTTTCTTGTAGTTTTTCCATTGCATGAGAAAGGTATTAAGGTTGAGAACCAACCACTGATCTATTTCAATGACTGAGATATACAATGATATGAATAGATATTTCAAATTTAATACTGATAGACTTTGGATAGATGTTATCAAATCGACACATTTTAGTATCAAGAGCTTAAACGCAGAAGGGCGAAATTTGAAAAAGGTGCCCTGAGAAAATGCACATTATTGATTTTCAAACTCCTGTAATTTTTAATTAAAAATTTTGGAGAATATGGCTTCAAACTGTGCATAGATGCCAAATTGCAATCACGGCAAACTCCACATAAAATGGCAGAACAAAAATGAGAGAACATGGCGGTCCAGCATGCATAAAGGATCAAAGGGGGTACATAATGAAGATGTATAGCACTCAACAAAATTAGGCAGGCGACAGAGTCTGGTACTCTCAATAAAGCAAATGATTTATCCATGACGTTTCTGACTTAATATTCAACTTGATAAAAGCAAAAATAAACGAATTAAATTCGATATGAAGATTCAAAGATAAATTGCATTTAATTTCTAACAAAATTAAAGTATATGTTGGCATAGTGATATCACAGATTACTTTTAGTCTTGGTGGCGCTAGAGTACTGCATCCATTGGCTCATATCAAGATCCCCGCGTTTCTCCACGATACGTTCTAGCATTGGACTAGGAGTCCACTGTGGCACCACATTCCCGAACTTTTCATAATAGTGCCTTATACGCGCCAGAACTTTTGAAAGCCCAATTTTACTTGCATAGTGCATAGGACCACCGGTGTGACTTGGGAAAGCGTATCCGTGTATCCAGATCATATCTATATCCATAGGAGACGCTGCGATTCCATCATCAAGAACTTTGAAACCCTCATTGACGAGAGCGAACACCAATCTTTCGATCACTTCTTCATGATCAATTTTACGCGCAGTAGCTCCAATACGACTCCGGTAATCGCTGATAATTTTCGACACCTCGCCTGACTCAACAGGAATTCTGCCGTTAGGGTAATCGTACCATCCTTTCTTCGTCTTGAGACCGTACCGTCCGACTTCTACAAGATAATCAGGCAACGGGCAGTATCTCAATCCACTTCGAACGTTCTCTTGGGTTCCAGGAATTTGCTGTTTTGGTGTCAACCCAAACGCAGTACGCATACGATATCCAAGATCAAGGCCTGAAAGATCATCAACAACAAATGCCCCCATTGCGAATCCGTAATCTTTTACTGCTTTGTCGACTTCCACTGGCAACGAGCCTTCTTCGACGAGATACCAGGACTCAGCTTTGTAGTTAAAGTACATTCGGTTTGCAACAAAGCCGTAGCAATTTCCGACAAGTACGGTGACTTTACCCATTCGCTTTCCCATGTCCATACAAGTTGCGATCGTCTCACTAGAAGTTTTCGATCCCATGACATTCTCCAAGAGGCGCATCAAGTTAGCCGGTGCAAAGAAGTGCATCCCCATCACCTTTTCAGGTCTTCTAGTAAAAGAAGCAATTTTGTCAATATCCAGAGCACTTGTATTCGAGGCCAGTATCGCAGAAGGCTTGCAAGCATTATCCAGCGCTTTGAAAACTTTTTCTTTAAGTGAGATCTCTTCAAAAACAGCTTCAATGACTAGATCGACATTTTTTAAATCGTTATAATTCAAAGTACCAGTCACGGCCTTCTTCATCATTGCATTTTGCTGCTTAGTGATCTTTTGATGGCGTTCCATGTCGTCAATGAGTGCATGTACTGATTTCATACCAGCACTGAGAAACTTTTCGTTCATCTCTATAACAATAACTGGAACCCCAGCAAGAAGGAAATTCATGACAATTCCTCGCCCCATTGTACCGAGACCAATAACAGCGCCGAGCTTTACGGGCATAGGTTTGGAGTTGTGCCATGATATATCACTTCCAGGAACGCTCCATTTTTGCACTTGTCTTTCCGCAAAGAATGCATATCTTAGAGCAATCGCTTGGCCAGATTTCCCCAGCATCGATATGATTTCAGATTCCTTTTTCAATCCTTCAGCCAAGGTGCTTTGCGCAGCATATCTTACTGCTTCTATGCAATAAATCGGGGCGTATTGTCCTCGAGACTTTTTATGCACAATTTGCGTATATTTTGCTGCAATTTCATCCACACAGTCGGTATCTTTGACTCTTCTATCAGCTGATCTTTTTCCTAATAGAGACTTAGTCGCCACAATTCGAGCAAATGCGATCGACTCTTTGATAACATCGGTCCCTTTCGAAATAATTCGATCAATAACGTCAAGTTTCGCTGCAGTATTGGCCGAGTACTGTTTTCCTGTAGTGATCCATTGCATTGCAGCATCTAGTCCAGCGATTCGAGGAAATCTCTGTGTGCCACCTGCACCCGGAAGTATTCCTAACTTTACTTCCGGGAAACCCACAACAGCATCTGAACTGGCGACTCTATAATGACAGGACAGCGCAATCTCAAAACCTCCACCAAGGGCGTAACCATGAATCGCAGCCACGACTGGTTTTCTACTGGCTTCAATCTCGTCACAGACATCGCCCAAATGTGTTTTGATCGAATCCCCTCCAAATTCTGAAATGTCAGCACCTACTGAAAAATGTTTTTCGCTTCCACGTAAAACTATGGCTTCGACTGTTTGGTCATCCAAAGCCTTTTTTAAATACAACTTGATACCCGTCCTCACAGATTCGCTCAGTGGGTTCAATTTACCATTGCTTAGCTTTATAATGGCAATATTTCCATTGACTGAATATTCCGCCATAATATCTGTTTATCTATTATAACAAGACGTAAATCCAACTGCCAACTATACCGTTAACCCCACACAAAACAGTAGAACTGTCAGCTTGCAGAAGAGACAGCAAACAACGTACATTCAGACATTACACAATCTTTGCTAACCCTACGCCGTCATGACACAGCTAAAATTACAGCAACGACGAACGGAACATACACATCGCATTCAAACCAGAACCTACAACACCTGCAGCAGACTGTTACGCCTAATATATTTACTTAGGCGACTCGCTTGGGTGGTCTCTGTATAAGCTCGTTCTATTCCTCTCTCATCGACAGCAGTATAAGCGTCGCCCTAGGCATGTAAATTTACCGGTTTCAAATGCGGCATTGTCTGCAGTCGTTTCGCTGTATGATTAACTGAACACCGGTATTCAATCAACCAATACTCACATTGTAATAAAAAGCTATAGAGTAGTCGGATTCTAAGGGTGGAGATCAAAAAGGTAGTTGAACCTCGAATCGGAGTTTAACCTTGGATCAAAAAGATGGTTCAACTTTCTGTGACGTACAAACTGAGTTAAACCACCTCCAGACCACGTTTAAAAAATCGCTGATTTTAAGTCGAGATTTACGTCACGGAAAGTTAAACCACCGTTTTGATCCGGACTTAAACCGCCGATCTAAAGTTAAGCTCCGATTCGAGGTTAAACTACCTTTTTGATCTCCACCCTAAGTCAAACTAGTCTTTTGGAAACTTTTTGGGGACTAAATTTGACTTATGACATTAAACTGCAACTCCTTGGAGGACAGAATATCCACATATACAAAATATTCCTAAACCAAACACTGTCAAATAACTTACGAAACTCCAAAAATGAGCAAACATAACAACGCTTCAAAATCAGTCTGGGGGCCCATAAAAATTTCAATTGTTATGTCACCTTGGGCAGTTTGCTAGTCATTGTTACGTAAAAAAGAAGAAAAGCGTTCCCTGTAAACAGTCATTGAGGTGTGCAAGAATTTATCCATTCCATCGTCGTATATAGTTTTTTTCTGTTTCTGTGTCGCTAAAATACTGCTGCCACTGACTGATATTAAGATTCCCACGTTTCTCCACAATGCGTTCTAGTCCAATGTGGTAATGGATATTTCCCCGAGTGTCGGTTTCCTCGTTTATTTCCGTAACAATGACCAATCAGCAATAAGTCCACAATGACGCAACAATTGTAGTTTATTCAGTCGCTGAGACGCTTCTTTCGTTCAGGCAGATATTCAACCATGTAGAAACAGAGACTTATTATTTCGTCAACCAGAAAACAAGCAATGGTACAATAAAATATATACAAAATATGCAAGTTAATTCGCTATAGACTGGAGGGAGCGATACGACCATAAGGTCATCAAAGTCGGTTCCCCCAAATTCACTATTAAGACTCACAGTTAATGTATAATAAACCATATATCATCTGATCTGTTTGACACACTAAGGTGGTTTTAATGTATACGTTGATGCTAAGACACAAATTCAAAGAGTTTGGGCGTTGATCCTTGAGAACGAAAAGTATATAATAAAATAGGCAAATTGTTGAATTCGGGCATTGAAGCTTGGAAAATAAAAATACACGAGCGTGAACTCGAGCTTTAAACTTGAAGAGTTGAAGTTGAGTTCTGGTCCAGATACCTATTTTTGTGTCAAAATTCTGTTGATTGACATACCGCCCGAGACTGAATATTGATTGTTTGCTTGATTCTTTAAATGTTGATGCGTTTTCCATTGACTTGGTTACTGATAAATTGCTTTCCCATTTTGATTGACAAGAGCGGGAAAACTACACCGGAATGTCGAGTGCTATAGGCAACATACGGACATCATAACAGAATCGAAAGATGAATACAACAGGGATTGATTCAGATATTTTATTTTGTGACAAAGAGTATGATATACTGCTATTTCCAGAAATTCCGCTTGAATACTGAGTATTCAACTATATATGTGTAAATAGTTTGCAGTGTAACTTACAGTGTAACATTTTTAAACATTCATTTAGTGGCATATTTTTGATTTGTTCGCTCTGTGTGTATACCGGTATTGTTTTAACAATGTTGGCCACGTCAATGTATCAATTAGGCTACCGACCTGCTCACGTGTGATTAGTGTTTTTCCTAATAATTGCTTTTATGAGTGTCCGCACACCGAATTTGCCGCCATGTTTTGCGTTTGTTTGTATATTAAACCACTTATCACTTTTTCCGCAATGCCCAATCTAGCAATCAGTGTAGTTTTTCATGGCTTGGTTTTTCTTAAAGCTTTCATGGCTTCATGAGTATGACTATCGTCGCAAATTTATTACATTCCACTCCCCACATTATCTTTGCATGAGGTTGTAGGTATTGGTCATTATCAACGTAATTGTTGAAAGAGAGTACAACAGCCCGAAAGTTTATTACTATCGTGTATTTTGTTTTTTAAGTTTGGCCCGAGCCTCATTTAATTGGGCTTGTGTTTTTGTGTGCGTGCTGGTGGGCAGGCACATGAGATACTTCATGTTTTAAACTTTTTTGTAGGTTTTGCTTGCCCTCCAGAATTCTCCATTTTAAATTTAGGTTTGTTATGGAGTTTTCGAAATAAACTATCTATCTCATCTATAGCAAAACTGAAGTTACCGGCATAATCTCATTCTAATATTCAAGCGTTTTCGTCTCATCTTCCCAATTGACCAATATGAGAACGAATATTTCAGAACATAAGAAATTCAAGTTTGTCATGTGATATTGTTTTTGTATATGGTATTTTGGCATTGAAGACACTGTTTGTTTTGGCGCTGTAACACTGTCTATCGATCTTTTAGGTGTGGCCTGTTGGCGTGTGCTGTGGGTTGACAGCGGTGCAGTTGTCTGAGTGTGGTTGTTTTCGGTTGGATGTTTGGTTTTTAGTGTCTGCGGGAGTGCCTCTGGTCTTCGGTGGGTTATCGGGGATGGTTGTGTGATAGTTGGATGAGGATTTGTTGAATGTTATGTGCTGGACAGTGCGCTGATGTTGGGATCATGCTGTGGTTTGAGTGCGATGCCATTGCAGTTCATTTAGTGTTGTAATTTTCAGTTTTATCATGGAATTAGCCATCATCAGTACTGTTCAAATGTTGCACATATAAAATTGTTTATCGTCTTTTGAAATTCCTGTCATACGTTATTTTCAGTCTATTTGGCAAAATATAGAAGCTAGTTTAGTGTTCCGGGTTCTAGGGGTCATGTGGCTTATATTGAAAGTGTCTTCGATTTCAGGGGTCGTCAGTGTTTTTATTGTGTACAGGGAGAGAGAGAGAGAGAGAGATTTATTCCCACAAACAATGAAAAAACAATATTAAATAATATCGATAATTTTTAGAGAGTTAGACTATAATGAAAACAATGAAAAACAGTATAAAACAATATCGATGATTTTTATAGAAGTAGTCCAATTTACACATTGTTTTGTGTTGGCCAGTATGCAAGACCGTTGAAGGTCATCAAGGCTCCTGACCAATTTAACACTGTTATTGATTAAGAAGTCGGAATTAATTGTCACAATATAAATATAAAAAAGACGGAGAATGAGTCGGCAGATATTTTAGTTCCACGATTCAACACTAAAAGCACATTGTGATAGAGTTTAGAGGACATGTGTAAAATATATATAATACCAGTGCTACATTGTGATCTAGTACATTACAGATCGCCATAACCGAGTCGGGCTCAGTATGAAATATAAATGAACAGGGAGTCAGTCCTCGACTTACGACGTTGTTCCGTTCTTGAAAAGCGGTGTGACCTGAATTTCAGTGTAAGTCGGAACATTATATATACTGTACAGTACATAAATTACTCTATACATATCGTACTGTATTGTAAAGTATGGTACAGTAATAAAATGTACAAATAATGCAAAAAGTACGACGTAAATGACGAAAACCAATGAGCCCAAAGCATCGATTTTCTTGATCACAATGATCCAGTTTAAGGGCTTAGATATTACGAGTGGAAGTGGTGACTCCTCTTCGGCCCATGGGCCGGGGTCACGGCCCATCAAATTGGGCCTAGGCCCATCAGGCTATGGGCCGCGGCCCATCAAGTTGTGTAAAGGAACTATTCACTTGGCTAACACAGACAGTCCCCAAACTCATAATAGAACTATAAAGTAAAAATCTGAACAAAATTTTGCCCTAACCCTAACCTGGTACACATACTACAAGAGTTTATTTTTTGGTTCGAATATTGACAATTTTGTAAAAATTGAAAATTTTGGTAAGATAATTGAGTTTTTCCTGACGGGTGACATGTGGCCCAATTAGATGGGCCGTGGCCCCGGGTAAACGGGTATTCCACAAAAACTAGTATAAGCCTCTATCGCAGCGTTTCCCAACCTTTTTTAGTGGCGGACTAATTTCTCACCGGCAAAAACCTTTGCGGACTCAAGGTGCGTTTATCGCAACCGTACTCTGTGTGAAGAAGCAATAAAACCAAACACAACGGAATTTGAACGAGTTTCAAAATCGGATATTTGGATATATATAGTTTTGATACACATTCTTAGAGATCTTGCAAATTTGTTATCGTCGTTAGAAAAAGCCTACTATCTGCTATAAATTTCCACAAAGTACAACTTGATTTAGTACTTATTAAAAATATATTTAAAGTATATTTGTAAATCAAAAATACATTTAAAGTATATTTGTAAATCAAAAATACATTTAAAGTATATTTGTAAATCAAAAATACCGCCTTGCTTTATTATTAATTTAATGATGATCATTTTAATCTGCGGTTGTGTTGACGAGATAAAAGCAATACTAATCAGAAAATATCAAGACAATCCGTGGACACAAAAATGTGTGGTAATGTGCCCAATTATATTTTGTTTTGATTCGTATTTTTGTGAATTCAACAAATCTGAGCTGTTTGTACAACACTTACGGCGCTACAGTACTGTACGTACCAATGTGGAGGCTTAGGGGGAAATGCCCTGGTACATATACTACAGTATCACCCGAAATTTTGCGATTTGCAATGTCTAAAGAAGCGTTTTTAATCGGTCGTGTACAATCATAAAACAAAAGTTATGGTGTTCTCCGTTTTATTTTCAGTTTTCTGTATTGCCAATTTTTAATTTAGAAAATTTGGGTTGCCACCATTGACACTTACTAAAAAAAATTATTTCTCGTTGTTCGAACTCGCGAGAAACACCACGCGTGTGCTCGGGTTTTCGTCGGAAATTCGCAAGTGAGTTGTGAAATCCAATCTTTTTGACCTGTCGTGTCACCTGTTACCAAATTTTCGAATAGTGAATTGCTATTCTAATAGTTTAATATTCTAATATATGCCCAGCCATACTCAGTAACTAGTATTAATTGACTTGATTAATGGTATGTGAATAAACTTGCTTTTTATGTTTTATGTGAATTTTAACGTAAATCGTAACTTGGCTGATAGCTAACTTTTGTGAAAACGTTTGCGGCCCGCAGTGAATTTCTGGCTCGTTGCGGACTCATTTAAACGCTTTGCGAACTCATTTGAGAAACATTGCGTCTATCGCCTGCAAACCATCAATACTCGGAAATTGTGATTTTAGTATGTTCATTGCATGATCAATTACTTCAGACCCGATTTGTCCATTCTCAAGAAGAATATTGAAGTCGGTATCAAATATCGTTTTGAAGGTTTGGAGACGGAAACAGAGAGAGTCGAATCGTGAAACCCATGAAGACTGTTGCGGACCTGGTGTTGAAGATATGAACTGGAGATCAGTAGACATAAAACGATGCATGCGTTGAAGCTGAATTGATGATTTTGCTAATTATTTCGAAGGTTTTTTTAATTGGTTTGCAAGGAACTTGATACCAACTAGAAACTTCGATACCGATACCTGTCCGATACCAACTCGAAACGCCAATAACGATATTTGAAAAAAGCTGATATACCGATAACGATACTATTTAATTATTACCTCAAGTGCGTAATCATTGTCTTAGCCTAGTTACGCTGACTTATCGGCAAACACATAAAGATGGATGAATGGGTGAAATATGCGATTTTTGGTAGTCATTTACGGCAAGTTTGAAACATAGTTTAACGATTATTTTTCTAGAGCAAGATTTTATCGATGTAATGCAACAAATATCAAAATTTTGAAAAATTCCAATTTGGGGAACATATAATAAATTAGCAAAAACCATTTTTATGGTGAAATATGCGATTTTCGGTAGTCATTTACTGCAAGTTTGAAACAGACTTTAACGATTATTTTCCTATAGCAAGACTTTATCGAGTAATGCAAAAAATATCAAAATTTAAAAAAATTCCAATATGGGGAACATATAATAAATAAACGAAATCAAAGTTGGACTGAAATCCGGCAAACAATACCGTTGAATGCATAGTGTTTTTGTTTTCCGAAGTAAGATTCTGAAATGAAAAAAAATGGGACTCGTGGAACATATAAAAAATTAAATTCCGATCAGGAACATTAGTTTGTATAATAAATAAATCAAAATCCCATCTCGATGATCTCATGACATCCGCGCTTCATATGACATCGTGTTACATTAGTGACAGAATTAGGTTTACGATTTATCTTCTTGCAGAATTGGATGCTGGGAATTGGCGGCCAGGGTAACCAGGTTTAAATATTACAGTAGGCCTACAGTATTATCTTTTATATTTTTATGGGGTGCGTTGGTGACCTCGAAACAGCGCTATGGAATGCACGTTCGTAACCTCGAAACAGTGCAAGTCGCGACCGTCCTAACCCGAGGACTCCCTGTATGTACAGGGAGTCCTCGGGTTATGACGGTCGCGACTTACCGGTACCGGTTCTGAATTTCCAGTAGCAAGAATTTTGCAGAATCAAAACGTACAGCCAGTCATGACACTGACTAAAATCCGTGTTCCCATGAATAAAAAATAATACCGCAAAATTTTAGACGAAATATCATATTTCATAGAATTCACGCAAAATTTTGAAATAAACAAAAGTAATAGCCTTCTAGCGAAAAAATTAATCTTTAACCACTGAAAATTTCAAAGCAATTGGTCCAGTATTCGAAGAGAAAAGCGACTTTTTAAAAACGTGTCAAAGAACAAGAACAACAACAACATAATATTGAAACGAACGTTATGTCCACTTCGTGTCCAATAACGATAAAATTCCTTCCCTCTTGGGAAACATATGGTGCATATGATACAGGGAATCTACCGTTGACTGGACTGGGACAAGGTCACATTAAAAAAATTTACGCATTGCTTCAAAATATCTATTGAGCGATCAAGAAACCGTGTACTGCATTTGTTTAAACATTGCGTCACGTTGTCTGTCTTCAAATGTAAATACGATAATAATTCTGTCTATCGTCGGGTAGCGAGAAATTTTAGCTGTGTCAGCCGACATTGTGTAATGCACGTTGTTGCTTTTGCAAACTAGGCGTTCTACATAATTCCCATAGCTTCGTGTGGGTTTAAGAATACACTTGGCAGCGGACTTACCTATTGTTGTAAAAATAAACGGATAGTATGACGGAATATTCAGTCAATGGTAATATTGGTATAATAAAAATTTGCAATGGAAAATTGAACCCACTAAGCAGAGCAGTGAGAACGGGAATAATGACCTGTTTACGGAATGCCTTGGATGACAACTCAGTTGAAGCTGTAGTTCTATGTGGAAACAAGAAGAATTTCTCGGTCGGTGCTGACATTTCCGAGTTCGTAGGTGATTTGATTAAAACAAATTTTGGTTTGGACTGTGACGAGATTGAGGCCAGTAGAAAACCAGTCGTGGCTGCGATTCATGGTTACGCCCTTGGTGGAGGTTTTGAGATGGCGTTATCGTGTCATTATAGGGTCGCCAGTTCGGATGCTATTGTGGGTTTCCCGGAAGTAAAGTTAGGAATACTTCCGGGTGCAGGTGGCACACAGAGATTTCCTCGAATTGCGGGACTCGATGCTGCAATGCAATGGATCACTACAGGAAAACAGTACTCAGCCAATGCTGCAGCGAAACTTGACGTTTTTGACCGAATTATTCCGAAAGGGACCGATGTTATCAAAGAGTCGATCGCATTTGCTCGAATTGTGGCGACTAAGTCTCTATTAGAAAAAAGATCAGCTGATAGAAGAGTCAAGGATGCCGACCGTGTGGATGAAATTGTAGCCAAATATACGCAAATTGTGCATAAGAAGTCTCGTGGTCAATACGCACCGGTTTATTGCATAGAAGCTGTAAGATACGCTGCGCAAAGCACCTTGGCTGGAGGATTGAAAAAGGAATCTGAAATTTTATCGATGCTGGGAAAATCTGGCCAAGCGATTGCTCTAAGATATGCATTCTTTGCGGAAAAACAAGTGCAAAAATGGAGCGTTCCTGGAAGTGATATATCATGGCACAACTCCAAACCTATGCCTGTAAAGCTCGGCGCTGTTATTGGTCTAGATACAATGGGGCGAGGAATTGTCATAAATTTCCTTCGTGCCGGGATTCCAGTTATAGTTACAGAGATGAACGAGAAGTTTCTCAGAGAGGGTATGAAGTCAGTACACGCTCTCATTGACGACATGGAACGCCATCAAACGATCACACAGGTGCAAAATGATATGATGAAGAAGGGCGTGACTGGTACTTTGAATTATAACGATTTAAAAAATGTCGATCTAGTCATTGAAGCTGTTTTTGAAGAGATTTCGCTCAAAGAGAAAATTTTCAGAGCGCTAGATTATGCTTGCAAGCCTTCTGCGATACTGGCCTCGAATACAAGCTCTCTGGATATTAACAAAATTGCTTCTTTTACCAGGAGGCCCAAAAAGGTGATGGGAATGCACTTCTTTGCTCCGGCTAATTTGATGCGCCTCTTGGAGAATGTCATGGGATCCCAAACTTCCAGTGAGACGATCGCAACTTGTATGGACATGGGAAAGCGAATGGGTAAAGTCACCGTACTTGTCGGAAATTGCTACGGCTTCGTTGCCAACAGAATGTACTTTAACTACAAAGCTGAGTCAGGATATCTAATCGAAGAAGGCTTGTCGCCAGTGGAAGTTGACAAAGCAGTGACAGATTACGGATTCGCAATGGGGGCATTTGTTGTTGATGACCTTTCAGGCCTCGATCTTGGCTATCGGATGCGTACTGCGTTCGGATTGACGCCAAAACAACAATTTCCTGGAACCAAAGAGAACGTTCGAAGTGGATTTAGATACTGCCCGTTGGCTGATTATCTTGTAGAAGTCGGACGGTACGATCTTAAGACGAAGAAAGAATGGTACGATTACCCTAACGGCAGAATTCCTGTTGAGTCCGGCGAAGTGTCGAAAATTATAAGCGATTACAGGAGTCGTATTGGAGCTACTTCATGTAAAATTGATCATGAAGAAGTGATCGAAAGATTAGTATTCGCTCTTGTCAACGAAGGTTTCAAAGTTCTTGATGATGGAATCGCAGCGTCTCCTATGGATATAGATATGATCTGGATACATGGATTAGCTTTCCCAATTCACACCGGTGGTCCTATGCACTACGCTAGCAGAATTGGTCTCCCAAAAGTTCTGGCGCGTATAAAGATCTATTATGAAAGGTTTGGGGATGTGGTGCCACAGTGGACACCTAGTCCAATGCTAGAATGCATCGTGGAGAAACGCGGGAATCTAGATATCAGCCAATGGACGAAGTACTCTAGCGCCACCAAGATTAAAAGTAATCTGTGATATCACTATGACAACATACTCTTTAAAAGACCAGAAGTCAAATTAATTTTAGGTTTTTTATATCGAGTGTAATTCGTCTATCTCTCCCCACAATTTGTACTTCTTGAAATCGAATATTGTGCCATATTCACAGTTTGGGAACCACTGGTATATTTGATAATCAGGTCATTTGTATGTGTGTGCTCTTTTATCTCTTGTTTTTTTTATACAACGCTTCTCGCTCCAGATAAGGCAATGCACAAGTAGGAACTGTTACGCAGAGAGCTCCTCATTTTAGAAGAGTTGATATTTTTTTCCGTTCGTTCCTGGCGGGCAAGGGGTATATGCAAGGGCTTACTCTTTTTTTTTGAAATGTAGAAGACAAAATTGTTTGCGTTATACATAGCAATATTCCTTAGCTTGGAACGCTTTTCAGACCTTCTAGAGCTGGGGTCGGCAACCTACGGACCGCGGGCCGGATCCGGCCCGCGACGAGATTTTGACCGGCTCGCTGACTGTACATCAGTTCATTATGATAAATTCATTATGGGCTTTTTGGTCTCTATTTTTTTCTAGTTTAAACTTTACTTTAAACGCGATTTATAATTTTCTTTCTTGCATTAGCGAATAAATATGTGATTAAGATATTGAATACTATTTATGTTATAATCCGACTCGCCGAGAACTCAGTTACCCCCCCCTCCTCTATTTAAAAATACGTGTCTACGGCTCTACGCACTTGGATATATGCCCAGGATCAGTAAGATTCGATCGCAACATGGTTAAGTCTGTCGACCCACGCCATGGGGCCAATTTGCTTAAAAAATTTTAAAACTTAGACAAAAGAAAAAAAATTTGAAGTAATTTTTTCAAGTTCAGTACAGCATTTAAATATAAATTTGCGACCTACATCAAAGCTCTACGACCTTATAGTTAACCATAGGTCTAGTAGACGCTATGAAGCAATTTAAACAAAGTATATATATAGATATATATTATATTATCGTTTGCATTTAGAACATGGAAGCACTAATTTTACAGTAGAAATTTACAAAACTTTACTCAAAAATACAAAGTTAATGCATAATAGCTCTTTGAAAAGAAAGTGGAGAAGGGACAAGGTCTATTTACCACCAAATGCAATGCTGATTTCATAAAAAAGAAGTCACAAAAGAACTTTCAAAAATAATTTAGTAGTGGCCATGTAAGTGTGACGTAAAAAGTTACATTTTATGAACAATATTTACATTGTTATCATAAAAAACGGAAACAATAATCCTCGTGCCTAAACTACTAATTTAATTGCAATCTCAACGAATTCCTTGAGCTATTTTTTTTGAGCTAAAGCATCATAATTTTTCTTTTAGTTTGGTTGTAGCAGCATCAGGCGGGCCAGATTGAATTACCCAACGGGCCGGATTTGGCCCGCAGGCCGTAGTTTTTCCATGTCAGAGTTACATTTAAGGTCTCATTGGTTATTCTAACCACCTTATTGTGTCTTATTGGAGCTTATTATCGGCAAAACGAATTTATGATCGAAACATTATGTGACTAATAACTAATTCAACAACGTTCATGAGACGTTTTACGTTGTGTGATCATTTCATAAAAATGTTCATTAACTCGTTGAAAATTGGAACGCTTTCTCTTTCATTCACCATATACGGTGAATTGTTCAAAGCTTTGAAACGTTATGAATACACCTTACGAATGTTTTGGGTAGTATTTTTTTTATTTTAGGGGGCCCTAAACATTGAATACCCAATTAATATATGTGAAAGGACAATGTTGGTAAAGTAATGCACAGCGTATACAAAACAGCATACGTAATTTCTGCTATTATATAAACTATTTAATGCAAGTAACTGTTCAAAATGTGGATGTAAAATGATGCATACAACGAAAATTAGTCAGAAATGAGGAAATTAAAAACAGACGCTGATTAGTACAATAATAAAAAACAGAAATAAATTGATAATATGCTATTAGTCTATAACAGAGGTGTGCAACGTAATTGTCAGTGGGCCATATAACCATGGGGAAAGTCTTAGTATTGGCAAGGGCCACCCTGAATAGCTCGGTGACCCGGGGCCACACGTTGCACACCTATGGTCTATAACAGAGGTGGACAAGGTTTTTAGACCAGGAGCCTGAAATTTTCCCAACTAGGTTGGCGGGCCATGTAAGTGTGACTTAAAAGTTACATTTTATGAACAATACTTTCAATGTTACAAAAGCAAAAGTGTAAAATAATAATCCTCGTGCCAAAACTAAATTTAATATCAATCTAAACAAATTCTTCGATCTCTTTTCAGCTTAAACATCAAAATTTAGTTTCAGTTTGGGTGTGGCAGCATCGGGTGGGCCAGATTGGATTCCTCAACAGGTCCGATTTGGCCCGGAGGTTGTAGTTTGCCCATGTAAGGTCTATAAGCATAGATGCAATTTTCCACGTTCAAAGCATAGCGAGGGAGATGAAAAAATATACAATTCTTGTGCATGACAATTCTTGTGCATGACCGATTAGAATCTACACCGTTTTGCCCGATTTCTGTTCTTGGACATTGGTGATTAAATCATTTTACAAACCAGACGGAGCACGATATTTCATTTCGGACAGGATATATGGATATAATGAAGAGTAACTATTAAAAAATGAAACATAATGATGCATAGTACATAAAAAAAACGTGAAACAGAGAAAATTTTCTTTTTCGCACTTTTCATACAAACGTTGCGGGTATCACTAGCTTAAAATCTATTTATAGACGAACGAAGCAAATAACAATAAACCAAAACATATTTTATGCATAGCGGGGGGAATGATGAGTTCCAAACTATGCAAAGAAGGGAATTCAACAAGAATATTAGAAAATAAAGTGAAGCCACTCCAATAAAGAAAAGGGCTGTTTGGCCCAACGGATGAAAAAACATATCCCGCCCATATTACATTCTAGATTAGTTGGGGAACTTGGACCGAATCCCCGCAAGAATGTGTAGGTAAATTACCGCATCAAACACTAGGCAATATTAATTTTTTCCTGTAACATGGGACACAGATTAGTCATGACTGTGGGAAAAGCATGAAAATAAAAAACGAGAGGTGATCATCTATATACACGGAAATAAAATGACAAATATGGTCAATGCGATGTCAGCAAAATATCAACCAAATGAACTGCATGTCATATGCACCGAATGTCATATCACCTCGATAGAACTAAAGTTTTCGTCACACTTATGATCCCGTTATGGGCGGTGGTTCGCAAACGATTAGACGCGGCCCACAACGTAGAGAGGGGGGTAGGCAATTTTTTGAGGGGTGAAGTTAATCAAAAATAAAAATATTTGTTAGATTTGATATTGTCCGCCATTATTTGGATATCAACACTTCTTTATTGTTTATATTTCTTTAACATGTGCACACATTTTCAACCTAGTTTCTGAATAAAACATAGTAACTCCTTACTAGCTGTTATTTGTAGCCTATTGTTTGCTAGTTATTTTTTAGGTGAGGCGCGAGACTTGACAAACTCTCAAAATGATAGGGAGTGCGCCAAAAATTTGGTGAAGCACTGTTTTATGGACTTCTTGGATTTATAGGTTTCGGAAATTAGTAACATCGTGAAATGAAAATATAGGTTACATTAGTGTCCGTCAAACAGTCTACTTTATATAAATATTAAAGGATTCTTCATTGACATTTCTATGTAGTTATACATTGGCTACCAAAACTCCTAGCAGTCCAAATAAGAGGACAGACGTGTAGAATGAGAGAGATTGTAGAGAGCTTGCACCGCCGCCATCATCTTTGACGCCGTCATACTTTACGGTCTTGGTAATGGTGTTGCATTTATCTGAAAAACAAATGAGCAAATTGTACAATGTATTGAAAAAAAACGCAATTCTGGTTCAACTCAATTCGATCTTGTGAATTATTCTCTAAGCCAGGGTTTCTCAAAAGTGATCCCTTGTTCCCACTCCCACGAGCAAAGTGTTCACCAATTGTCACAGGCAAGTGTCCCAATAAAAAAAAATTCATGTGTGAAGTATCGCGTCCTACAGGACTGATAGGGAAACTTGAAATAAAAATAAATAGAAGCCTTCTAGCGGCTTCAACCATTTTCAAATAATGACGAATTGAATTGGCCCTATACTATAGCGCAGGGCTACTCAACTATTTTTATCGAAGGTCCGTAAACGAAACTTCAAAATTATTTGGGTCAGGTATTTCCAGAAATGATATTTCGGCATCCTTAAACGAGCACTTCCTCGACCGACTAATGATTAGTAGCAAATTAAAATTGTTCATTATGGTGTTATAGTTCTTTTCGTATATATTCAAAACTATGAAAGTCATTTTATAATAGGAAATTCAAAAAGTGGGGCTAATGATCCAAAATAAATAATTAGGTGCGGTCCAAATCCAATACTCGAAAGGTCCGGATTCGGACCGCGGTCCGCCAGTTGAGTAGCCCTGCTATAGCGAATGCTCCATTTACATAAACAACCACTCCAACAGCAATGCGCAGTATTGCAGAAAGCATCATACCCAACTAAACTTGATTGCTTACTGAGAACTGGCACAATTTACATGAACATGAACAGCAAAACTAAACAAATCCGTTGGATAAACCAGAGGTGTGCCACCCACGGCCTACAAGGAAAAATCGTGTGGCCCGAGGAGGAGTGCCAATTTTAAACGGTGTGCGGCTCGCAAAACGAGTTTTTACTTTATTTTAATCTTGTAGGTGCGAGTAATTCCAATCCTTTTGCTTTGCTAAGCCTATACATGAGTCTAATTATCTATGCCTATCAGGTTACAATGCCCTAACACAGCGATTCCCAAAAGGTGCGCCGTAGCGTGTTGTCAGGTGCGCCGACAAAAGTAGCAGAATTGTGTTAAACATAATTAAAATATGATTTGATATATTACATATTGTATTTAGTATAAAAGTTTTATTGTTTCCCATTTCAAATACACGTGTATATGAACCAGTGAATGCCTTGTCGTTTACTTTCCGTTACAGTGTCTGTCTGTATCTATTGTTACGTAACAATAGATACAGACACTACTTGCTGCAATTTATTTATTTCCTCAACCGAGTTTAGCGTACAGGCAAAGATGAGGAAGGAGAGTTTGTCTTTATTTCTTGAGCCTACATGTTGAATAACGTTAAATGGAATAGAGTACAAAATAACGATCACGATATTGAGCTTTACTGAAGAGAAGCATATTTTTTCATGTAAGTCCGCGAGTATTTACACCTGATGAATTGGCGCTACACAAACAAAAAGTTTGAGAACCGCTGCCCTAACAGCTAGCTTGTGCGACGCGTACAACGCATGTCATAAAATCAAAAACCAAAATTTTTGTGCATGCAACTACCAGAAACCTGTGGTAGATAAAGGTGCGATCCTCGTGTTCACCCAGTTATTTGTATCTGACTCTCCCGTATTAAAGGTTGCACATCCCTGAAGTAAATCACAATATCATATTACCTGTTGTACAAGTGCATCGTGACACAGATAACCCATCAAGACATTCTCCATCGGCCTTATTATTCACACATCCTCGTGTTATATCAATACCGTTTTCTGTAGAAGACAAAAATATCAAATTTGTAGGCGCGGTGGCCTATTGTGGTTAAAACGTTTTATATCTAACTACCATGTTTCCCCTAAATAAGACTGGGTTTTATTACAATCTTCTTTTGAAAAATAACGCTAGGGCTTTCGGGGGATGTCTTTTACTTTCTTTTATAAAGAACGAAATTACAAAGTAAAGAATTACGAGATTTTCAAATATACAAAATATAAAAACCAATATCCATTTACTTATTAATAACACGTTTTAGGATTAAAATTTATGGTTTTAATTCTCGTACCTACCCCCTCACCCAAGGTGTAAGGCACTGCTGTACGGGAAATATTCCTGTAAGATAGCTGTATCAGTAGGTATTGGTACATCAGTGGCAGTATGTAACTTCGTACAGAATTCAACTTGAGTTATATGGGCATACCCCCTAAAATTTCGAACACCCCCATGATTTTGGGGCATGACACCTCACTTTAATTCCTGACTTGAATAAAATTGTATTTAAATATCCAGAAACGGAACTAGATCCCGGCACAGATGACCACTCAGTCATATACATAACACATTTTTATAAGGCCAAATAGTTTTATCGCTAATAGAAAAATATCTACCACCCCATAGATTAGGACCCCCACTTAATTAAAAAACTGGGGTACTTACTGAGTGGGTGGAATGGGATTTGAAACTTAGAAGTGTAATCCTCGACGCTAAAACAATTGAATCAAACACTTTGACGGAGGGGTCGGCAACCTTTTGTCGCTCGCGGGCCAAAATTAAGGGTTGCAAGCCATTGGCGGGCCGCACATATTTTTAGAAAGTTAAAAAGCGAACGGAAGATACTTTTTATAATAAGAATCAAGCAGTGATACATCTCTTGAATAGAAAATAGAGTTGTTTCCTCATTGCATTGCATCTCAAAAAATTTGATTTGAATATTTTGGCGCCATTGAACTCTTTGCACTTAGCATCAACTTTTCTTAGTTTTGTTGCCATTTGTCCAATTATAATTAAATTATATGCTCATTACACGAGTAATTGAGAATTTTATACTTGTTATATTATAATGTAATTAAGTGTACAGGTCTCTCACAACAAATTCTGTTACGTAAAAAATATAATCGTCACAACAGTTGTTTTGTTACTATAATTCAGTGAAGCGTCGCGGGTCGGATTATATTACTCGAATCCGGCCCGCGGGCCGTAGGTTGCTGACCACTGCTTTAACAGCTAGGCAATTTAAAAAAAAATTAAAAATAAATTAGGAAAAATGAATCGATTGCACCCACATAACAAAAATTGCAAATTAACGTGACTACAGATGATGGGATCAGCAAGACCTCCAAAACATAGAACTTCATTTATGCAATAACATTTGTTAGATAAAAAAAATCTACATCAGTGGAGTTGCGCGAGACTAACTCCTAATCCTTCCTCAATGCCTTTGCTCTAGTGGATCTGTATGCGTAGAAGCCATAATGCAAAGATGCTACAGCACGAATAAAAATACCATATTATGCAATTCAAGAGTACTGCTGCACACTAACACAAATATATTTCTGTAACGTTTCGTCTGACCAAAATCAGATTTCCTCAAAACAGCAGTTTTTTGTTGTAAACTGTCTGAGGAAGTCTGATTTTGGTCGGACGGAGTGTTACGGAAATACATTTGTGTTAGTGTGCAGCAGTACTCTTGAATTGCATATTAAAAAATCTACAACTCGAAAACGTTGTTAGTCCTTCGAAATTGAAAGACAAAAATTTAGTTTTGGAAAAAAAAGGAACCCCGATTAATATACAAAGTAAAGTAAACGCTCAGATACAGACTTGTTGCGGCGAAGGTCGACTGACAATAATCCGAACCGGCAGAGCAGTTTATAAGATGGTTGGTTGTTAGATCTGAGGCTTGACACGAAGAAAGACAATGGTAACAGGTCAAAGCTTTCACTAAAAACAAAATTATAAATTCAAGTTATATTCTACAATTCACCACATAAGCTGGTCGATTATTCCCTTCATTCCTTATTATTTTTCTCATTTAGGTAAATGCAATAACTTTGCTTTGTTACCAGAAAACATAGCAGTCCCTGTTTAGTAGTGGGAACCTTTTTATACCTTTGTTTGCTTGATGTGTTGGAACACATAATAATATAACGCGTGTCCGAAAAATTCGCCGCAAAATATTTCGCGCAATAGGAATATTTGCCACACGAAGAATAGCCACGAGAGCATTTTGCTGTAAAACAAGTATTTGCGATAAAACCAGTTAGGTTTATGGAGGTAAAGTATGCTCTCAAATAACGAATCTTTTTTAAATAAAAAGGTACTCAGAAAACATAACTGTTTTTATCACAAATACTTGTTTGACAGCAAAATGCTCTTGCGGCGATTTTTCATGCGGCGATTTTTCCTGTGCGGCGGGCTTTCCTACGGCGAAATTTACTGCGGTGAATTTTCTTAGCGCCAATATAACGAATTCATGTGCTTCGGAAAACAGCGAGAACTCTGGAATATGAAATTTTGGACTGTGACACCCTATATGCTTTTTCTGGGGAGAAGCCAGTTCGAAGTTAAAGAAAAATTTGGACCAGTGGTTCCCAATTCTTTACGACAGTGGTTCCCAATGTTGATTGACTGTGGGCCAAAATTAGAAGCTGAAGGATATTCGCGGGCCAGGAGGGGAGCGCCCCCAAGGGCCCCCTTACCGGCACGTATAATTAAGATAACGAATTGTTAAGATACCAAACTAAATTGTTACGAATATACTGGTGTTTAAACTGTGATACTGACGTAACAATTGGTGGTATATAGAACACATGCTGAAATTTTTTTTAAGTGTTAAACTATGTCACTTAAGTTCGACGAGCCATATTAAATCGTTACGCGGGCCGTGATTGGCCCAGGGGCCGCGGTTTCGGAACCTCTGTTTTACGAGTTATACCACCCCATGCTTATTTGGTTTTCTTCATTCCTCCCTTGCTACGCATAAAACTTTGTTTCAGTTATTTGTTCAATTGTTAACAGATCAATGGCTAGTGACAGGCGCAACTCACACTCTGGCTTTTGTTAAGTTTGAATAGTTAATATGTCGTCGTAAATATTTAATACAACAACAATCAAGGTTTCCAAAAAGTCCTTTTACAATTTCAATTTTGTTATGAAGTCATTTCTTAAAATATCTTAACCAGGTTTGTTGTTTTTTAATCAGTATTGTTCAAGTATTTTCACTTCATTTATTACATAAGTGAGGGCAAAAACGATATATGTTAATTACCGATTAAAATTTTTTAAGACTTTATGGACACCGAACATTAAATACTAACAATATTAGTAAAACTACACGCAAAAATTTAGTTCCCGTAAACAATAAAATCTTTCAGGGCGAGGAATTCCCCCCGATTCGGGAAACGCTGACTTCGAGTTCCATTGAAACAGAATTTGGACAACTGAATTTTGGAAACAAATTAAATTCAGAGTTAGATATTTATTTCCGTCGTGCATGAAATATTGTACAAAAAGAACAGAAAAAATAAATCAATTAAGAGAAAAAAATAACAGACATACAATATTTCAACTGCAATAGAAGAGAAGCCGCGAATAAACTATAAAGTTAACGTGTCAGCGACACCTACATTGATGTATTCAGCAGCAGATTACGTCGAATAACCAGTATTTAAACGAGTTTTTTTGATAATGATTTTCTTTAATGAACTCAATTTGGATAATGTTAGTCAAATTGAGATTCAGTCAGAGGAGAAATATACAAATAGAAAATATACATAAATACATATAACGATAAATTTAAGATATATTTCCTACCTTCGCTGTATAGAACAACAGCAATAGACATCACAAGTAACGTATGCATTCCTGACATTTCTGTATTCTCAGTACAAAATTTTAAGTACACTGCTAGATAAATATCTACACAAAAAAAACATTTGAAGAAATTGTTTTACTTTGTTTAGAGTAACATCCATTACTATATACATTTTTAATATCTGTCCCCACTACCTTTGGCTCACCATGTATATCTGCTAATTTTAGGGGTGGAATATTTAACTTATTTATTATAAATTATAACCTTGTATAATTTTGATGATATATGTAGGCCACTGTATGACTTCGCCACGCTAAAGTCTCGCAAAGTTAACTTAATTGTGATTTTGTACAGAAGTGAAACGTAAAGGCAAATTTATTTCCATTACAAAATCCTAATATTTGATCAATGTTAGTAGTAGTATATGAGTAGCCCCGTACAATTCATATGGCCCCGAGGTAGACAGGAGCGGCTCCGCTCGTTTGATATACCGAGATTTGAACCGGGCCAAACCGGACTGGTGAACTAAAGTTACTGGTGCTGCTTATCTTTACATCTTTAATTTATAGCACATAAACGCAAATGTTCTTCAGTATGTAACGAAAGGAAACACTACTGAAATGACAATTCAAGTAAAATCCACAAAAATCGAATTGCCTTTGAGCGGTCTTGTCACCTTTGACCCCGAGTTAAACATAATACATGAAGGTATTTGGGATCTGGCAACGACGCGCTTACAGCAGTCAAATGGTTCCCATCTGTTCGATACTCCCCCGTTTTCCTATTTTGGATCTATTTATTTCTCCCTAACTTTGTATAAACCTCTTTCCACTTCATTTGTTCAACCTTTGTTTCACCATAAAATATTGGAACTCGAACTCGGGCGTTTACTCAGCATAGATAGTCAATAATTTTTCAATAATTATGTTCTACAATACTTAAACAATACAGTACTACCGTTTTCCTCAAAAATAACACAGGTCCTCATTTCCATTTTTTTTTTCGAAAACTCTATGTCGTATTTTCAGGCTAGGTCTTATTTTAGGGGAAACACGGTACTAAATACAATGCTACAATACTAGCAAAGCTACACCAAATACGAAGCAATATTCTATATTTCTTCACGGACAAAAAAGCCTTCTCTCCTGTTGGGAAACGCTTCTGCAGTCGCACATCGCGCTTCTGTCTAACCAGTGTATAATGCATTTACTAATATACCGCCCTTGCGTAATGATATTATCTAACCTTCAGCGCACACCGTTGATGTCCCACGTTATTGCGTTTGAAAAATAGTAGCGGAAGTCACTAATAATTTATATGTAATCCATACAAAAATGACTTGCAACCTTGTATGTATATGAAGTACTCACTGCTGAAATATATATACTGAGACAAATGACGCACAGTACTCTTTTGTACTGTAATAAATTTATAAATAGGGTTGAATACTATGAAATTCTAGTTAAATATTTGTTTTTTTTTATAATATTGCAGCAAGCCAGTGTTTTGTATGTTGGTTTGTGTTACGCGTTATTACGACTTCCTTATTATTGACGCGCTTAAATTTGTGTAAGGTAACTAGCTATTATTAGTAAATGTGACACAAAATATTTAAAATTGCGCATGGTGATGTGACCAGCAGGATCATATCCTGGAATGATGTAATGAGAGTATGGGGTCGTGAAATTTCTAATTTCCAAGGCCGTATTAGCTAGCGCAGTGGTTTTCAAACTTTTTGAAAAAAATTTCATGACGGACCCTTTGCAATTTTTTTAATGATTCCCGGCCATGCGCACAAAAATAAAACATTAAAAGATCACAACAAAAATATGGTGCGCCCTGTAGTGAAACGAACAAAAGAATACTTAAAAAGCGCAACTCTAATGACATGTGCGACATCCAGTTTGTTTCGATATTTGATAAACGTGCAAAAGGGCAGTGTCAGCTATAGCTCTGCAGTTTGCAAACTTGTGAACTCGAATTTGTGAAATTGAACTCTCTCTGTGATATCACAGGCACACAGCTCTGTGACATCACAACGGGGCAGAGTGATCGAAACAGAAAGTGAAGAATCAGTGTCTCCAGCAGTGATTGCGAAGCAGCGAAAGGCAACAAATGTGTATTTGAAAATTTAAGCACTTAATTTTTGTATTATCAAGCTGTTAGCCATATTACAGATTTGTTTTGCAGACCCTCCGAAAGTGCTTCTCAAATCCCAAAAGGTCCGCGGACCTCAGTTTGGGAACCACTGACTGCTAACGGGTCTGGCCAGAGGCCGGAAAACGTGGGCTCTAAAGAGTCTTTGGTTGTTTAAAAAGCGTTTGAAGCTGCGTAAAATTTCTATGTGTGAAACAGAAAAAAGGTCAAGAGGGGCGGTTCCGACCAACACCATGGCTACGCAGCTGTCGCGACATTTGACGAAGCGCTTCACGCGTAGCTGTGCAAAGTGTGTTTGAATAATTGTAGCGATATTTTATGTAATAAATGAATCCACAAACACACATGACTTGCAACCTTGCGTACATATGAATTACTCACCGAATACTCATACCCCCTGAATCGCATCACTGGACGTCTTCCAATGATTAACGCGTCGGACTTTACTTATGTTTGCGATAGGATTTGTCTTTGTGTGTTTTTTCCCTTCATTTTTCTCGGTATTGTTTCGATTTGAGTGTTGATGCAAATTTAACTAGTTCCGCCGAACAAGGCACGTTGCCGTGTGCCACGTTTTGGTTGGAACCAGGGGGAGTGTCGATTTGCGTTTCGGTAAGGCGGAGAATATCTTTTCGCGTGATTATTTTATATCTGTTGTGTCGTTTTAAGTTGTTTTATTTGTTGTTTGATTAAGAATAACGTCGCAGTCAAACCTTGAGATATTCCAAATTTTAACGGGGTTGATGGCTCAAAGCAGGGATGTGCAAACTGCGGCTCGCGGGCCGAATGCGACCCACAAGGTAATATTGCGGCCCGCTGAACAAGTTTTTAATTTAGTTTAATCTGGTACGTACAAGTAATTCCAATCCCATTTGCGTTGCAAAGTCTATACCTGAATCCAATTTATTATCTATGCCTATGTCGTTACGATGCCCTAACAAAATTGTTGTGCCTACAACTACTAGAAAGCCTATGCTAAATAAAGGTGAGGCCCGCGGTTTCACCCAGGTATTTGTAGCTGGCCCTCCTGTATTTAAGGTTGCACACCCCTGACTTAAAGGATAAAGAGAAAAAGCTTCGGCATCCCGATTGAACACAATTCCCACAACCTCAGAAGAGGTTTTAAAAATTTGGAAAGAAACGCCGATTCGGAAAAATTCTGGTACAACCATTATGAACTTCTTACAAGTTATAGTTTCAGCTTGCACAGTACCTTGTTAATAACATATAAACACGAAGATAAACCAGGGGAACCCGACATGACTTTTGTTTTGAAATCGTAATATCATTTGTATTATGACGACATGTTTCACTTCAATGCTTCCCCCATTCCGGGCATTAAATATTTACCCTGCTTCAATGTGACCATAATGAAAATGGTTAGCATGAGGTAAAATCTCAGGGATTTACTTTGCGAGGTCAAGTGCGTATTACGCCGTATCGCGTTATCAACTATATATATATAATGTTCCAAAATATATTCAAGATAAATCAAAATCGAGAAACTAAAATTTTGTTTCATATTAATTTACTATATTACAATAATATGCCTCCGATAAAAAATATATTTATAGAATTGTGTAGAAATGAAACTTAGCATCGCATTTCTGGACTCAAATAGCAGAAAACAGCGCGTTTGGTGTTTACCATATTTGGTAACCATCGAGAGACGTTTATTTGCGAAGATGGTGATTGGGTGCATTGATTGTTTATGCCGTGCGTGTCATGTTCCGGGTGAAACCGAGGGTATCCGAGTCATAAGGGTTTTGATAATTATAGCAACAAATTGCGTAAAGTAGAAATAAAAAATGAACACGTTGAATATAACATCGCCCACAGAAATTAAAGGTCGAGGGTCATGGAGGGTTAATATTATTCGATAAGGCACCAGGAAATTAATATTTCTAAATTATGACTGAACTATTCACCAAGAAGTGTGTGTGTGTCAAGATATTTGGGCGGATACACTGAATGTTCATACCCTACATGCAGTGGTGGGACTCAAATTTTTTGTCAGTCGGTTCCTTTACAAAAATCATATTTTTTCAGCCGGTTCTGTTACAAACAGAACATTGACAGTAACCAGTAATTCTAACTGGTTCGCTGATATCATAAAATTCCGTGAGACGGTTTTATAGGCTGAATCCTACCACTGCCTACATGTACGTGGCATGTTAAACATGACACTTACCACAAAAAAAGATCAATAGGTATGAAGGGTTAATCAAACGAACATAATAACGAGGACGAGGGAGGCCACTGGTGCAAAAATGTGAGATTTAAGACGTTTTGAAAATAACAAATTAGCAATTATCTAGTTAGAGTTAGGAATGATTTGAAATTTTGAAATTGCGCGCAATCTGCATTTCTAATCTATACCCCCCGAAGGTATAATTAATAATTTTCTTCATTTTAAGCGTTTGCAGGGGTGCTTTTTGGCTAGGGCCTTGTTCTCACCGAAACGCAAATCGACACTCCCCCCTGGTTCCAACCAAAAGGTGGCACACGGCAACGTGTCTTGTTCGGCGGGACCAATTGAATTAATATTAACACTCAAATCGAAACAATAACGAGAAAAATGAAGGGAAAAAACACACAAAGACAAATCCTATCGCAAACATAAGTAAAGTCCGACGCGTTGATCATTGGAAGACATCCAGTGATGGGATTCAAGGGGTATCAGTATTCGGTGCATAATTCACATGTACGCAAGGTTGCAAGTCATTTGTGTTCGTGGATTCATTTATTACATAAAATATCGCTACAATTATTCAAACACACTTTGCACAGCTACGCGTGAAGCGCTTTGTCAAATGTTGCGACAGCTGGGTAGCCATGGTGTTGGTCGGAACCGCCCCTTAAAATATGAGCTTCTCAGTATCAGTGTGTTCTACACGTTTTATACGCTACAACTGCAAACAGATCTTTGAACATTTGATTATACAAGGATATAT